TAGTACATTGTGGGATCCACATCCTTTACTATCCTTTTGGAATAGTTCTCTCAAAAGCGTTAGGTAAAGAGGGGCTCTGATAAATCAGAATGTCCCTAGTAGTATAACTAAGAATAACTGTGAATGATCAAGAAATATTTTTGAAATTTTTACCATTCTGAACACTTTTCATAATTTTTGGCCAAAGTTGTCATAAGTGAACATTATTGAATTTTTTGAAAACCGGACCCCCCCCCCCCTTTGTCAAAAGCTGTCTATGGGCTTTCTTATTCATGTAATAATGCATTGTCGCATGAATACCTATTACAACATTTAAACTATACAAAATCTCAAAATTCTGAATATCTACATATCTTTTTTTATTATTTCTATTCACCGAAAATATCATAACAAGCATTGTTTTATGAAACAAAATGCATTTCAAGAACAAAACAATGCATAAACTGCCTTGATGAATAGATAACATATAGTGCCTACAGCATTTATGTCTGCAAATACAAGCTGTCAGTTGAGCAACATTGTCTTCCTGTCACAGTGTGATATTGCATAAAGGAGCAGACTTTAAAGCTCTCATTTGCTCACAATGGTGATCCACTCGATTACGCACAACCTCGAAGGTACGATTTTTCTTTTTTCCTTATTCCACATGTTGTAGGCAAAATTCCCATGACATTTATAGAACAAACATGTGTTAGTATCATATGTCTAAGAAAATGTACATGTTTGGGAACAAATAGTTCAGGAATAGTTCAGAATCGTCGATTTAAAACCTCACTTAAGTTAAGAAAACGTAACTTCGAAAAACTGCATTTCTAACTGATTCCCTTTACGTAACTTAAGTGAGGTATTAAATTGACGATTCTGTTGTCTTCTGAACTATTTGTTTGCAAACATGAACATATTCTTAAACATAAGATTCTGACACACGTTTGTGATAAAAATGTTGTGAGAATTTTTCCAACAATAAGGAAAATAAGTAAATAAGGAAAAAAGACAAATCGTACATTCAAGGTTCCAACATTTTGTTACCGAAATGGTTCGTTTCGATAAGCAGCTTAATCGAGTGGATCACCAGTGGCTCAGCTACATGTATATGGAAGAAATTTTTATTCACTAGGTATTCAAGAGGATTGGCTCCCAGGATCAAAACTCGATATCTTCTAACAATGAAAACATCGAAATGTCGTTATTTTCTGAAACTATAACTGCGACTCTAAATTCAAAATAAACAGTTCTAAAGATTCGAACCAATATCTTGATCATTTTTTGTGAGTTTTGGAATTTTTCGTTTGGAAATAAGGATTCAGGATTCAAATGTTGAAGTGAACAAAATGGCAGCTGTTTGAATTTGAATTTTGTATCACAACATGCCCATATATGGGAAAGAATATCGATGTTGCACTCTGGGAGCCAATCCTCCTTGCTAGGTATTGTTAGGAAAAGGCACTAATTTTCACTTTCATCTTGTTGGCTTGGAGGACGCAGTTGTATATTGAATTCTGTCAAAAAAAGTTCATCAGTCTGGACATGAATATCATCAGGAGACTCGTTCACTTCCTCGGCTATTTCACGGTTTCTGCTAGAGATTCCGTATGGTATGTCAAGGTGATATTCAGGTAGATATATAAGGCCTAAGGGTGCTTGATAGACGTTGCTTGGAGACTGGAGGAATTCTGATGGGATTCGTACCTCAGAGCCTCTTTCAGAAACTTGGACATTCTCTGTAATAAAAACATCTTATATAATATCACAGTAGTGAAGCATTTGTATGGAGGTCAATGGGAAAGTAAGTAAGCTATATCCATCGATATTCCCCAATTACACCGATGTTGCCTGCTTTCTTTGATAACCATGACCAGTATTATGACATCATGTTTCAATTCCATCAAATTCTACTTGCACAGGGATGTGTGCCATCATTGATCCAACGAATGAGCCATGAGAATAAAAGTATGTATCATGTATTTAAAAATGAATGTAATACAACAGTTATGTCACTATGACAGGAAATACGCCTTTGTTCTTGCCCAAATATAGAACCTCCCAACATGTATATTGGCAGAACTCGTGCATATTCACATCATAGCGACATAACTTCTAAATATTGAACAGAAAACATTGGATGGTTTGTTATATTGTGGGGAATAGCCAAATAATGAATGAGAAGACATTTAGCACAGACCTCAATTGCATATATATGTACATGAACATTTATAAATTATTTGATAAGAATAACAAGAATTTACCTCTGGAATGTGCAGTGGTTGATCCTGGGTAGGTATCATGTTGTGTGCCTATCGGAATATACACTACATGTATTTGTCGATAAGTGGCAGCTCTTGTGTTAGCCTCAATTGGGATGTTTCCGACATAGTTACCTAAGTTGAAATTGCAAGTTGGGAAAAATCGTCTATGTTCTCCAGGTACAGTGTCTCCATCTACCCATTCATGTAGTACTCCACCACAAAATATGCATTCCACACGATCATCTGGTCCAACATAGAAAAATCCATTTGCAGCCAGAGCATTTTCTGGGATGATCTGAGACTTTGGCCATTTTCCAGTGAAAGTTTTTAGTCTCTCTGCCTCACTTTTCAGTTTTTCACGTCTACGTTGGTCATCTTCAATTTCTTTAAGTTGTGCCTCCATCTGGGCTCTACGTTCACACATCGTTAAATTAGATTTAATACAAGTTGTACTCTCTTATATTTTTAAGTCAATACTTGTGGAAGGTTACAAAAGTTACAAAAACTTTTTATTACTAAATTAGTACGCACTTAGTTACTTCGCCTCACTTGTTTAGCAGAAAAATATTTGAACTTTTTTGAATGATTGTTCATCCTTAATTTTAATTTTCATGTCTTCTCTGGATGTCTTCTGTTGGTATAATTATTTCTTGTTATATCTTTTCTATTTCACAGAGGTTTGTGAACTTAACTATATATAAATAAAACACAAAATCAACTTCAATTACTGCTTGATATTTTTTTATGTTGCCGATGTTTTGTTTTTTCACATAATGTCAAGGTCATGAAATGCCGGCTTCAAATTGTAAACACTCGATGTCAATTTCTGAATTATTGAATTAATGTTTTCGTTAATATTATTTTGTATTTCTCAGAAGTTCTATTTTAAGTCTCTTCACTGGAAATAATTATTAGTATAACTATCACTTAAATTTCTACATCTGGGTCTTACTTCAATAAAAAAGCTACATTTTCGATGGTTTTCAACCATCTATTTGTTTGACATTAGAGAAAAATGGCCGCAGCTTACCTACTACAGTGACATCTATTTTTCTATTAGTATCTTTTAAATTAATTTTATGTTCAACCACAATTAGGTATCCAAAAATAGTTAAGATAAACAATATATTAATGTTATCTTTAGATGTCACTGTTCATTATGATAGAGTAGTATGCTTGAAAATAATAGAGAATACAGTTCATATTAATCAATGTAAAATATAAAAACAAACTTTACTTCGAATTATCTCAAGATATACAAGGATTTCATTAGGAGCTGGCAGGCTGCAAAATCGCCAGCTGTTCTCAGCTTTTTGCGTTATACCGATTCTGAAAGTTAATTCTTGTCATATAATTTATTGTATAATATATAATTTATTTTACTGTAGATGAGCTAGGAAAGTTGTATGTCCATCTGTCTGTTCGTTTATCCGTCTGTCCGGGCAATAACTCAAATACTTGTTGACAGATTTGATTCAAATATTATAGGCTTATGCCTTATGGGTGTAGTACCTCTGCTCGAGAAAGTGATATCTGTGGAATATTCTCTGTATTCCACAGATACCGCTTTTTTTCCACGTATTTGCAAAATACAATCTGCGCCTTCACTGATTTCATTCCATATTAATGATATTAAAGTGCAGAGTGTAATTTCAAAATAAGATCTAAAAACTTTCATAGAAATTTTAGTGTAATCATAATACCTGATTTAATCTAAAAAACTTCTCACTAAAAAGCTTTAGAGTTTTATCTAACTCACAGAGTTCTTTGTAAACCCATTTGTTTTCCCATTTATACAAATGGTATTCTTTGCCAACCAAAACCACTAATCTATTGATCCATCTATGTAGCAAGCCATAGGACCACAGAAGTTATGGCAGCAGAAAATTCATGTGGTATAAAGTGGAAAACGATATTTCTAATTTTATTTCCCCATAGCGGGGAAAACTCATGCAATCCATTGTTTTCAGCTTAATTTTGGTCACCCATAATTGATATCTTTAGTAGAACCCTTGAAGAGGTTAACTAACGTATGACGTATCTCTCAAATGCAACACAAAGATGCATCAAACATTGAAGAAATGGATGGGGAAAGGGGTGAAAAAGAATGTTGTTGGGGTTTTTGCACCTTCCCTATTATCTCTATGAGTACTTTTTCTGAAGATAATGCATTGGCCTAATATATACTCCTGTTTAAATCTTCAGAAAATAACCACAATCCAACATAACTTCCGTAACACTGCCATAATTTTCGTGGTCTATTTTCTCTGTAAATTTCTCTCTCTGTTGTTTTAAAATATAACATCAACAAAGATTTCAGGGTATTTCAATAATATCCATTTTAACAGTTTAACAGGAAATACAAAATTAAATTATGCTTTTCAGTTTAAAAAGTATAAATAGTTACCATGGTTTAAAAATACTATAACAACTTTTAAATATCATATCTTTATAAAAATCAATAATTATTTTGATTTGTTTCTCTTTTATAATAGATAAATGTATATATAAATAAATTGGACAAAACATTTTCCTAAGATCTAGTTTTCAAGTCTCAGCATCATGAGTGATCCTTAGAAAGTCTACAAGTGTCCATAAAAATGATGGAAATAATAACCTTGCCCTCTCTCTATTAATATAATGCCATGGTTAGATGTCTTAAAAAGTTCACAAGTAAGTGTCCATAATATTATGGCAACAATAATCTTGTCATCCCTCTGGTGACAATATATGGATGGAATGTTTAGAAGCCTCTCAGAAATTGTTGTTCATTTCAGGGACTGTCACCATCTGGCCTCTTATAGAAATTGAGTTGTCATGCCCACCTTCTGAAAGAATGAAATATCACAAATTGTTTATATCAATTGAGGAATAAAGACCGAGATTCTATGATTTATGGCGCAATATATGACTGAAAATTTTATTCTGTTCATTGTTAAAAGACCGAAATCGCGTAGCGATTGAGGTCTTTGGCAATGGGCAGAATAAAATTTGAGGTCATATATTTGCCATAAATCATAGAATCGAGGTCTTTGTTACGATTCTAACATGATAAAAGTTTCTTCCGATTTGATTATTTTCTGAAAAATTCTAATGTTTTGGACATTCTATTTACCGGATATCCTCCTAGCTAAATAGTTTGAAAAATATCAATAATGAAACTGACGGCACATATTGACATCTGTCATTGTGACTAAATTGGTTCAGAGGGGGTGAGTATGCAATTGTAATAATCATTACATTTTTTGGTCTATATTGAAATTTATAGGTCATACACACCCTAATATAGACCAATAAATCAATTGTTCTCCTCATTGTGACATCACATATCATGTTAGAATTAATGTTATATCCTACTTATACAGGTTTGATGTTATTCTCAAGATAGGGTAAAGATATAAAGATTATCCTATATGAGGTTCAGGATATTGGGATTATCCCGAGGCCAATATAGTATATCTGCCTGAGGGTCATAGGTCCCGAGGGTAGATATATTATATTGGCCAAGGGATAATCCCAATATCCTGAACCAACTATAGGATGATCTCTTTATCCCAAACCAATTTTGGTCATTTGGTTCACCTTTTTTAATTGAACAAAGTTCAGAAAATTTCCAACAAACCGTGGAATTATTTTAGAATATTCATGTCCAGTTTAGTTTTCTTGGCCGTGACTGGATTTTCCTGTTCTTTCAGATGTTCATCCACATTTATTTTCTTGAATCTTTGATTATTAACAGGGATATGTAAAGCTATCTCTGCCCGCTGATGAAAATATATGTTTTTACAAACCTGCCTTATGCACCTTTAAGACATCTAAGTATGGGATAAATACATGTAGTGTATACCTGATATACAATCAGTGGCGTAGCCAGGATCAAAAATTTGGCATGGCAGGTTTAGGGTTAAGAAGATCACAACTTATCAAATATCAAACTTTATAATTAAGATGCAGATTACATGTACTTAAGAAACAGTTTTGGATTCTGATATTTGTGTTTGATAGTCTTCATAAATGCTACAAGATTTACCTATAATATCACGTCCATGTCCCTGGTCAAGAGGTAGATTTGATTGTGCATGGACAGAAGGTTGGAGTTCTAATGCAGGTTGTGTGATGTCTAGATGTTCTACATGCATGAACTGAAACTACGTAAAAATGTTAATTCAAAAATGAGGAAAGCACAAGCCTGCTTGTACCTGGTAATATCTTTTTATTGACATGATGACACCATTATACCTCACTATACCGACCAAACTGAATGAAATAGAAGGCGTGTTTGGCAAAAATTCCATGGAGGGGAATATGATTTTCATGCTGGAAATTGGGAGGTAAATAAGATTTTTATGAGAGGGATAGGGAGGGACAATACAATTTTTTCAATATCAAAATTATTCCCCAGTGTTATTCACAGCGAAGTTGTAGTATCATTGGATAAATAGAGGGTTATTTAATTGGGCAGATGGAATATGAATTTTATTCCGAGGGAAAGCATTATATTGGCCAAGGAAAACATCATATTGACCGAGGGCAAGTGTCATTATAATATTTTCCAAGGCCAATATCATATTTTCTTAAGGAAAAAGTCAATATTCCACCATGACCATCAATAACCTATTTATTCTGAAATATTTCTGGGATCTGATGCAGAATTTTGGCTGATACAGGATCCAATATGGGATTTTGGTTGATTCGATTTGATCAGATACAGGATTTTTTGAATATCAGTTGTTCCATTCCCTGTTTATTTTCAAGGGAAACGTGGTATCATCAAAGCGCATTTGCATATTATTACTTAGATTGGAAATGACGTTGAATCTCCTTGGCAGAGCATGATGATGAAATTACAATCTTCATACTTCTTACGTTTCAAAATCTTGTTTGAAAAATATGTTTCTCACATAAGAACATCATAATAGCACGCTATATACCACTGAATATAATAGGAAGCTCTGTTTGGTAAGAATTCCCAGGAGGTGAATATAACTTTCATGAGTGGGATTGAGAGGTAAAAATGATTTTTCATGAGTGAGATTAGGCAGGACAAAACAAATTTTTTTCAATACCAAAAATATTCCCAGGTGCTATTAACCAAGAAGTAGTAGTATCATAGAATGAAATATAGTTATTACCTCTGGTTTTGTGTGAGTGTCATAAATTGTGAAATCATTCAGTCCGTAGAATGCAAGGGCAGTGCGAAGTGAAGCAGGGAGCTCTATGGCTTGTTTGTTGTCATTTTGAAGTGCCCATTGTGAGTCTCCAACAGCTCCAACTAATGTGTCTCCATGAGTTCCTATACATTGCGGTACATCTACTTCTTTTGCATTCTGAAACTTAGAACAGCCACAAAGACTACTACAGTATTAACATAAACATTATACTTAACCAAATGAGGGATTTGGGATGGCAGCATCAATTACACTTTGGGACAGATGAAGGTGGAAATGATTCTTTTTATACCTAAAATTAATAAAAAGGTGAAATTTTGCTTAGGCAGGTGTTGTATGGATGGGCTCCATCTCTCTTTTTCTTTATACGTTTTCAGGCAAACTACTTGATAAGTTCACTTTTAGATTGATTTGTTCTTAAACAATATGGGTAAACTAATGGTGGCAATTTTGGATTAAAATACATAATACGAGGATTGAACATTTAAAAAATCACGAGTATTAGCATAATTTATTCGCAAGTTATTTCCCTGTTACTATAATGATGTAATCTTTGAATATTACTCTCACCTTACACTCCTCATCATTTATTTTGCGTATTTCTTCTTTGACCCAGTCAGTTCCCTTCACATCTTTCAGGTATCCACACTCGGGGAAAAATTTTAGATGCTTCTGCCAGGGTACCTCACCAACCTCCCAATTGCATAACTCCCCACCACAGAAGAAACATCTCACTTTGTCATCTTTACCTACAAATGCCATATTTTCAGTAATTTTACATTTGTTTATTTATGGAGTCTCTTGAAAGCCCATGGTTTATACCGGTTGATGGATTTGGTTCTAATTTTAAATGCTGATGCCTAGAGACACGGGAACTCCATTCAAGAAGAATTTTCAAGATAGCTACCAAATTTCTAAATGGCAGCCATTTTTCGTAATAAAAAAAATCTTTGGTAACTCAAATATCAGTGGACAGATTTGGTTCAAACTTTATATGCTGATGCATAGGGACAAAGGAGTTTGAGAAGAAATTTTCAAGATGACAGCTGAATTTCAAAATGACCACCATTTTTTGTAAAAAAATGTAGACATATTTGGTTCAGATTTTATGTGCTGGTTTCTTGGGACAAGGAGGGCTGCTCAACAAGAAATTTTCAAGATGCCACTAATTATCAAAACATTTTTGTTCGGTGGGATTTGCTACTCTGTGGGGTAGCTGTTTTCTAGTTTGAAACTGAATTTGCAATGAAAACGTTCGAGGATGTGGTACTTTCATTTCTCACATGTTTGACAGCCAGTCATTAACGATTAGCCATGTCTTAATTTTCAATAAAAAATGCCATGAAATCCTGCAGAATTCCCACAGAATTGGCTTTCTTCACCTGCAGAATTCAGCATTTTCACTCATGGAAAACTATAGGATGTACTTCTTCTCTTTCACGGAAAAAGATGATATACAGAAACATTGATATTGATGATTTAATGAAATAGAATATACATGTATTTTACTTCCTTGTACATCATACCTGTATACTGTAGTCCAGCCTCAGCTAGTTGTCCTGGTCGTGCATTGGCCCAAGTCGGCCATTTGGTATATGAAGCAAGTCTGGACAATTCAACACTATTGATAAAAGAATCAAGGTTCCCTGATTTTGGTGCCATGTTTACTAAATGTCAGGTGAAAAAACTTGTTGATTTTCACAATCTCAGTTTGCAGCCAATATTGCTTGTTTATAAAAATCAGATTTATGATCTTAACAAACTCAAAGCAGATAATAATGTGATAACTCTATTCACATGTATCTGTACTTTGGTTGCATTATAACAGGTTAAGAATCTGTCGACTTTTAAATGTAATGCCGGCTTCAAAGTGTAAACACTCGTCAATTTCTGAATTATTGAATTAATGTTTTCGTTAATATTATTTTGTATTTCTCAGAAGTTCTATTTTTAGTCTCTTCACTAGAAATTATTATCAGTGTAACTATCACTTAAGTTTCTATATCTGTGTCTTAATTCAATGATACAGCTGTGTTTTCGATGGATTTCAACTATTTATTTGTTTTCCATTTGAGAAAAAATGGCGGCCTTTTTCGATCAGCTGACCTGCTGATGTGATCAGTGACATCTATTTTTCTAGGGTGTCTAAGTTAGAGTTAGAACACTTGTGTAAATAATATGCAGTTACATGATTTCTTTTTATTGTTTATTTTGTCTTTAGCTTGATTCAATGGGCTCTGTTAATGATGTTAGAGGAAAGTAATAAAGAATATACTTTGTATAAATACTTACTGTATTTTAAGATATTAAAGTTTACTTAACTTAAGATTAGCTGAAGATATACTTTAATTAAGGCTTTACTGTACAAGTTAGTCAGTAATTTTGAATTTGCAAATTTTGTGTGAATAGTGACTTAATTATTCAGACCCGCCAGACACTTTTCTTCAAGTTTTGGGGGGATTATACTGGTTAATACGTGATAGAGAAATTTAGATTGACATCATTTGAGACAAAATCAAACTTTTAAAATGAATATTAACAGTAAGAGGAATAATCTCGTCCAATTATCATATTAATGTATCATAACTACAATCATTGTATTTGTTAGGTGCCACAGTTGGTGAGGGAGACAGGCCATCACGTGAAGCCACCATTGTTGCCCAATTATCATATTAATGTATCATTACTACAATCATTGTATTTGTTAGGTGCCACAGTTGGTGAGGGAGACAGGCCATCACGTGAAGCCACCATAGCTGCCCAGTTATCTCGGCCACAGGCACGTGCCATACTTGACATGGGATATGATAAGAAGATGGTCTCATATATCATCAAGAAACGTCTAGAACGCAATGGTGAGTGGTTTAACATCTAACACTTCTTTAATTAATTCTCTGAACCCCTCCTCCTATATACTCCATTGTGGAGGGGGTTGCATAGATTTGGGGTCCCAAGGACTTAAAGCAATACTAAAACATCCAAAAGTGTAAGTTCTACATGTACCATGGATTGAGGGATGTTGTCCAACTGTCAATAGCTGTAGAATAACAAAGTCAATTTTGTTAGTATGTGAATGCATGATGACTTCCTTTGTGAAAAATGTTGATTTGCAAGTTCGTTATATGGGGGAGGGAGGGGGTGTCTAACTCCCAACATTTGGGCATTTTCTCTATATAAGCAGTATAGAACATCAGTTTCAATAACATTGATTGTTAGGATGAAACTGTGATGAATTATTAAATTATGTAGTCTTAGCTGAAGAAGTATATAAATACTTTTCATTCTGTTAAGGTGAATACCTGTGTGACTTTTACAATTCATATTTCATGAAGCCTGATTATTTAAACCATTGGTCCCAGTTCCTACTTTGCGTCATTTTGGAGAAATGAACTCTTTGCCGTCACAATATTACATCCTTTTTTGTGCGCATATTGTAGAGCCAGACTTTCCAAATGCCACTGAGATGCTCGAAGCAATATTTGATGTAGAGGAGAAGATAAACAGTGGAGAACTTAATCTAGATGATCCTGATCCAGAACCACAAGATGGTGCTACAGGAGGCCCTGTAGAGGGAGCCACTGGGGGAGCTGCCACACCTGGCCCAAGTAGAGTAACACCAGCCTCTAAGGGAGCAAAAGAAGGCAAGGGTCCATCTGGAAGACTTGAAATCCCAAGTCAAGCCACTCTTGCCAGTGGGAAGGCTCCAGAACCTGTAACTGTTGACCGCACTGAACCAATGGATATGGGAGAGGAAACACATGGAGGAAATACTGAGGGTGATGATAAAGATAAGGATGATAAAGATAAGGGTATGTTGCTTTATACTAAGTTTAATGAAATTTATATGGATTTTAGCTAATCACACATCCTAGTTTTCTGCATGAGAAAAATGCAAATTCTGCGCAGAAATTCTGCATGAAAAAGCCAAATTCTGCACCAAATTCTGCATGAAATCTAAAATTCGGCGCCAAATTCTGCACGGGGAAAAGTGAAATTTTGTGGTACAAGTATGTGCAAAAAGTGAAATTCTTGCTAAAATCAATAATTTTCTCCAAAAAAATAAACAATTCTTGAACTCCACTCATGCTGCTTTATTCAGCGATAATGGACAACTGCAGTAATAACACCAGATGCAATGTTAATTAGCGACAAAACTTACCAAATGCTCACTTGTGAACTATCACGAAATTCGAACTATCACGAAATTCCAGATCAATATGCAGGGAATTCAGATGTCGTCTATTTATATATGACAAAGTAAAACGCAAGAAGAAGCATGATTATTTGCGTTAGAATACTATAGAATACAATATTAGACATATTATTGCAAAACAATTATGAAGGACTGTCATTGGTTTCAAATTTCGTGATTATGTTAGACGCAGTCTTACCTCTAAGTGCAAAGGCGGAAGTTTGAGATTTAAAACAGATTTCAGATTTCCTCTTGAAAATCTGACAAAACACAAGTATCTGACAACAAACGAGCGGAGTCTTTGAGTGTTTAGGTGAGTGACAAATATGAGATGAGATGGTTGACTGGAAAAATCATGTTTTCCGCGAAATTCCATGCCAAAACAAAAATTCTGCAAAAAAGATGAAAATGCGAATTTCTGCGGTTTTTCTGCGGCGACGCGGAATCACGGAATACTAGGATGAGTGGCTAATACTAGTAGGGAGTTTGTATTAGACATAGCTACTTTTTACCTCAATATTTCATGGTCATACAATGATGTGTCTATGATTGCTATTATAAAAAGATTTAAAGTTCACTCCTAATCTTCTTTAACATAGTGTACTGAATGTGTTCACCCCTCATATCCATATCTTTCTTATTTTTCCACAGTTGTCCCAGAACTGATTTGAAACATTTTATCCCTCATTAAATATTGACTGTTGTAAATAGTATGATTCTATTGTAAACTATTCTTGGTTGGACATCATTATTTGAAAGGTCTGCTGTGAACATTGATGATCTCATTCAGATTTAATTACATGTATTGTAAAATACTAGTTTGAGGACCAATTATTGTTTGAACTTTTTTATATGTAACATATGATATAGATATGCTAAACTTGTTTCTTCAAATGTTGAACCTCTAAAGTTGATCATTAAACGTAAAATTCAACATATTTAAACTTGAATTCCAGATAAAGATGATGATGAAGAAGATGTTGAATCACTAAAGGCAAAGGTACGAGAAAGCAATGAAGAGAAGCTGTGTAAAATCTGCCTTGAACGGGAGCGTAGATTAGTGTTCCTGCCCTGTGGGCATGCGTGTAGTTGTGCTATATGTGCCCCTGGATTGAGAACATGCCCAATGTGTAGAGAGATTATAAGAGGGACTGTCAGAATATATTTCTCATAAGTACCGGAGATTCTCGCATGGATGCCTTGGGCTTATAAGCATATATTGAACCAGTTGGCAATTGGCATCGATACGCGAATCTCCTGTATCAATGGGTAGATTGCATGGTCAAAAGGATTGGAAAATTAGTATCCAAATTATGGCTTTGTACGGGATGGCAGTAATGAAGATTATTTCACTCCTAAGTTAAGGAAGCTACTGACACCAACACTGCTAGAATACAGTGCACTAGCAAACAAGGGAATGGAATTTTAAGCTAAAAAGATGTACTCATCTGTCATCAAATCATGCAATGCGGTCCCTGCTTCACAATTACATTGCTATATTCCAGTACATTTGAACAACAAAAGATTACTTTGTTGTAGCAACCCAGAAAAAGATTGAACCATAAAGGGTGGATCACAGAGCTTAAATTGATAAAGCAAAAAAGTTAAATCATCCCAATGTACAACAAAATGTGTAGAAAAAAGTGTAATTTTGCTCTCTTAAGGTTTATATGATATCATTATAATCAACACAGAAAGAGACTGAACATGTAGGCTGTAATTTTACAAACAGTCCTGTAATGTATAAATGTATACAGGAGTAGGTATAAATGTATGTATATGTTATTATTATATATATTAGTCTTAGTCAGAAAAAGAGTGACAAACAACTCCATTATACCATGTGATAATAGCAAATTTGATAATGCATTTCCATGAAACTAAAGAATGACTGAGGAAATTCTAGACATACATGTACTTTTCACTACTTAGACATCATGAATGATGATGCCTTTTTTATTGTACAAATTCAAACAATGTCTAAATATTCATATCAAATATGGTTTTAATATATGTCACAGCAAGTGTTGACAATTGTCTAGCCAGAAATATATGATGAAACATACTCGACTATATCATATATGCACTCTATATGAAAAATTCCTGTACCACTTTTTTATGTGGCCCGACTTCAGAGTGGGTATGCAGCACATCAATATAATACTATATTTGTCCCTTATATTGCTCCTTCATATTTGCTGTTGGCTTAACTTTTATCGTCATCATAGACTACTAGAATAGTACTACAAGTATAGTAAAAGGTACAGATCAAGGATTTTTGAAAAAGAGAGACTCAAAATCTACTGAAATAGCCTATCTGTTTAATATGATAAATGTTGGAGCTGGGAGAATAGGTGCTTTTTGAGACAAACAAGTAAATTGTTAGTCAGCCATTTCCCAGAAGATGTAATTTTTTCGAGATTGGTATAATATGAACATAATCACACATACAAAGGATATACAGAAGATACGGAAATGTGGGAGGTATTTCTAATTTAGGGCACTTTGTTTAGAAAGCTACAATAGGTAACAAGTTCTGTCACAGACGAGACTACTAATGTGAGCATGCTTTTATTTGATATTTTCTGATCAGGGTATTATATTGACATATTGATTGTTTAAAAACAAATCCGAATGTTAAATCCTGCAAGTGATACATTTAAGGGATGAATTTGCTCCTTGCTGGGATTATGTTGCTTGTTTTACAGTTGTTTGTGCATTGTGATTGACAGACTTTGTTACCTCTTCCACCTTTCAAAACTGGTCTTTGATTTCCCAAATTGTCATCTTATCTAGGTCATTATATATAAAAACCTTATGCAATGTTTGTAATTAAAGGTATTGCCATATTCTCCAATCAGTCATATGTGAAAGCTGATCTAAAAGATTTTGGTCTCACTACTCATATTGTGATTGCCAATTTGATTTTATGATTTCTGTTCTCATAATTTTGAAATGGACCTGGCAAAGTTTATTTTGAAAACCTTTGTAACAGATAATAGTGTTACCATTCAGTATGGACTCACTTGAATTAGATGTGCAAGATAGGATTTCCCTGAAGTCGTGCTATGAGTAATATCTTTAGATTGAACTCATTTTTAAGTGATATCAAACTAGTTTTGACAAGGTTAAATTGGGTGAAGCTTTAGAGCTACAATAACCTAAATAGCAGATAAAAACAAACAAAAATTGTTACTGTTTTCTCAGCAACCAAACTGGAAGTTGTTTAAACTGAAAAATACAATTATGTAAGTTAAAACAATTCTTTACTCATATTCTTAAGTGGATCACCGAAAGGTTCTAGAGGTTTATTGATAAAAGCTTAAATTTTTTTGAAGATGACCTACACTGGAAACCCAATGTGTATAATAATAGTATATAGAAGATTGTTGAATCCACAGTCTCTACTATCCTTTTATAATTATAAATAAAGAGACTTGAGATTAGACTTGAACACAAAATACCTTACATATAGTGACAGTTGCATAGACAAATGTTTCATTATTGAGGCTTACTGACTGTGATTTTTATTTGAGTCTGGCCTAAGAGAAAATGAGAGATGTTTTGTTGATATTGTACATATTTGTTCTATGTAATGTGATTCTGAAGACCCAATGCACATAAAAGGTGTACAGGGTCTTCATAAAGTTTCTTCACTGTTTTCATAGACTTTATACTTTAATTGCAGAGACTTTATGGACACCCTGTATGTTTATATCGTCAACAAATATAAGAATGGAATATTCCTTTTTTTTGAAAATTACTACAGCTTAAATTGTCATAGCCATTTTTACATATCATACTATTTTACATTGCAGTAACCAAAACACAGATTTACTGATTTACAGTCAAAAAAATATATTGATGATACATATTGTATTTTTATTATCCCAACGAACGAAGTTCGTTAGGGATATAGTGAAGCCCTCCGTCTGTCTGTCTGTCCGTCAGTCCGTCAGTCAGTCCGTCTGTCTGTCCGGAAGATAACTCAAATACTAGTTGACAGATTTTCTTCATATTTAGTGGAAAGATGTATATTGGTGAATAGTTTTACGCAAAAAAAACAATTTTTCAAGATGGCCGCCGCTTTAAAAATGACGGGACTTTTTCGCAAAAATCATAAATTTTTCATTCTAAACCAAAGTAATTAATATTATTGTTTGAAATTTTGGTAGTGTATTCACAACATTTATCTATTTCACATATATTCCGTGTTTTTCATCCTGACCCCCAGGGGCCATGTATGGGGGGACAGGAAAAGAGAAATTTTCGCTAATTTTTAGATCTTTCTGAAGTATAGCTTTATTATACTCAAATGAAAGGCAATTAAGAGTAGATTGCAGATATTGTATCTTTTTTCTGATTCGAGCCTCGTAAAATTCAAAATGGCCGTCTAATGTACGATTTCGCAATAATTTTTGGATCCCTTCAAAGTATGGCTATATTATACTCAAATTGAAGGAATTTTGGAGTAGATCACAATTATGGTATTATTTTTCAGATATGTACCTCAGAAAATTCAAAATGGCTGCTTTGCAGGAATTCCCAATTCTAAAATCTAATTTTTTCATTTTCAACCAAAGTAATGAGTATAATTGATTGGAATTCGGTAATTGATATTTTGTTCGTTGGGATTTGCTACTCCGCGGAGTTGCCGTTATCTTTGTTACAAGTATAGTATAAGCCTGCATTTATAATAACTCCAAGTGCTTAGAGTAGTGTTTCTACTACAGGGTGAACCAACAAATGCAACCAGCAACCAAAACATGTATAACTTTAATTTACAATGTAAAACTTCTTTTCATGGCTTATGGCAAAGTAAATTCATTCTATACCTGTCTAGACTGGCAAGTTGAAACATATTCTCTTTGAGGAATTTCCCTTAGAATCCACTGGTATAGTTCCAAACAGATTTTTAGGTGGCAGAAAAGTAAGTCTTCAATAACATATACTAGAATTCTGTGATTCCACATTGCCACAGAAAAACTGCAGACTTTTGGTTTTGAAAATTTTTGCAGAATTTGATTTTTTCGCAAAGAATTTCTTGGAAAACATGATTTTTCAATCACCTCATCCCCTTCTTATATTTGTCACTCACCTTGACACCTTAGAAAGTCATTTGTCACCAGAAACTAGAATTATGAGGATTTCGAAGGGGAAATGTGAAATCTGTTTTGATAATCACTGAAAAAGTTTGCTTAAACTTAAATGCTTAAAATGAAGGGTTGCATTTTATTTGGGTCACCCTGCAGATTTCGCTTTGTATTATATTGTATGTATTATATTGTATTGCATTGTATAATGAAGAGAATATCTAGGTGACAGTTAATTAGGTGCTGGGGGTTAAAACAAATGTCAACAATAATACCAACTCCTTGATTTGGATTAACCACAAAATATGAATGTACATTATGTAAATATTTAAATGGTAAAGAATAATTTGGGCAAGTCACATACAATGCATACACAATGAAATTTCTTTAAAATATTATTTTGCAGAATTGTAAGATTGAGCAAAATAATCCAGAAATATTACATGAGAGATATTCTGGATTATAAAAATAGTATACTTTTTGATGTTCAGCATTTCGTTGTAAAACTATAAATAAAAAACATCATTAAATGGTGATCTTTACTTTTTTGTTAATAAGTGCCATGGCCTTTCATGTTTGAAAGCAAGGATTTAAAAAGGAAAATAAAGACCCACAACCCCTGTGCTAACAAAATGAAATATGACCTTTTGGCACCAAAATTGCCAGAATCTTGAAATCCAAGAGAACTCAGAAAATTAAGATGACGGAGATGACAGGTCAAAACTAGAAAAAACATCCCAACTTTTTGTCAAATTCCATGAGTAAATATCAAGTGTTACAACATTATAGATACATTCTCTACGCTGATAGCACCATTAAGACAATGGTAATGTTTCAATTTTTAAGAATGGCCAATCATCTGTTCAACAATTTTAGCTGTTTTTTTTTTATTATTAGTGTGTGACAGTTTAGTCAGGGTCCACCACATTTTTAATCCAATGGAGGCTTAACATCAAAGCAATGTCTTTTATTCTGATATATTAACTTTCTAGTTAACCTGTAGGGATCTTTATAATGATGTTGATTATCTATGACCTATCATACTGAATCACAATAATTTGCATTGACAGTTGGCCTTTCAGAAGACCTTCATATAAACAATACATCAATCTGTGTGTTCAGTAGTATGTCATTTATTTAAATTGTAGAGAGGATTATACCACTTATACATTGTATATTGTTTGTAAAAGTCCAAAGAATAATGCAGTTTTTACAAAATTAATGATAATAAAAAAAACAATAAAGAATATATATGATGACTAGTTAGTACATGGAAATTAAAGCAAATTAAGACAAACATTGATTATATTAGTGGAAATAGTATACTGAGGCATGATATATCAAATAGCTTGTTATATATTATATACAGAGTCATATCAAAAATAATACAAATTGTATAAACATATTGAATACTGACTTTTTTTTGACACATGTTTAAATCTCATTTCTTTAACATATTTTCATCTCTATGATTTTATTTCACACTTATTGAATCTCATTTTCTTTGACACTTATTTCAGGAAATCTCAATTTTATTTGAAACTTATTTAATCTCATTTTCTTTGACACTTATTTCAGTAAATCTCAATTTTATTTGACACTTATTTAATCTCATATTTCAGTTCAACTTCTAATGGATTATTTATCCACATAATGTTTTTTTTTATATCTCATTGTGTTTTACTTTAATCTTAGCTAAGATTTCAGGCACGCTTTAATAAAGTCATTATAACTGACGTTTCCTCCAAGATTTTTGTCATAAAATGTCATCATATGGAAAAATTCATCCTCGGAAAGGTTAATATTATATTGCTTTAAAACCATCCTAAAGTCTATAGATGAGATCATTCCCGTGCCTTGTTTGTCAATTCCTCGGAATGTTCGCCGCATCTCTTTCCAGCTGCTACGGACACATTTTTGAATTCGTCCCATTGCAGAATTGTAAGAGTCTGTTTTCTGACCACTTGGTGCCTGCAAACATAAAATAATTATTGTTATTATTCAACTTTACTAAATTCACGAAAATGAAAGTTAACAGACTGTAATGAAAAAGGTTCAAAGGTTTTTGCTCTATTAATTTCTTTGAGTTCTGTACAACCTGACATCTCAAGTCCATAGTTGAGATGTACAATTGTAGATATAAGGTACTATGTTTGAAAAATCCTCAAACCCTACACAAATGATTTGTGAATGGACTGTCATGAAAAGTTTCAAGTTATTCTTTCGAGTGATATATCACTTTATGTATAAACTGACTCCCCTCTGACTCCATGACTGAGAAGAACAACTGAAGATATGTATGACTCATTTGAAAGTAAACCCCTACCTGTGCAGTACTAGGTGTATTAATTTGTTGCCTTCTAAACTTTTGTGTCTCTTCGGGAATATCGCTATTTTGTTTCATTGTTAAAACAAAATGGCGGAGGAAATCTTGATAACTGAATTTTCCGCTATTTTTCAAGTCGTATTTTGTGGAGAGCTGTACAAATTCAAATTCTGTCATCATTGCTCCGCATCTCTGAATAATCTCTGGAAAACATAATTGTAGAAAAGTTACAAAAAAGCTGTTTTCCTAATTCCATTTATTTGTTTACCATTATTATATCAAAAACAGGACAAGATTATACTATTACTTACTCTGTATCTTCTCTCTTACAATTTTATTCATAATTTTTTTTAAATAATCATGATACACTTTAATATCAATATCAATTTCTTGAAAACCCACTTAACTTGCAATGGTGCATGATGAATATTTTAATTTGATTAAATACAATTTATTTGATAATCATTGAAGGATTGAATATCTATTCATGAAGAAATTTAATGATAAATAAATGCATAAACCTCTCTCACCTTTCATTGCATCTACATCTATCTGGCCAGTATTCCCAGGGTCACATATCCTACATTGCCTCTGAATATCCTTCCAGTTACGCTTAATTTTCTCTCGTAATTTACCCTCAATATCCTCAGCATTGACCAATGGCGTATAAGCTCTTGACCTTCGACCTGTGCCAGGAGGCAAAGGAGTTCTTAAGTCTAATTGGTCGAGAGATTTAGTGACGTTTGCCATACGAGATGTACTGCGGCGACCATTTTGATTAGTGATTTCAGCAGTTTTAGGCCTATGTTGGAATATTGCAGGAGAGGGGGTATTGGCAGGTCCATTGTCTTCTTCAATAGGGGCAAGGAATTCCTTAGGGGTAGGAGGTAAGGAACCCTGTGGCATTTGGTGATTGTCTATTTGAGGGGTACGAGGCAAGTTCATTTCTGCTGTTCGAGGTAACTGGACATTGACGTCTGATGAGTATTCCTTCAAAAATCGTCGATAGTCAAGATTCCCAAATTCATTGACTGGCAAGGTTGACCATATGCTTTGGAACTGAAAATATTGAAATTAATAAAAGGTTTAATTAAAAATTAATTGAAAACATGCCATATTTCCATGTAGTGCATATGCAACTGTATTGAACTCCAAAATTCCCAATGTAAGGTCATAACATTCATAATATCCAATATACAAATGCATAAAAGCACTAAATCATAATATTCATTTTTACGTCACTATCTAGCTAGCGACTGTATGATTGATTAAAAGCGGATGACATAATTAAAACAAATATTTCACTCTACTTTTGCTGAATACCTGTGCATCTTTCACAAGTGATACTCCACGAAGCCTAAAGGGAGTGAAATATTTGTTAAATTTTAAATCATATCAGAAACAAAATCTACATACCTGCTGGTCAGTTAAACGCATACAGTGCTTGTTTATGACATCACGGAAATCTTCTAGTGATACAACTCCTATCTGGGCATAGTCTATTTCCGCAAAGGCCTTAGCCAAACCGTAAAATCTTGCATTGACTTGTTCATGTAATGATTGGTGGATGTCAGACATTTCTAGAGTTTTTGGTGAGGATGCCGCCATTCGTCGCTCAATATTATTCAACCACATAGCTACGTCTGGCTCTTGTTGCTGCTGGAGAACAAAGAAGTTGAGATTAGCATTAAACAAGGCATGAACATGCAAAATGTCATCATCTGCCATTTGTTACAGATGCCAAATGCTGACCACCAAACGCCAAACACCATCTACTGAATGCTAACACTGTCCACAAAAAATTGGAGACCATAGCTATATACTTGCGGTGGTAACATAAAAAGTGTTTTTGGATTGTCTGTAAGATGTTTTAATGTTTTACTATTATTCAATTACTTAATACAAGATGACTCGTTTATTATGGTTAGCTTAAGATTAATCTCAGGAAAACACAAATCAATCCAGATAAAACATGAACATTTATGAAACCAATAAAAGTTAAATAGACATGATTTAACATAATACCCATTTGAGTAATATGTACAACTTACCCCTTTAGGTGATATATTTCCGTAATTTTCCAGAAAAAGTGGATAGTCAACTTGCGATTCTCCTTCAGGTAAGATGCCAGACAAGATGTGTTTAAACTGCTTGTCGGACAATTTAAAACAAAAGTTATCCAGGACACTGCGGAAATCTCCCTTGCTGATTCTGCCGTTGTTTTTGCGATCAAATGCGCATAGAGCCTATAAATATAAAAACATGAGTCAATATTTTTTTTACCAAATTTTATCAATTAACTGTCCATAAATGTGCTCTCTGTAAGAAAAGAATATTTATAGACTTTATATGTTTGCAGTGTTTATTTTTGATGGTTACAGTAGTTGCCAAGTTATGTAGCTACAGAGCATTTAATTCAAATTAATTGAGTCTATTGAGAATCAATTTTGTTGCATGTTTGGTATATCTGTGTAACTATAAGTCTAGGATTTAATCCTAAATAATGAAAATTGTTGAATGTTGATTAATAGTACTATGTAATAGCGCAATGCAATACATGTATACTGTATGTATGTTTATAATTAAATTCGATTGATATAGAACCAAATAAGAGGGCATTTACAACACAATCCCCTAAAAGTCATGTGAAAATAAATCCAACTTACAGCTTGTATTGTATCAGCTTGACGTCCTACATTCACTTTCAATTTATTTTCTGCGTCATACACTGATATAGCTGAATATTCTTTGGTCTCAGTTCTTGGACTTCTAGGTTTATAATGTTCCTTGCGGCCCTCTTGGAATCCTTGTAAAAATGCTTCATAAGATAGTTTGCTTTTGTTTGTTTGAAGCCCTAGCCTATAATGTATGAAAAATGTATGTTAAAATTTCCCAGCCTTTACCAATTTTGTTTTGAATTTAGAACCTTCTTTTATCATAATATGTATGTACTGGTTTGTTGCTTGAAAGCCTATGATTATAATCACCAAAGTAATGACAAAATATTAAAATCCAGATCCAAAAGACTTTGAAATAATTTTACATAAATACTGGGCCAGTACACACTTATATTATAATTTCTTCATTCAATTTCCAATTTCAGCCCATGCACTTTCTTTGTTTATTTGAACTGTTACCAAGTAACCTTGCCTCAATATGGAATGGAATACACACAAAAGCGACTCTTCAGACATTCACATAGGATCAAAGGTTAAGTATACTAATCAAATATCAATAGGCTTAAACAAATAATCTTGAGAATAAACCACTTAATGTAGATTGGATTAATAGCTGCAGACTGGAATGTATTTAATTGCTACTGTAGTGCTCATGCTTCGAGACCCTGGACCCCCCCATCTACTTTACACCAAGACAATGTAGTTGTGTTGGGTAAGTAGATAGGGGGGGTCCACTGTCTTGAAACAAGACTACTACTGTGGGAATGTTGTCTGCCTTTATCTCAAGTACAAGATACTGTACGTACAATTTAAATGCTTGCATATCTCACAATTATTCTAAGAGGGAATTTTTTGTTTTGACTTATATTTTTCTTATAAGATCTTATGTCAAAAGTTCTATACTCATGCCTGAGTGTTCAAATCTTACTATTTCTCAATTGATAAATCACTTCTAGGATCAGCCAAGGCATTTCTCACCAATGAAAACTATGTCAAAAATACATGTTTATGAGTTTGATGATGAAAATGTAATCTGTGAATCGTCATCTTCTTAAAGCTTAGAGGGACAAAATGTGTGTTTGTGTGATCATTTCATGGTTGGAACAAATAACTGCATCAAACAAACAAACAAACAAACAAACTTACTTGTCAAGTAGCTTGAAGAACTGGTCATCATCCAAGAAATAATTGAAATCTATAAGAACACGCTGTATCTGGGCAACAGATATGAATCCACTGTTGTCTTTGTCAAACTTTCTAAATGCTTTGTTGAAGCTTTCATAAGTCTCACGAATCTTGTCTCTGTAACAGAATATGTAATGAGTTACAGTGAAATTACAGAGGTGTTCCACATATAGAGGTTCATTTAACAATAAGTCAGTCCAAAAACAGAGGTGTTCCACTTTACAGGTTTCACTGTACATACAAAAGTTTAAGCGTCAGATATCACCCATTCAGATTTATTGGTTATTTCTTTATCTAAAGCTTGCGCCTGTCTTCCTGGAGATTGCAGAGGCAGCGAAACCAACAATGGAATTTACCAGCAATGTCTATAAGGTGAAATAGACAATGAATCTGGTTAATCAATTTGAACATTTTTAATGGAAGCTTTCAAACTGATGTTATGACAAGCAGGACAAAAAGTTGTCCTGCAAATCCAATATATCATAGTTCGATGCATGTAATTAATCATCAAAATTTTCATACCATCAAACAAAAAATATAATAAAAATGGGTTATCTTATATTCCAAACCAGCATTGTTTGAAAAAATCAAAAGGAAAAATCAGAGCATTTCTCAAACAAAACTGTGAGAAAATCTGAAGTGCAGGATTTCTCCTACTGAACCTTGATCGAGAAAAAAGGAAAATCCTCACGAAAAACCCTGGTGGGAAAGTTCGACACTTGAATCAGCAAAACCCCCAAACTTACTTAAGTTCCTGGTGCACCTCCTCAGCAGTCATTTCAGCTGCCCTATACACAGTCTTCAATGTGATCATCTCTTGTTTTGCCTGTTGGTCAGCATGGTGCCGGTCAAGGTTCATGTAGCTGTCATTTATAATGCGACGACTGGGGCCCACCTCATCTCCCGGGGCGAACTGGTGCCCAACTAGCTCCTCAAGAAAGTCGGTATGAGAGATGTAGCCTTTTCCTTCAAGGTCATACCTGGGGGAGAAGATCAAACATAGTATTAGAACATGTGCTATAGAATAGTGTTCCTTTTTATCATTTAAATCGTATGATGTTTCACATTATTTGAAACAATAAGAAATCAGATTCAAAATAAGCATGCCCATTACTTTGGGTGGTATAGAATTTTCATTCTGCAGCTTACATGTAGGTCTACAAGAGGCATATGTGACAATTTGATCTTAAGTTTAATAAAAAAAATTATCAATAGTTGGGTGCTAAAATGTTGGTATTAAACAGTAGTGCAGGAGACATCACATTTTATAGTTGTTTCCTTTTAAAGTAATATATTAAGTACATGTAAAGTACTTGTATTTCAAAAAATATCTGCACCTACCTTCTCCATAAGTGATTGAAGTCATCTTTATTCATTGGTAGAATAAATTTGAACAGTACATCTCTGAGCTCCTTCTTTGTGATGATCCCATTCCCACTGCCATCCATTGTTCGGAATGCCTTTGCTAGATCTTTCCACTGTCTATGGGCCTTGTCTTTTAGTATCTTGTGGACTTCATCTGCCTTCATGGGTGTGGCGTCAAATGTGTCATTATATCTGAAATGGAAAATTGTAATTCACTTGTTTAACAACATTTTCCTTGGAAATAAAGATATTCAAGTTAGAAGAGTCAATCAATAGGTTAATAACATGACCTGACAAATGTTATAAGTAACTAAGTACTGTGTTAACATGTTTCAGATTCCCTTCACAACACATAAATTAAGAAAAGGTGTTTTCAGGGAATGAGTGGAAGGTAAGTCTGACTATTCATAGGAAATATACACAATGGGAAAAACTACTGTATTCACTCTTTCTACAGTAAACCTGTGTAAAGTGAACATTTTTTGTCAAATCTGTTTCAATAGAATAGGATATCAATATCTCAAATTAGCCATTTAATCATTTTTGGCAGGTAACTCGAAAAACTTAACTCTAAAAATGAAGAGAGGTGTTCAATAACGCAGTTCTACTGTAGTAAAGTAATTGATGCAAAATGCACAGTGAATTTTGAAATAGATAATTTACAAATGTAGCTCTAAATTAAAGAAATAAAATATAAATATAGGGATAGGCAGTACGATGTAGATTTTCTATATTGATTTTGTGAAGCTACGGCTGCAAATGTGACTGAGGCTTTAGAGATTTTATATTATGTATATTACAGAATAAATTGTATAATGATAAGAGCCTAACCTGTGACAGGAAGTTAACCAAGGGTGACCCTCTGGAGTGTCTCGAACTTCAAACTTATCTAAGAATTCCTGATAGCCAACACGTACACCTTTTACAAATCCAAACTTCTCCGCCAATTTCTTGAATTCCTCGTCAGAGATGATGAACATGAAAGAATCGAGGAGACGACGGAAGTTTGCTCGAGTCAGACAACCTTGATGGGTGTCATCGAATTTGTAAAATGCACCACGAAGATCCTGAAAATGAAAAAAACTAAAATAATACCCACGATATTCAGATTTAATCAATAAGTCATATCCTAAAGAATCATCAATCATTCATGCAAATTTGTGCTGCATTTTACTTTGCCTTGGTGAAATTCCAGGTTCTATATACTTGTATATGTATGAAATCTGTCCTTCTCAGAGGAAAGTACAGTTCAAAGGGTAACATAACTGCCTGAAAGCACTGTTCATTTCAGTTCATGTATATTTTTGATTCAGGCTTTATACAGCCTTGATGATCAAGGTACTTACAGCAAATCCTTCTCTTAATTTGTTTCTTAGTTTAGCTTCACATTCCATTGCACTCATACCGAGTTCATCTCCTCGTGCTACATTCACACGGTGATTACCAGATCGTACAATGTCTACACCAGGGCCATCTATACGTGGGTCTTCAAAATTTGCGACAAAGTCTTTGTAATCCATGAAGCCTTTATGGAATTGTAGCTTTGAGCAGACTTCATCGTAAACATTATCAGTCATCAAGATTCCATAGTCGCGTAATACCTAAAATCATAAGATTCATATTTAAAGGCCCCATGCAAGAATATTTTATAAAAATTCATAATTTACTTAACATGATCAAGATATTGTTAATTTTGATTTTAAGTATAGGACTGTTTTTTATACCGTTGTTAGGATCTATGGCTTTTTAGGGATTTAATTAAATTGTACTTACACCACGGAAAACCTTTTTGGAAATTTTACGTCTTCCTTTTTTATCGAATATTAGAAAGGTTTCTCTAATTTTAGTTGAGTGTTGGCTCATTCTGTCTTTGATCTTAACTAGGATCTCCTCAGGAAAGAGTGTGTCTGTCCTTTCAGATACATGCTGGTCAGCTTCAACTTGTCTGCAAATGAAACACAAGGCATTAACATGAAAAATGTCACTACCTGCCATTTGTTATTGACATCAAACGCCAACTGCTGAATTTCGAACACGAACCACTGAATACCAACGGCCAAACACAAATATTTTTTCCCAGGGTGATGTCAGATGAGGTTACCACAGCAACCATGATTTCCTAGCTTGGTATAGCTGAGTGATTACGACATTATTTGGTAATGTTTAGTGAACCTGTACAGAGTTTCAAGATGATTGGTTTGAGAGTATTGAAATGACAGTACACTTAATCTTAGTTTTGGAACAACTGGTATTTGAAAATACTGTGGCATATTTAAATAACCCATACCTGTAAATCTGGTCCTGTAAACGTTTAGTTTCAGCTGCTGAACTTCCATCTGTAATTTGTGTACTCAGGCCTATAACATCTCCAGGTTTAACATCTACACCTAACTTTTCCATAAATTCTACATAATTTACTTTTTCATCGTCTCGTTCCTCACATCTCAAGACCATATTTTCAAAATGGTCTTCAGATACTGGGAGGACATATTTGTCAATAATGTTTTTAAGGTCGCTATGTGCAATTCGTCCTTCATTTTTTGGGTCATTTGCTACGATTGCATCCCCAATGGGCTTGAAGTTTTCTTCTATCTTCTCTTTGAGTATATCTTCCACCTGAAAGTCAAGATTTAGTGATTAGAACATTTTAAAGTGTTGATATTCATTGTTTAAATGAACAAGAACAGTACTTCTCCTGGGCTCCTTTGCAAAATTTTGATGCATATTACTTGTAAAATCTTAAAGATATGAGGTTTTAGTTGTCTTATCCTAGGTGATGTCATCTGGTAAAAACAATTGCTATCCGAAAAATCTTGAGAATAAATTCTTTAGATGTATGAATTTATATATAAACTTACCGTTTCCCAAGCTAATATAGCAGGCCTCTGTTGTGAATTAAATCTATGGTCTGATATTAACCATTTATGTCCCTCGTCTGTTTCTCGCTCCTCAAACAGATCCAGGAATCTTTGGTATGAGATATTGTTGGTTTTTTCAGGATCAAGAATTGAGATCAGTTCTTTGAATTGGTCATCTGATACACGAATTTTGAATAATTCAAATACAGATCTCAATTCTTTCTTTGTGATTCTTCCTTTTCTATCCTGAAAAGAAAGGCATTGGGAGCTAGGTTGGTATATTCTTTCTAATAATCCAACTTAGTGTAATTCTAAAGTGCTGTTATGATTTGTCAATGCAGTCATAATGAATACAAACTAAATGTTTTTCTCTGGACCTTAACATTAAGAAGATAATAATTAAACACCAAGACAATGATAAAATAAATTATATAAAACATATAAATGTGGATACTTTGAATGAGAATACATTTACTGTAACTGATTCCTTAAGTGAAGCAAGTATTTTTTAAATGCGAATACATGTTAAGAAGTAACACTTACAATATCAATTTTGAGAAAAGCGTCTTTAAGATTATTGGACCCCAATTCCACTTTCTCACATAGCATACGAAGTATGTCCTTTACAGAAGACTTCTCTTGGTCACCACGGATTGGGAAATACCTAGAAATGACAAACAGAAACTATTCATTTTTCTTTTTCTTGGGTCCCTAGATTTGTATTCAGGAACCCATTCACAGTAAAACCTTTATATACTGAACAGGAGCCACAAAAATTGTTCACTATATGTAGGTTCAACTGAAATTCAGAATTCATATGATCCATATTGTTTTTTAAGAACAAGTCCATTTATTACTTTTATGATAAATTACATGCATATGCTTCTTACTTTATAGTCAGTAAAATATTTACAAATATATTCATCATAGAACAGATCTATAATATTGATTCTACATATTGTTGTGGGTATTTAGAAACTTACTTGTGTCCTGGTTTTATGGGGATTGTCTGTCCATTGCCATCATTCTGGGCATCTTGAAACTTCTCTAAGAACCATTCCCATGCAACACGTCCTGATGCTTTGATACCACACCTACGCGAAAAAATATATAGAAGTTAAAATTGCATCAATATTTCTATTTTCATTAGGTCACTTTAAAAGGGTTGGGTGTTAAAACTGTACTAGAGTGTTTGGATGATTACACTGGACAGATATTTCAAAAACATTAATTTGAAATGTTGTTGGAGAACTACTATTTTTCCATATCATTTTAAAATTTTATTATGATATTATAATACATATTAAGGAAACATCTATATATTGAGATATAAGAATGACAAGCATATTTCTCTAAAATAACAATGAGTTTGAAATACACCAATATCTACATTTCTAAATAATTATAATCTTTTCTACTCTATTTTATAATTGGAAATGTAGCCTAACTTTTTTCTACAAAGTGGCGGACATTTCATAGTACCTGATTATATAAGGCAGCAGAAAGGAAGAGCACAGCTAGAAAGAATTAAAAATACAATATAAGAGATATATCATAAAGAATTTGTACACACAGAGTTAGTAAGAAGACACACCCAGAGTATGACTTGTATGATGAAATGCAATATGAGTTAAGATTAATGACAGAAAGGTCAGGAAGATTTTAATTGATGAATACAATCTCAAAAGACTCTGAATAAAATTCTGGTTCATATTTGTTCTGAGTAAAATCATAAATGAAACCAATCATTGATTAGAGTCTTTTAAAATTGTTCATTTGATTTTATAATTTCATGAATTCTGTATGATGATGTTAATATTAAGTACAATAAATATGGTGGTACATAGAGAGTATGGGTTACAAGGTGTAGAAAAGTGTTAAGATGGTACACCTTTGGTCAACAGTGTACTAAACAATAGCCTTATGTATAGTGCTCTTATCAAGTCATATTAGCTTTGGAACTAACCTGTCCATTAGCTGATGGAACAGTTGGTCTGACATTGGAATTGTGAAGTTAACCAGGATGGATTTGACATCTTCAATTGGGAGGAGGCCATCTTTGACTTTGTCAAAAGCCAAGAAAGCACGTTTTAAGTTTGCCCTGTTTTCAATCATCTGAAAAAAGCAGCAAATAAATGATTACTACATGTAATTTGTATATTTCACAAGCTTCAATTTTTTTTAGGAGTTCAAATAACATTTGCTTTCCACATATACAGAGTAAGTAATGCTTCCTTCTACTAGTATATTAATTAATTACATGTATGACAAAAAAACATAATCTTGTCATGGCTACTTTAGAATTCAAGATCCAAATCTGATAATCCCTATGAAAATATTGTATGTAAGTATTTTCTTAATGAAAATTTAATTTAATTGAAGTATATAACTCCTTCGTAATTCTTAGGAAGAACAGAAGTAGAATGATGATTTAAATGGAGGGAAAAAGCCAATTTGTCCCTAATGGAGTCAAAGTTATATCAATTGAACTATAATTCAGTATCACATTTACCTTTTTTCTGAATTCTAATTCAATCTGGTCAAATGTCATGCCTGAGATCACAGAGGTTCCGCCACGGATGCCAAGACGTGGTCTCTTTGATTGTTGACCTGTATGCTCGTGATTCCAGTTTAATGCTGCAAAAAATAAAACAGGTATTACATGTGCTATACATGTAAAACATATTTAGTTCTTGCATCTTATTTTAATAGCTTCAGAATTTCCCAGTGATTTCCCTGTCATAAATTCACTATCACCATTTGCATATTTGCAACACGTAAAATGATAACTAAAAGCAACTAATCTGAGGTAAATTCACCATGTTTTACAGTACAGTAAAACGTGTCTTAGTGGACATCTCCCTCTAGGGAACACCTGTGTTAAGTGAACACTACTTTAACAAGACACATTTTACATTGACTCCTGTATAAAATCCCCTCTATTTACATACACTTGCTGTGATTCCAAATGTGTTCACTATATACATGTTTAACTGTATAAGGCAAGATGTTTAAACTCTGTGTGGTTAATAGATTCTTACCTGATTTAGAAGAGTCTGAGAGAGGCTGTTGACTCTTCACAACATTGACTCCTAAACGTTGTAGAAAATCTCTGTAGTCCACCATGCCAGTGTGGTGAAAGTCATATCTCTGCCACAGTCTAAAAAATAATATGCTTATTTGTAAATAAGAGGCAAACATTTCGAATCCTGACAAAAATTAAACTTACAATTTACGCATCTGTGAAAAGTATTTTAAACTGAAAAGAGAGATAAGATGAAAACATACCAAAATGTATGTCAAAAGTCTGATTTTGAAAACAAAAAACAAAAGATAAATCTATTTCTAATTTGAATATTATGTTTGACAATGCATGGGCTTTCCCTTTAAAGTTCATGATTTAAAATATTTCCTTCAAAATAAATATTAAATATTGTAGTCACCTTCCAATTAGATTTTCAACATCCAGGAATATCAAAATCTAATAATGATTAATTAACAAAATACAAGATTCACTCACTTGTCATATTGTTGATCTGTGAATTTAAAGCAGTAATTTTCCAACACTTTACGGAGCTCATGTCTCTGAACACGGCCATCCCTGTTGTAATCATAGAGTCGTAGTCCTTTACAGACATTCTTCAGGTTCTTGTTGATCTTGTCTTTCAGCATCTTCTCTACCATGTCAACATTGATCTCCTTTGGTGGGGCTTGCTGGCTGATGTACCTAGAGAATGACATGGGGGTGTTTTAAAAGATTTTTCAAATTCATGATGTGGGTTTTAGGAGTTTAAGCATTTACAGACTCATGTACATGTCACAGAAATAATAAATTCTAAATACATTTTATGATAAAGTTTAGTTATTAAAAAAGTACAATCGTGGATTTTTTCAATGTTTTTCTTCAACCACTGTTCAATTTCAATCGTTTTAATAAGTAAAAAACTGGCATTAAAGGCATTTAATGAAGAGAAAAACTGAAACTTACTTGGAACCTCCTGGGGTTGCTGGGACAGCCCATCTATTCTCTGAGCTAGACCTGGCACCATAGAACTTATCCAAGAAATCACAATATTTCACTGTCCCATTCCTATTTGTGTCTATTTTAGACATGACTTGGTCAAATTGTTCACTGGTTAGTGAGATACAATAAAGCTCGAGGACACGGCGGAATTCACCTTTAGTAATGCTGAGATTCTGCTCTCTATCATAATTTTGGAAACCCTGAAATGAATAAAGTTTAATATTTAAACTTCAAACAGTGCTAGTTTAATATAGAAATAAATAGAATAACAAGGAGAATCTCAACCAAAATAGTCTCCCTTGGCAATGGTGTATAGAATAAAATAAGGTACATGTACAGTGAAAACCTCTCTTATTCAAACGCCTCTGGGATTGGCCAAAAGTTTTTGGATAAGTAGGTGTTCATGTTTCAAAGTCTTATAAACATGTAACTCAATGAGGGAAAATAATTTTGGGACCAAGAAGAAGTGTTCACATTGAGAGGTGTTCAGATTAGAGAGGTGTTCCGATATGTAGGCTTAACTGTATGTGGTATGAAGTAATACTTTATGGCATGGGTCCATGATTCCATATGGTTGATAGCATGGCTTAAATATTTGATGTTGTCAAATCTAGAAAAAACATACCTGTTGTAAATCTCTGTATTTGCTGCGGACTTTCTCACGTAAGAGAGCTTCTACCTCAATTATGGACAACTTGGGGTTGGCAGCTGACACATTGGTTGACCCTGAATCTGGAATATGAATAAACATAGTCTTACATATAATAACAGTTGAAGCTCATGCCATACTATTTCAGCTTAAACAAAAGTTCTTTTATGGATCGATCAGTTTTGATATGATGAATAATGAGCTTTTCAAAAAGGATGTATACCAGGTCATTCAATAAGTCTGAGGAAAATGCTCTCATTTCAAGGGTTTTCCATATCTATTCCAGAAATGATCACATACCATGGAAAAGTATTTAAGGATTATTTTTGAAATATAATATCTTTCATCATGAAATTGAGAAATGTGAAAATCTCTTGAAAAAGTGCCTTTTTAATGAATATCAGCCTGAACACATATTATGTTTCTGTGTCCAATAATCAACAAAGTTATAGTTTACATGTATATTAGCAGAAGTTGTTAATATTTTGAATATTCAAGAGAAAGACAAATCAAGATTGTATAAAAACTTGTAATATGAGGGGGGTATAAGCTATTACTAGATTAACTAGGGTCTACAGCTGTCGATAAGGACAGTTAGACACGGTTCCTAAGAGAGTGGAGTCTACTTGCATACTGCAGGATAACCCCTGCATTTTCTTGCTAAATATGCCCGATGGAATTATTATCAATTGATTAAATATGCACAGATATCCTTTTAATTCTCAAATAAAAGTCTGTCAGTTAGCAATTAACAATTTACATATATCATTAAATAAATTTGAATAAAAGTTTTAAAAAAAACTTTAAAGAAAACTTGCAAGGACATTCATGTAGGTAGAATGAATTAACCATTGTGGGGAATAAATCATTAGTTACAGGGCGTTCATAAAGTTCTTGCATAAGTACTCTAAAATTTTTGTATTTCCGTCAATCTGGCTGAAATTTCCACTCAGTATACCTACACTATTCATACATTGAGATCGAAAGTTATAATTAATAAGTCCTTGTGGAAAAAGAGTTATGGTTGTTATAGCCACACGAGTCAGGGGTAGGCGGAGCATGCAAAAAGGATCTGTTTTGTTTGGATGTTCAAATTGTTTTAACTTATCCTGTTAACTTTAGGCTAGGGCTTACCCAAAATGTATTAAACCCTGTACTTTTATGATAAGAATCCTGACCGGGACATGCCCCCTTAATGCTTATGACCATGTTGCTAAATCTAGATTATGTTCATTATGTAATGATGCAGATGAAAATGTAGTTCACTTTCTTTTCTCTTGTGAAAGCCTTAAGCACAGGAAAGGGCCCCTTTTTTAGAGTATATTAGAGTTATGAATTATCACGGTCAAGGTTTTAATGTAATCATTGTAAATATCCTGAAACAAGGAGATATTACTGCTGCTCAGCATGTATACAACTTGTATAATAAAAGATGTAGCTTGCTGTAGATAGTGGTACTTCACTTTCTATATGTCTATTTTTATATCTTATATCGTAAATAACTTTATGTAATATTATATCTTAAATAACTTTATGTAATATTGTACTCATCATTTATGGTGGAATAAAAGATACATAAACATAAACATAATAACAGTATCTCAAGAGTATAGGTGTTCAAAATAGTGTCCATCGTGGTCTATACATTTCTGCTGTCTTCTTACCATTCCTCAAATATATGGGGGAACCCTTTTGGAAAATCTAATGCGATTGATCTTTGTATGGATGGCTTTTATCAACGTCATCTGATCCTCACTGGATTTCGTTCTTGGACGGCCTGATCTAGCATTGTCCTTACCATTTGTTCTACCATCAGTATAAATGTCTTAGTCCATTTTGTAAATGGTTCTTTTGGCCATAGCCTACTTCCAAAACACTGTATGAATATCATCAAGTGTTTGTTTTCTTGAATTTCCCAGTTAAACATACACCCCAATGCTACTGATTATTTGTAATTGCAAATCATCATCTTTTGATGATTTTGCTGCCATTTCCACAAAAATAAAATTGATGCTGCCTTTCACAAAGTCCGATGTCATCAACCAATATAGGTCACTATGATACCATGAGTGATGTCATGAATCAAAGAAATTTCAACTATGATGTCATCATATCACATCCTATTGTTGACATGGCAACATTGGCTAGTTTTGTACTTTCAAAGATACTTAAAAGTATGTTAAAGTTACCTCTAACCCACATTTTTTATCTAAATTTTTCTTTTTTTCAATGCTGCTCCGCCTACCCCCGACTTGTGTTACTCTAGCAATCATAACTTTTTTTCTTCAAGGACATATTCATTATTATTCAAGATTCAAATGTATGAATAGTGTAGGTATACTGAGTGAAAATTTCAGCCAGATTGATTGAGAAACAAAAAAATTAGAGAACTTTTGCAAGAACTTTATGAACGCCCTGTACATTAGACTCCTGAAGAACATAATACACCTATTGATTACCAATTTACATTCATAAACTAAAATGAGGGACAATACATATTCTTGTACAAATAGAATGCTTTTTAAATTGAAGGTTCTTATTAAAGGTAAAACAAAAATCAATCTATAACAATATGATACCCATATCTTATCCAAAAGACAAAATCAATACAATAGAAGACCGAAGAGATTTTTACTAGAGCAGTTAGACGCATCCTTCAAGATCGGTCCTTCATTGCTTTCATAGCAGCTCATGTAATGCAATGAATTACTCTTGGGCCATGGATGAGTTACACTGAAACATTAACCTTTGCAGTGCTTAATTAGGTAATAATATTGTAACTAACCATGGCATCTCTGAGGAGCTGTAGTCTAACAAGCCAGATATTGGATATGAAAGAGAGTGTGCTAAATTATATGCCCCATATGGGAATCAAACCCAGGACCTTCAATAACTCAATATGATTTCCACGGGAATGATTTAAAGTTTATGTTTGATATGATGTGAAACTGCTAATTTACAATTTAATACCTTGAAATGATTTCTCAGAATGAGAACTCCCATGTCCTGAGTCTGGAGATCCAGGATTGTGCTCTCTGTGTGTCTTGCTAGGGGAGGGGACCCCCTGGGATTGTGCAGGCCTTGGGGTGAATGTCGCTCCCTGTGTCATAGGCCGTAAGCCTAACATAGAGGCCATGATTCTGGAATAAGATATATATGACTCAAAATCAAAATGACGACATTGATGGGTATATTTGTAACCAATCATAAATTGATAATTGAACTATAGCGCCATGATTTCCATCAACTTATGAATCTTATAGCTACATTTTTATAAGAATGTCATAAAATATTTTCTCATACTCAGTTTTCAAATTGCTATCAATTTGCTATCATGGCAAAAATATGTATATTTTTATAAGTTTTAAAGAATGTCCTGAATTTTAAAGAATGTCCTGTATACAAAATATGCATACAGCTTTTGACATTTAGATCTAGTCTACTCATGAAAAGTTTTGACATGTAATTTTTGAGTCCATTTAGATTTCATGAAATTGCAATTTTATGCTAAAAGTCTATGTCAACAGCTAATAAGCAGATATATGATTTACCAGTGATAGAATCTGAATAGAAGATAATTCAAACCATAGACATTTGTAATGGCATTGGTCCTATATCAAAACATTTGGTATGGCATTGATCTTATATCTGGACATTTGGTGTGGCATTGGTCCTATATTTGGACATTTGGTATGGCTTTTGTGTTTTGGGTCGGAACACATTGAAATCCGACAGATTGGTATGGGAACATATTGATATCTGATCCTTAAGGCCTAGGACCCTCGCCAAAATTTATACAGTGAACACCCCGGGATTTAAAAATAGATCTATGGTTTGGTTTCAACTCATTTTAAAATTAGATGGAAACTTTCCGGTTGGCCCATGTACACCAATGGAAGTCCCTCGAAGTTAAGTTACACTTGAAACAACTGTAAGGCTAATGCGTTGACATCACCCCTGTGTTTACCAGTAGTGCATGCTTATGGCAACGGCCGTCAAAAAACGTAATTAATTCCCCCCCCCCCATACCACCCCCCTTCTAACAAAAGTCAAAAAAGTTTATTCGTGTGAAGTGTAAATGAGTCAACATGTTGATTTGCATATCATGGTATCTATAGCACCCAGAAATCGTTGCAAATAAAGATCTGAACTTTTAATTGAACTTCTCAACATGTGAATGAATTGATTGGAAATTGAAAAAAATAAACGTGAAAACAAACACTTTGCCATACCTTATTTTTCTCCAAAATAGACAGATATATCACATCGAAAGTGTTCTTCGGAAATATGTTTCCCGTATTTCTAAATTACGGTACATAAATACCATAAATAGATATGTAAAAACTTTGGTTTCATGCACTTTTCAGTCACTAATTGTATTGCCGTCGCTAAGCACGGGAGCACTTGTTGATTTAGCATCAAATACACGAACGGATTTAATATCCGAATGTATATTCGTTCTATTTTTTCACTACCATTCAGGGTTATTTTATAAAATTTCTACACTGTAATTAACTACAAATTAAACAATTTTTTTGTATATGTTAAATTAGTATAACTCTGTAAGATATGTTGTTCAGTTTTCTGGTCTGTTTGACGAATCTGGTGTGTAAAATTACAAACCTTTTTAAAGAAACTGCGATCGTATTTTTAAACATATTGAAGAGTTAGTGACATCTATCAATAGAACATAATCTGAAATTCATAATAACTTGTGCACATCTACAGGGTGTACCAAAGAATGCGACCCACCTTACGATCCAATTACCAATAGAGAAATCGTTTTGGCTTAATCAAAATACCGTGTACATTTTTACTCTAGTTACCGGTCGCACCCAATAAAACCCCCTGGGTAGATCCATGGGCATCTACATTGTATTCAGGAACAAGGGGCAATTCTAGAAGAATCAATACGAGATCATGGTTTCTCATGATTATTTCTAACTAATATGTTGGAATGAAACCGGAGTTTCGCGAACAGGCCCATGGGTGCTTAGCCTATTTGAAAGGAGGGCGTATGAAACGTATTTCACCTCTTTTGATAACTGTCGTTCAAGTACTAAGCTCTGTTTTTGCAATTAAGAATATAACATCCCCGGGTATAACACCAGATTGAAATTTATTCATTTAGAATCGTACCAGAAAATAATAATTATTTGTTTATCTTTCTGAGTCAATTGGACGTTTGTGCTATCACATATACTGTAATAGGGGAACATGGGGCAAAACGGCCCTCTGGGGCAAAGTGGGCCATCGAAATATCTTTTGAACTATAAAAAGATGGTTCTTCAAAAGTCACAAAATCGAATTTTGAAATATCTGCCACCTTCTCGACCGTCCATTTTTAACCGTTTTGCCCCACCCATGGGCCGTTTTGCCCCACTCTCGACAATATTTTTGACCATTGAAAAATCACAGAAGATAGTCCTAGGAAAGTATAAAACACTCGAAAAATGTAAACCACAAACCATTAATAAAGTGGAACATCAAAGTGCGCGATGATTGACAGATACGAAAATACCCCGTACAGAACAACTTTAAATTAAATTTTTTGGGCCGCTTTGCCCCAGGATTACAAAATATAATATGGGGGTTAAAATAAGGGGCGCTTTTAAATAAAAAGGAAAACAATGCACCCAATGTACTGCACAAACAAACCTGGATCGAATAAATCTCAAGGGACTTATTTTGAGTACCCTTTGCATTCGTTTGACTTACTACACTCTGCACGCAGGGTATATTTTGAGCAAACAATATTGTATAGCTCTGCTATTGAAAGAAAAATGATAATCAGAAAAATCCTTAATTTTTGAAATTGAAAATGTAATAGGTGGTATCACTATATAGTTTTAGGTGGCCTAATTAATTATATATTGATGCTATATTGATGACAGACCTCAGGCATATATTCAATGATAGGGACATAATTGCTAAATATTGCTTTTTGTAATATATTGCCATCAAGAGAGATAAAAAGAGCAAAAATAAGATGGGCGGAAGAAGGTGAAAAACAATCTAGTTACTTCCTGAAGTTAGAAAAAAGAAATTTTGCAAAAAAGAACATCACACAACTGAATACAGACGATGGCAGGGAACTAAATGATCCTGAAGAAATAAGGAAAGAAAGTGCAAGGTTCTATGAAGAACTGTACAGAAGCAGGCTCCCAAACATTAGGCAGCACTCAGAAACATTCTTCCCTGCTATAAAATCAATCACCAGTCTCACAGAAGAGGAAAAACAGAGCTGCGAGGGCTATATTACCTTAGAAGAAATAACAACACAGATTAAGTCCCTGAAGACCGGGAAGTCACCAGGCAGCGACGGCTTAACAAGCGAATTTTATAGATGTTTCCAAGAACCAGTTGTGCCAATACTGGTAAAAAGCTACAAGGAAGCATTGGATAAAGAAGAATTATCAACCGAACAAAAAAGAAGCATTATAACCCAACTACCTAAAAAAGACCGTGACATTTTACGCCTATTAAATTGGCGACCAATATCATTGCTAAACACAGACTACAAAATAATTACAGGATGTCTAGCAGAAAGAATGAAAGCCCATTTAACAAAAATAATTAACGAAGACCAAACAGGTTTTATTAAAGGGAGAAATATATCAGAGAATATTAGACTCATAATAGACTGTATGGAACACCTTAAATCAAACAATGAATCTGGCATAATGCTTTTCATCGACTTTGAAAAAGCTTTTGACACAGTGGAATGGAAATTTATTGATCGGACGCTAGATTACTTCAATTTTGGACCAGACTTTAGAAAATGGATCAAAACCATATACAACGATGCAAAAAGCTCAGTAATAAATAACGGGTATACATCACGCTACTTTAACCTGAACAGAGGAGTACGACAGGGATGCCCCCTAAGTCCGTATTTATTTATTCTATGTGCCGAAATATTGAGTGAATCAATCAGAAGAGATGAAGAAATTGAAGGCATACAAATACCAGATGGAGAAGTAAAGATTTCACAATACGCCGATGATACCTCAGTCTTTGTAAGAAATATTGCATCTGCGAAAAAAGTAATTAAAAAGTTCAGAAATTTTGGAGAAATCTCAGGACTGAACATCAATCTCCACAAAACAGAAGAAGCCGTGATAGGCAGAGAAAATGCACTATTACAGCAACAAGTAAGAGATGAAAGCATGGCATCAGGGCTAAAATACCAAGATAAAGATATAAAAGTCCTTGGTATAACCATTCCTTTAGATGGAAGAGACATAAACAGTTTAAATTTCCCAGAGAAAAGAAACAAAATTCAAGGTCTTATTAGAGCATGGAAAAGTAGAAACATCACACCTCTAGGAAAAATAATAATGATAAAATCACTCCTCGTATCTCAGCTGACATATCTATGTTCAGTGCTCACACCAACAGATGACTTTATCAAAGAAATAGAAAACATGTTTTTCAACTTTATATGGGATGAGAAGCCAGACAAAATTGGAAGAAAGATAATGATGAACGAACAAGAGAGAGGTGGCCTAAACATGCTCCACTTACAATCATACATAAAAAACCTAAGCATCAAATGGATAAAGAAATATATAGACCCTACATATAGTGGCAAATGGAAGAAGATATGGAACTACTACCTGAAGAACCTGACGCAGGGAGAAGTATGGGCATTGAACCTTTCAAAAAATAGTGACAAAATAAATGTTTTAGACTTAAGGTACCTGAAGACAGTCTACAAAAATTGGTGCAATCTGAAATATCAAACAATTCCGGATACGAGAAACCCAGAGCAACAATCATTATGGCACAATGAACAGATAAAAATCAATGGAGAAATCATGAAAAACGAAGTATGGATACAAAAAGGTATTGAATTTATAAAAGACATCCAGGACGAAAATAGATTCCTCACAGCAGCAGAATTAGGCCATAAATATGATATTGTTATGAACCAAAGGAATACTTTGAAATATAACAGTATAATTACAGCCATCCCCCAAAATTGGAAAAGAAAATTAAGACACCCGAGAGAAAATGAAGAAGAAACCGAGAATCCGAATGTCACAATTAACACAGAATGGTTAAAAAAGACAAACAATAAAGAAGTTTACAAGATTTTACTAAAAAAGAACAATGCTGTGAAACTGCCAAAGAAGATGGAAGATAAGTGGCAAAACAAACTGCAACTACAAAATCCTTTGATGTGGGCCAAAATCCACAAAAATAGAAAAAATATTCTCAGGACAAAAGAGAAATATTTCCAAATAAAAATATTCTTCCGGATACTATATTATAACAAACAACTAAAACAAATGAACATAGACGGCTATAACACTGATATATGCAGTCTATGCCGTAGTGACATAGATACTTTAGAACATGGAATATACCATTGTGAGGCCGTACAAGACTTCCTAATAACATCTTTCAACCAACTTGACGAAGATGTACCCACAATTGAGACATTCCTTTTCGGAGATGGAAAAACAGAAAACGAACATCTATTCCTGAAACAAAAGATATTCCTAAACACATGTAAAAGGAAAATAAGGAGACCTAATATGATAGGCTGGCAAAACTTCCTAAAAACAGAGAAAAAAATAGAAGAAAGAATCAGCCAAAGAAGAAAAAACCTGAACTTATGGAACAGCAATGGTTGAAACTCAAACATTTCATAACGTAGTAAAATACACACTGGGAACATAAAAACCCCCTCACCAAGCTCAAACCATCGAGCAGAAAATCACAAAAAATCCCCCTCTTGCTTTTTCCCTTGCCCCCCCCCCTTCCCTTCCTCTTGTTATCAAAACTACTATGCTAAATAAGGCTAATATTATATATAAATACGATATTATAGCATATGCAACTACTGTATGTTTTCTTTCTACAATATTGTATTTGTACAACTTTTAATACAGAATAATAAAAAAAAAAAAAAAAAAAAAAAAAAAAAATCAAGAGAGATAAAAGATAGAAATTAGAAACAGGTTTAGATTCAAAAGGTATCTCATGATGACTCGCAAATCATTATATCTTATCATATTTCTATCATGTGTTTTGATTTCTCTTTTTTCAATACATCAATTCAATAAAATTCATAAAGTATCAATAAATTCATTAACGTCGACATCAATGATGGGTTCGAAACCAAAGGAGGACTCAAGACCAACAACGTGCGAAGAACTCACTAGAAAGCTGCCCAAAACTGTTCCAAAACAAAACCACTTGCAACCAGTAGAGTTCTTCAATTTATCATACAACAATGATGCCTACTTAGATGAGATCAGATATATTCACTCTCCAAAGGATTTATGTAAAAGGAAATCAGAGGAGGAGAAACTTATTTTGATCGTCGTTATTTCCGATACTTTAGGTGAGGTTTTTTGAATATCTATTGAGTATTTTTTTAAATTATGTCACTTACCCCAATTTATAGACTTGGACACAATTACCTTCTTTTCTAAAAAATATCAGAGCTTTTAAACTTTTCTCATCTAGATAGGCCAGTACAAGTTCCATAATTGAAAGAACATCTTCACTGGTAGTCTATCTACAGGCCCTTGTGAGTACAACACAGAGGCTTGTAGCTAGACTACTTCACTGGCAATGTGCATGTACTAGTTATACGGTCCAATTCGGTAACGAAATTTGGGAACCTTGAAGTTACGATTCTTTTTTCCATAATTTATTGTAGGCAGAATTTCTTTCATTTTTATCACAAAAGTGTTTTAGTTCTATGCATATTTATGAAAATCTAAACGTTTATGTTATCATATTGGATCAAATGCACATGGGAGCAAATATTGCACTGAATAGTATTGACTGGTACTATTGTTGGTCTTTTTTATGACAATGTAACAGAAATCCTCTATTTCCTTATTGATTCATTTTATTCTAGTCTTTTTCCTTTTTTTGATTTCTACAGTAATTTTTATTTTCAACTTTAAATATCGTTCTTGGTAGCGTGCTCTTCAAAAACTAAAACTTAAATCTAAATAATTTGATGTAACATTTCTTTTTATAGTCATTTCTGTTAATTACTTTATAACATTAGCTAACCAAATTAGCCGATGATTAAATCGTCGATCTCAGAGAGTAGAAAACTGGTGCCAAGTTTGGTGTGGCAAAATCATCCAACTTTCCATCCTGAGACCGACGATGCATCATCGGCACTAATATTATTTTCTTAAATAGACAGTACAATTATTAACTTGGCTCAGTATAGCGAATACGGTATGTTTGTATATTGGAAGGAAAGGAGAGCTTGGACGACTTTTATGATTTGGCATAAGTGTGTCGTATTTTGGCATACGCATGTCGCATCCTGGTATAGTTGTTCATATCATAAGGAAAAGTAAGTTTGTTTACATGCGAGGTACTTGGTACTTGTTCCTTGTCTTCAATAATAATGTTGTTTATATTAACACTTTGTCGCTAGAAATATTCCAAACATACAATCAGCTTTATGATTGTTATGATTTCATATTGTTTTACTCCTCTCATTATATCTCCTCACTACTCTTCACAACTACCTCAATAATTTATGGGATAAATGGCGGGTTATTGAGTCATTAAGCTTTCATTGTTTTTCACAACGTAACCTTGAACGCGTGGTCCATGAATCAATAGGTAGTTTAAGCTTGCAATGTTTTCCACAACCCAAACGTGAACGGAAAATATTTAAGCGATGCATTTGTATGGGCTATCGGTCATACGTATACTTTAGGTTGGCGTTTCAATTTAATATGCAAGCTTCCATTCTTATAACCCCATTTCTGCATTTTCCATTCTAGAACCTTATTTGGAAGTTTGTAAATGTATAGTGTGCAGCTGTATGAATTTAAATTAATGTGTAATATGCTTGACGTAATTTCTACTTCCAGATAGTGGTCATATCTTCAGGAGGGCTATACGAGCCACATGGGCAAATATAACAGAACACAATGGCTGGTCTATAAGAACTGCCTTTATACTTGGAAAATCACTCAACGCTGACAGAATGGCAAACATTTCACACGAAAGTCAACAATATAGAGATATAATTCAAGGAAGTTTTGGAGATGGCTACTTTAATTTCACTGATAAAACAATGACAGGCTATCGATGGGCCCAACAATTTTGTCAACATGCTTCGCTCATCATGCGGGTTACGCATGACACAGTAGTAAATATCCCTCAATTACAAATTTGGGGAGAGTTGTTTCATACAAAGAAGAAAACTAGAATTTACTTAGGTGAAATCTATAGGTATGCCAAGCACGTTAAAGAAGGAAAATATATGTTCACGAGTCCCATTAAATGGCCCATTAAAAAGTACTCGCCATATGCAGCAGGTCCCGGTTTTGCTGTCTCCATGGATTTAGCTATTGATCTGAATGCTATGTTCTGTAGGACTCCATTCATTTTTCCAGATGATAACTATATTGGAGAATTGACTGATGCTTTAGGTATACAGCCATACCCTTCGTTCAAATTCCAACAAGATCATTTATTCATGAAGACGGACTTTCACAAGATCAGAAAGAAACATACAACTGTTCACTTTTTAAAGTGGGATTCAAAAAAAGTTGAAGAAAACCCTAGAGCTCTCCACAAGGAAATGAAAATGGTTTATGATGCTCTGATGCATAATTAAACAAGTGGAATCAGATAAAACAATATCTAACATTGATTCAATAATTTTGTATATTCATTGAATTTGACTATACGGTCACTGACGCAAATGTTAAAGGTCCCATGTAAGCTTAGAGTTTAAAAGAGTACTTTTATCGTTCACATACATAATTGGGGAAAAAGTTGCCAGCTTTCGTTTCTCAAATATTCAAATTTCCCACCATTTTTCTAATCCTTCAAAATACATTTTTTGAAATAAAAAAAAGGTTTACATGTCACATTTTGATATCATTGGGTAAAAAATGGTTTAAACTTTATATGGAGTCTTAAACGTCATGCCGTCCTAGAGAATCCCGAAGCTTAATTTCGCTGTTCATGTTGGTTTTTCAATGAATCTCACAATATGCATTTGTGATCGCTGCTGAATAGTGGAAAGCGAATGCAACTCCTTTTTGGACTGGGGCACAAAACAGGCGCGCGTGGTATGTCACCTTTAACAGCGTCAAAATTGCACCGAGTCTTTTCTATTTGTGCTTTGTGCACCAGTTATAAACTAAAGTCTGTACCTATCTAAAGAATTATCTCAAGTTCTCCAACATAAACCTCTCCCAATGGAACAATGAAACATTATTTGGAATTGTCCCCTTGTATTGTTTTTAATAAGAAATCCTGATCTGTCTTGTTCACATCCCACTTACCTTGTATAACACTAATTTCACCCTTATTGCAACTGATTTTAAATGTTGACTGACATATCTTAATTAAACCTAAAAGAAAATGACTCACAAAACCACAAATTAGCGATATACTTTTGACAAAGTTATTTAATAAAACCTTCAAAAATAACCATGGCAGCGACCTTTATATTACTGATAGACGCCAAATTCAAAAAATCTATAATCACGTCTGAGATTCCAACATTACATGCAACCTGCCATTATATCTTTTAGAGATAGCTTCTCACGATAATCATGTAAGAGAAATTAGAATCAGACCCTGTATGACCAATTATTGAAAACATCCCGTAAGAAGACGCGATCCTTTGTCAGTGACAACAATTTAATGTGAAAATTATTTATGTATATCCTAAATAATTGTTTTTGCGAACAATTTTTGTTTTTTAGTGCAATTGATTTTTGTTCTTTTCTACCAATTCTTGAGAATGAAATAAAATATCTATTCGAACCTTGTAGAACAAAATGGCATATGCAACATATTCTTAGATCTCTCAATATCACAGTCATACAGAGAAAAGTTGGGTTCATTTAAAAAAACGTATCGAAAAATTACATTATCACATGCTCTGTAAAATTCCAGTAATCTGATTGGTTGATTACCGTGTGAGTTTTCCCGTCTCACACGGCCGTCTCACACGTTACTAGAGGCAACCAGTGCTGATCAATAGCAACGATGTGACGTCACTGATTATATCACTTCTAGCCAAGGAGGATTGGCTCCCAGAATGCAACACCGATATTCTGCAAAACAATCACCTAGCGATAGCTTTGTTGGAGAGTATCGGGTCATTCTCCATGCAGTCGTACAAATTATACAGACACGAATAGCAAATGACGCATGCGTGGAGATTAAAGAATATCGAGTTGGAACCCTGGCTTCCAATCCTCCTTGACTTCTAGCTAAGGAAAACAATATGACGTCATACTATTTCACAAACAAGTACGAATACAACGGTATGACGTCATATTGTTTCAAAGCGAAATCAAAAATTATAATAGTTACCAGAAGTACACAGGGTACTGAACACAATCATAACTGACCAAATCAAAATGCTTCAAAATTCCTAGACATGTGATAAGATCGTCATCACACGTTTCAGCTTATGTGATACATGAAATATTCCACTCGGGTAACAATGTATCACCACTCAAGCTTCGCTTTCGTGGATGATACAGTATTACCTTTCGTGCAATATTTCCTGTATCACATGCTGAAACGTGTGATAACTGATAGTATTCCGAAGATACAGTATGGTACCAAGAACAAAAGAAGTGTCCAATGTGTTTTCTAAAACTATATATAGAAAAGTAGATATATTTCAAATTAAAGTGTTACCATTCAAAAGATGACCATTAAATTGACGATGTGTATTTTTGATTTTCAGATTTTTTTATGAGTGGTTTAGAGAAACGTGTCTCCTATTTAGTTCACCACACCGCTACCAAGCCTTTCAAATAAAATAAGACTTGTGTCAGGATAAAAGTGATTCAAAATTCTTTTACAAATCCATAATGACGTTGTATCGTTTAAAGTCAATATTTCATTATGAATTGTATATTTTCTAATTGTATTTTGAAATAGATAAGTTTAGTGTCAAAAAGAAATGGATTATACAAGTATATCACAATTTAGAGCGTGAGTAATGGAGAAAATGTATCTCTTTTATAATCAATCCGGGGTAATCAATATTTAATCATGTGTTTCTGGCTCTCTTCGGCAGACTTGTAACAAAAACAAATGCCAGCTTAACCTGTTAACGTTCGCTACAAAATGACACGTAGGTTATCTTTCTGACAAAGAAGACAGGCATATCTTTTAAATTCATCATCTCAAGGAAAAGTATATAGAATGTACAATGATGGACTGATTTAGGTGACGCCTGCGGTGAAAATGTCCATGGAAAAGCAAAAATTGAACTCCACTTGAGAAATCCTGGCTCCACGCCTGTTGTGACTCCTGGAATTACGTTTTTTAATCTTTTTGTTTTCAGTGGAATAAACAGGTTTTCCGGTTGATTGGATTGTCGATTTTTTGTGGACATTGATTGTACATTGTCTTCATTGGCTTCAATTTGTTTTGTGTGTGTAAGAGGGGACACAAAAAGTGCCACCCACGTAATGTTGCATTTTTTTGTCTGCATAAATTCCGACTTGTCCCTTTGCCTGGCATAACCATCTGGATTTTTAGCTCTGAAGGACTATCTATGTAATGAACTCCTAAACCATAGAACACCCGAAGCTAGAGATCACCAAAAAGATCAGGGCCATTGCTCTTGAGAAATGGTTTAGGGTCGTCAATAACTTTGTAGACCGGGTGCTTTTCTGCAAAAGGTCTCTATGTAAAATGTGGTAGGCGTTTAGTGTTAAAAGTGTTCTGACAAGTGTTTCTTATGTAACTTTTTATGCTGAATCCAAAAAACCATGTTGGCAAGCTGAAATATGATTATTTAACCCTTCAAATACCATGTCAGTCCCCATACACCCAAAATTCACCCCTATCAAGGGGAAAAAATTCTTCAACCTAAAATAACTTTGATTTTATGGTTTTTGTAAGTGAAATACATGGACATTGTATAAAATAAACATTTGAAGTATGAATGATACGGATTACCCTTAAGAAATTTGAATAAAAGCACAAAGTATGTACCCCAGGGGGCAAATTTATGACCCATTTTTTACTTTTCGTGTCATAACTTTTTTATTAGACAATGATGGATGCTAAAAAAATCCATGTAAAAGGCATAATACCTGGTCTACTAATCCTGCAAGAATCAAAGTAATTCCTGTGACAATTGCCTTGAAAAAAATTAGTGAATTTAAGAAAAAATGACATTTTAGCTGGGACTGATTTTATGTGTGACTATAACTGACCCCTATTGCTTTAACATTTATCCCTCTGTGTTCATATATTTAGCATTTTAGAATAAATCTAAAATATAAAACTTATTTTAGCAAAGTTTTAGTAAGATTTAAGCTTTTTATCATGTTCAACTATTAAAAATTCATGAAATATGATGTCTAAAATTGATAAGTTATACGTATACCCTTGGAAGACCCTTATAATTTCTTATTTATGAACATATTTGTACCAATATTAGTTTTCTAGCTTAGAGAAATGATGTACATGTATGATATATCCTGACTTGGCTTTATGGTGGTTTGAACAATCTTTTAAGTGTTATCATTGAAAATTCATTCTTAAATCATAGGTCTGCAATCGATTAAATTCATGTATACCACTAGTATCATTCTACTGGTATGAGCATAATTGAACTAGTTATGATTTCATAGATTAGTTGTTTGATGCATGACATATTCCAAGCTGACTTTCTGGTGATTTTAACCATCTAAGAGGCTTAATCATTGAAAACCATTACAAATAAAGGCCTAAACGGACAGTATTAAGGTAGACTATTAGAACACCCTTATTAATTCCAGGCTTAGAGTATATTGGTACCTACTACTGTCTCATAGCTCGGAGGTTTGATATATGACATATTCTGACTAGTTTTTCTGCAGATTTGAACCACCTAACAGGTCTAATCATTGAATATACTTAATATACTAGGTCTAAAATTGAAGTATTCAATAGAACCCTCTATGATAAATTCAAAAAAGATTCAGAATGACATTAACCTCAACACTGGATCTGAATCAGAATTACAATTCTTCAGAGAGCTGAACTAGGAAGACAAGGCTAATTTCATTCTAAGCAGCCTGACAATTGCATGACGTGAGAGCAAAAGTACCAATGATTCATACAAATCTTCATTTTATGGAGTTTTCTTCCCTTAACAATGTTAAGTCATATTTAAAAATCCCCCCCCCCCCCTGTCCCCATTAACCTTTCTGTGTTACTCTTAGAGTTAAGGAAGAAATTCTTGACAAATGGCATATACTCAGTTTGACAACATTTTGAATTAGTGGGATGTTTCAGTTAATGAGAGTTTTTGCAGAGTAGCAATTTTTGAAATTTAAATCCAATAGGACCATATATGGGAAATTCAAAAAAGATTCAGAATGACATTAACCATAACATTGGATCTGGAAATCAAATAAAGCAACTGATTGATGTGATCTCGGATGACTCTTGTAAATCAGAATTACAATCCTTCATAGAGCTGAACAAGGAAGACAAGGATTACTTTTCATTCTGGTAGTAATACATGGACATGGTCCAAATCTTGATACGCTTCACCATAGCCCAAAGAAAGGGAAATTGGGAGCTTCATCTCAATGTATTTCAATGCATGATCCCCCTTTTCATGAGATATGACCACCAAAAGTATGCAAGATCGGGCACAGTACACTTCACTGCTGAAGTTTTGCTTCCTTGAAGACTGTAGCCAAATCCTCAGATGTAGATGCAATTGATGCTAATTTGTAAGAAGGATCATATATTGGAAATATTACGGTTGGCATTTCAATACCATTTGTTAAACAGTTAAGGAGTAGAGTAAATTTGAGTTGGCTTGAATGTTTCATTCGTCAATGAGAGGGCTATTGGAAAATACATCAGCTCATGTTTCATGATTTCATTGATGCCCACAGGTCTGTGGTTAGCTTCATATGCAGTGATAAGATTCTGCAAAACATTCCTGTCTGCCTTAACAACTTTCTGCTCGTTTATATTGGGATTAGGCATATAGTTTAAAAAATGTTGGTGCTTGCTCAGTAGATCAAGAAATGTTGTGTCTTTCATTTGACCCTGTTGGTATCAACCTCTAAGACACAAAGACATCCAGTTGTTGTTGGCCAAACTGTCGAGCCTGTTGATTGTTTCTGTGAGTACATCTTTTGTACATATACTTTGGAGATTAAGTAATAGATCTTCTGAAAACATGCCAAACTTCAGCAGCATGTCACATATTTTATCTTCTTCCAGAGACTGAATACTAGTATCTACAACTATTTTTGATGTTATGAGTATTGGCTATCAATTTTTTCAATTTTTCTTCAACATGTATTGTAATGACTTCAGTATGAATGAAATGTCCCTTGGTGTTCTGGTCCGGGATTGTGATATTGGTTCTCGATTGGAGGGGGGGGATGTTAGACATGGTTTCTTTTCACGTTAGATTATGGTTTTGGGATATATAGGGTCTACTTTTCTTTTGACAGATTTGCACTTGCGGTTTGCTTTTCTTGTTGGGTTTCTTTAATGTTTTTAGTCACCCTTCCCTTTGGCATTTGTGCTTATATATCCATAGATTCTTGTTTTGATTTGCAAATTACCACCCCCCCCCCTCTATGGAATCTCAAAACGCAAGTCCAAACATCATTCTTGTTTGGACTCCCCATGTGTGACCTAAGATTATACCCCGGTGCCCATCTGTTCAATGCAGATATTGTCTTTGTGTTATGCCTACAATTCTGCCACCCTTCTAACCAATAGCATACTGGCATAGGGGTCAATCAACTTGGTTGATTGAATTTGTAGAGCCTTTTACCACATAGTTCAATGCAAGAATCCCTGTTCAGCTCTATGAAGGATTTTAATCCTTATTCAGATCTAATGTTGAGGTTAATGTCATTTTGAATCTTTTTTTGAATTTTCATAGAGGGTTCTATTGAATACTTCAATTTTAGACCTAGTATATGAAGTATAATCAATGATTAGACCTGTCATTGGTTCAAATCTGCAGAAAAACTAGTCAGGGTATATCATATATTAAACTAGATAGATTTTAGTCACGCCATGGATAATTGAACAACTTCTTTCGCCAGATTTGATTGTGCATGTAGAGGAGAAGTGGCCACATTGGGCATATGTTGTAAAGTACTGTAGTTTTTGACTCCACAGGCAGATTATCATGAAACTTTCACAACAAAATTCATATTGAATAAACTGAATAATTCTGAAGTTTTGAGGCAGAATATGCAGGATTGACAAAGTTAACTAACTTTTCTTCGGTCCTGTTTTTTGGACACCCTGTACCAGTAGAATGATACTAGGCTAATGGTATACTTGAATTTAATTGATTGCAGACCTATGATTTAAGAATGAATTTTCAATGATAACAACTTAGATTGTTCAAACCACCAGAAAGCCAAGCCAGGATATATCATACATTATTTGTCTAAGCTAGAAAACTAATATTGGTACAAATATGTTCATAAATAAGAAATTATAGGCGTCTTCCAAGGGTATACCTATAACTTATCAATTTTAGACATCATATTTCATGAATTTTTAATATTTGAACATGCTAGAAAGCCTAAATCTTCCTAAAACTTAGCTAAAATAAGTTTTATATTTTAGATTTATTCTAAAATGCCAAATATATGAACACAGAGGGATAAATGTTAAAGCAATAGCGGTCAGTTATAGTCACACATAAAATCAGTCCCAGCTAAAATGTCATTTTTTCTTAAATTCACTAATTTTTTTCAAGGCAATTATCACAGGAATTACTTTGATTCTTGCAGGATTAGTAGACCAGGTATTAAGCCTTTTACATGGATTTTTTTAGCATCCATCATTGTCTAATAAAAAAGTTATGACACTAAAAGTAAAAAATGGGTCATAAATTTGCCCCCTGGGGTACATACTTTTTGCTTTTATTCAAATTTCTTAAGTGTAATCCGTATCATTCATACTTTAAATGTTTATTTTATACAATGTCCATGTATTTCACTTACAAAAACCATAAAATCAAAGTTATTTTAGGATGACGAATTTTTTCCCCTGATAGGGGTGAATTTTGGGGGTAGGGGGACTAACATGGTATTTTAAGGGTTAAATAATCATATTTCAGCTTGCCAACATGGTTTTTTGGATTCAACATAAAAAGTTACAAAAGAAACACTTGTCAGAACACTTTTAACACTAAACGCCTACCACATTTCCTCTAGATGAAAATGCACCTTGTCTATTGCCTATACAAGTAGAATCCAGGTATGCCCAGCATTTAGCCAAATGAGACTTGTAGAGTTGCTCCATGTAGTCTAGTGACTAAGTTCTAAGTGCTAAAGACCAAGTCAGAAATCATGCAGGCAAAAAAAGCATGCAACATTATGTGGGTGTCACTTTTTGTGTCAGCTTCACTTCTACCTACACCCTTGTTGAATATATACTTTAAATCTATCGAGATTCTATTTGGATGTCATGCATCAACCATCTTTTCATGGTTCTCCGCATTTTGTTCATTCTTATTTCTGTAAAGCTTTTTAAAACATTTGACCATGTTTCAGATTTAGTACAGAAAATGCATCCTGTGTCGATCTATTTATACGCCCGCTTGATTTACCTACTTCACCAACAAGTTGGAGGGGGCTCACAAGGAAGGGGCTCACAAAGGGTTGTACTAGCTAGACTAGGCATTTTCAATAAATGAATAATAGTCTACTAAATTCATGTAATTCACACAATGCTGAACGCTATGAAATGGATAGTATATAATATACATTTATTCTGCACACTTTATTTACAATACATTTCAATACAGTGAAATGTTTTTTATTATTTATATACATACTATTTACACAGATTGTTCATCAAAACAAAACATAATTTCGTATGAAGAAGTATGAACATTAAACTTTTGTACATAAAATAGATTTTGTTGTAAGGTATACCATTTTCAATAGCCTGATTTCACTTCCTTAAAAGAGAGCTTCCTCTAGTACAGTAAAACCTGTCTAGGTGAAACTCTATGTGTTCCACTTGGGAGGTGTTCCACTTATAGAGGTCCATTTGACAATAAATCAGTTGGTCCTGGGACTCTGAAAAGTGTTTCACTAACAGAGGTACTTCACTTCTAGAGGTGTTCCATCTGTAATTACAATGGGGTCTGGGCTTCATAGTTGCTGATTTTACAAAGATTCAATTACCATACACAAGCAAAATCATCAAGTGTCTTACAGAAACATCTTACTTTCATCCTCCAATTATAATGTTGTTCACTCCCTGAACTAATACTGTTATTACTAATGTTATGCAGTTTGTTGTTTTCTAAACAGGCACATAAAAACAGAATTTGAGGTTCAGATATCCATTGAAATGCATGCCCAGTGTTCACAAAGTATACAGGGTGTCCAATAAATAAGGTGAAAGATATTGTAACTTTCTTAATTTTGCACCAATCTTGATGAAATTTTCAGGGCTTGTAGCCCAAACCTTTTTACCTTTATTCTGTGAATTTAAAGCGTCTTCTGTTTGATTGGCCAGAGTTGTGGTTGCTACAGCAACCGAAACAACAAAAAGGCGGGGCAAGTTTGTTTACGTCACAACTTTCCAAAACATATTTATTCTTTCTGATAGCTTAATTCATACCCCCATGTCTATTACTACCACAAATACAATATAAAAACAGTCCTTATGTCCCTCTGTTATGAAAATAAGCTATTCAACATAAATGTCCATCTCTAGCTATACGACTTTTTATGCCTATCCACCCACTCTCTAAACACACTTTCAAACTCATTCTTGCCCATTTCCTGAAGTCTTGCTAAGACATGTGATCTGACTTCATCAGTACTTCCAAATTTATTTCCTCTCAAGTCACGCTTGAGTTCTGCATATAAGTAAAAGTCATTGGGTGCAAGGTCTGGGGAATATGGAGGGTGTCCAAGTAGGGGTAGCCCCAGTACCCTAATAGTTTCACTAGTGAATATAGCTGTGTGTGAACTCAGATCACGTGTCTTAGCAAGACTTCAGGAAATGGGCAAGAATGAGTTTGAAAGTGTGTTTAGAGAGTTGGTGAATAGGTATAAAAAGTGTATAGTTAGAGATGGACAATATGTTGAATAGCTTGTTTTCATAACAATGGGACTTTAAGACTGTTTTTATATTGTATTTGTGGTAGCAATAGACCTGGGAGTATGAATAAAGCTATCAGAAAGAATAAACATGTTTTGGAAAGTTGTGACGTAAACAAACTTGCCCCACCTTTTTGTTGTTTCGGTTGCTATAGCAACCACAACTCTGGCCAATCAAATAGAAGACCCTTTAAATTCACAGACTAAAGGTAAAAAGGTTTGGGTTACAAACTCTGAAAATTTCAGCAAGATTGGTGCAATATTAAGAAAGTTACTATATCTTTCACCTTATTTATTGGACACCCTGTATGTTTTTAAATAGCTCTCGAATTAAAAGATGGTGTATGGTTGCCATTTCTATCAAAAATGAATGAATCATGCGATACAAGTAACCTTGCCATCTTTCATTGACATTGATAAAAAATTTGAAATATTGAAAATATCTTTTGATAAATTATTGTAAATTCTCATCTGGTATGTTTTTGGTGTTGTATGAAAGATAAAGTACTTATCAATCCATTTAAAATACTTTGAGTATTCAAAAGTAAGTCTATTTTGCCAAAGAAAGCTGAAAATATGCATAAAGTACCTTTAAAGGGGCAACAAAGATAAGATACAAGTTGAGAGTATTTATAAAAAATTGTGACAATTTTACGATATTTGAAAATGTACAACCCCTTTTTCAATTCTAGTCTTGGATATTCTGTATCTAAAATATAACTTCAAGATGATGACCTCAATCATCAGATGATAAAGATTGCTCCCGAAATTTTGCTCTCTCTTTGCTGTTCTCATGTTCCTCTGTATCCTTTATGGAAATTGTTTCTGATTTTGAATTAAACAACCTTTGGTTGACTGTGATTGTAATGTCGTTTTAGTTCTTTGAATACTTGGAATGCTCCATCGTCATTCCAGAGTCTGAAAAGCAAATAATCAAATCATTCAAAAGTCAACATAAAAAAAGTCAATGTTAGGAGCTTTTCTTACAGTATAATATAATTCATTCATTATTCATAAAGAGAATGGATCAATAGAGTATTCTATGCGAATGAACAAAATTAATGTATTCTAGTTTTTCAGATTTCAGTATGGAGCTTAATATTACCTGGAACATCCTCCCTCCTTGGGCGTATAATCCCCTCCCTTGAGGGAGGCTTTGTGTTGGTGAGCTTCACCCCTGGGAATTTACAGACACGGGGACTTGTTGGGCTCTTGCTGTCATACTCATCTGGGGTGAGGATTGTCGCTGTGATTGGGAGATACATGGTGTCAGTTTCCGTGATGATCTCAAGGTCATGTGACACAGCGCCGATACCGCTTTCCCCCTTGACACCAACAGCGATGGCATATATCTCTATAGCCAATTCCGCTTTCATTCCTGCTGCAATCTATAAAACACAGGAGGAAACATTACCCATAAGCTAATACCTCTGTGGTCCTATTTTAAGAGTGGAAACCCCAAAAAACAGCAATGATTAGAACTCTTGAATTAAACCTAAGAGAATATGATTTACACCGAACTGAAATATTTTTCTTGGCAAAGAACATTTTCTTGAAAACCTGAATACTGCTAAATACCCGAAGATTTTTCAGTATATACACAGTATTAATATCTTTTTCATATTGATTCTTCAGCATATATTGTAACCTGTATGTCCTTGGTGTTAGTCCTGGATTGTGATAATTATACTTGAATCGGGGAGGGTGGTGTAATAGACATCATTTTTTCATGTTGGATTATGGTTTGGGATAGTTGGGGTTTGTTTTCCTTATGACTGGTATACACTTATGTGTTTTCTTTTTCTTGCTGGGTTTTGATATTTTTTTGGTCCTTTCCCTTTGACTTTGATGTATCTATCCTATCTATCAGTCTTATTAAATAACTTATGAAGTTAAGTTTTATCTTTCATCATCCTTTGTAAAGAGTTCATAAGTTTTGCTCTAAACATAAAACTCTGTCAATTTTTTTCTCACACAAATAGTTTCTAAAAATGCTAAATTTTCAAATTAAAGCAATATTGTTGGCCTATCTATTGATATAGGTTGAAAATAAGTTTTTATCATGTTTTAAATATTTCTGTATCATTGGATAAAATGAGAACTAAAACTTTAATAATTATTCTCTGTACCACTTTTCTACATTTATGAGTAGATTTCTTGCTTATTGACGGACCAATTTTATTATTCAACACAAAATAGGTAAGGATGTATGTTACAGGTTGATGTTAATTATTCTTTGTGCATGACAACACAATTTCATTTGACATAAATTGACATTTTGATAACATTGGATAGTATTGTAACCCAAACTGTTTTAAACTTCATATGGGGCCTTTAAATTAACAAAAATAATAAAACTGGGATTTGAATGCTTGTTTCAGTCTAAGCATTGCTTATAATAAGTTTAAGTTTTATTGTTCCATACAACGTTTACGTTTAATGATGCTTATAAGGAATGAAACTTTATATAGGGCCTTTAAATTAACAAAACTACATCTAATAAAAACTAGAATTTGAATGCTTGTTACAGCCATAGAATTGCTTATAATGAACAAAACTTTATATGGGACCTTTAAATTGACAAAACTACATGTAATAAAAATGGGGAAACAGATTTATCAAAGCATTTATCTTTTAGCACATATTTCAAATGACCCAAGAAAACCCTCGATTATACATATATATACACATACACATGTATCGCAATCCAATTCCTAAGAATGATTATTTTTGAAGTAACTAAGTAAATACAATGTGAATTAAGTTGACTCAAGTTTCTTATAAAAAGAATATAATAGAAGCAAAGAAAAAGTTTGTTTGTCAAATGACTGTGAATACATCCATAGAATTTCAGAATGCATGTTTAGTAAGGAACCTTTTCAAACACAATAAATACACAAAAAACGTGAACAATATTTGAATCACTTTGGGTGTGCCAAAAAATTGTGTTGTCAAAAAAGGTGCAAGACAAATACAATGCTTTCATGGCATATAAAATATATAGCGTATAGAAAGAAATTAGAAATACATTTAGATTCAAAAGGTGTTCCATGATGCCTCGAAATACATTATTTTTGATAATATTTATATCTTTATGTGTTTTCATTTCTCTTTTTTCAGTATATCAATTCAATTTAATTGATAAAGTATCAGTAAAAGGTTCTAAGAGAATGATAAAAAATAATTTATTAACTTTGAAATCAAATATGGGTTTAAAACCAAAGGACGACTCAAGACCAACAACATGCGAAGAACTCACTAGAAAGCTGCCCAAGACTGTTCAAAAACAAAACCACTTGCAACCAGTAGAGTTCTTCAATTTATCATATAACAATGATGCCTACTTAGATGAGATCAGATATATTCACTCTCCAAAGGATTTATGTAAAAGGAAATCAGAGGAAGAGAAACTAATTCTAGTTCTCATTATTTCAGATACTTTAGGTGAGGTTTTATATATTTATTTTACATGTACTTTTTAAAAGTGGCACTCTGGTAAGTAACATGTATATTATATAGACTGAATTATCATATTTCAGTGAGAATATCTAAAACAAATATAAAAGCAAAAAAAGTTTAAGAATTTTCTTTATTGTTTTCAATAAAAGTATCATTGCTATAAGTACGCTTACTATACTGAATTCAATACCCTGTGCGCAGAGTCTTGTTATAAACTACCCTCTGCCTAGTATAGACTAAATTACAGTTTAGCAGCCCCACCCCAAAGATTGATGCCTGTGACAGCCCGGGTAATAAATCATTTCAAATCTACCACGGTTACCCTTTCTCAACCAGTCAGCTAAGTGGAAGGAACAAATGCTAAATGCATGCTCATTAACTATGTGGTGATGTCAGAGGAAATAACCATAAAGAAAGTTGTCCATATTGCGACAAACTCAAATTTGCTCGGTGAGATCAGAGATTTATTGTAAACTGAAAAAGTGAAGACGAAGCTCTCTTTTAAGAAATGAAGTCGAATGAATGCAAAGGGTATGAATTAAACCTAAGATGTATTATATATTTTTAATTGATATTGATATGTACCTCACACAATTTATACTTGGACACAAACAGTCTAAGCTTAAAAAACATTCCTTACTTATGACATGGAATGACATGTTCTAATAATATTGAAAGAACTGCTTTTGACTTTTTTAATACCTGGTTCTGGTCTATTCAACTTGTTTCATTTTTCAAAATCATTTTCAAAATTCAAAATCAAAAGGAGTTCATATCTGTCCTTTGAGCTTATATAATAGACTATCATAACATCTCAAGGACCTTCTAGATGTTGAGGACGATGGCTTGATAGTATTCCAGAGTTTTTCAAAATACATGTATGTCAAATTCTGAAACATGCAATTCCCACACTTAAATACTTCAACATGATTTTTTGGAAAAGACTGCAAATCAAAGAATTTTTACTTGTATTCATTTGCACTGTATTGATTATTAAAGGTATAAATAAACATTTTAGAATAGAGGAGTGGTCATGATGACCTTATGAACTTACAGTTAGTAACTGAATAGTAGTAGTATATTCTATAGCATACATTTTTGAAGAATATAATATTTATTTCATCATAGCGCAAGCCCATTATAAAACGAGATTTTAATTGCTATAAAAACAAGAATACTTAATTGGTTATGACATACATGATAAGTAATGTATAAAATGAAATATAGGCTGCTTTTCAAAAAGACCAAATTGAAATAACAAGATAACCATTGTGCTAGGTGATAAGATCACATATTGAAGCTTTCATGATCCCAAAATAATAAACTGCAATCAAAATATTGAAAACCCAATACAATGTAACAGAATGCCAGTTTTCATCATGAGAAATTATGGCCTTCTATTAGTTCCATTTCTTGGACATATAACTAGTTAAAAAGAAACAGAAAGATATGTTGAGTATCAGAATGGTTACAAGCCCCTAGCCAGCTTTTATCAAGGAGAGAGGGGTTTGGTTTTGAAAAGATTCCAAGAGGGGGTTAAAGGAGGAGGGAACTTAGCGCAACAGATTTTGGACAGTCATATGTTTGATTTTGGCCATTTTCTAGTGATATTAACAGGTGCATATGTTAGGCCAATGCATTACCTCCAGGAAAATCACTACTAGAGATGATAAAATAATTTTGACTTTGAGACAGGGTAGATGCAAACAACCCACCCACATGTTTTTTCTGAAATGTTTTCCTGATTTTCAACCCCTTCCATCCCTGCTTTTTTAATTTTTCTTGCATCAATATGTTGCATTTGACACACAGTTAATCCCTTAAAAGGAATAAGTGATTCCTTTTAGATAAAGTGGAATACAATATTTCCCATGTTATTTTCCCTTAGGGAAAAACCATTGCTTTTAGCTAAATTTGGTCACCCATAATAGGTATCTTTAAAACCCCTAGAGGAATCACTTATTCCTTTGAAGTGGTTAACTATGTGTCAAAACGCAACATATTGATGCTAGAAAAATTAAAAAAGCAGGGATGGAAGGGGTTGAAAATCAGGAAAACATTTCAGAAAAAACATGTGGGTGGGTTGTTTGCATATACCCTGTCTCAAAGTAGAAATTATTTTATCATCTCTAGAAGTGATTTTCCTGGAGGTAATGCATTGGCCTAACATATGTAATTGTTTCAAGCCTCAGAAAATGGCCAAAATCCAACATATGACTGTCCAAAATCTGTTGCGCTAATTTCCCTCCTCCTTTGACAATATTGGTCCAAAATCACTTGAAAAGTGTCTATCAATACTTTGATTGCGTGTTGAGGGTTAAAATGTTATGATATGAAATTCTAATTTCCTGAACTCTGTGGTCTAAATAATACAGTATATAAATCTAGCAAAACAAGTATTTACATTTTGAAAATTTCAAACTAATTACTTGGAATTATGATAGGAGAATGAGAATAATACTGAATCATGGTGGGGAAGTAGTCGTGAAGCAGGGAGAAATCTGGGGTTGAAAAATCTTCTGGTGAATGCTTTGGCTGGTATTACATTCCCTATTATCCATTCCATTCTAATAACCCAATCATTCATTCTAAAACCAATATTGGAGGGTTGTACATGTATAGTGTGCGGTTGTTTGAATATTAATTCAAATTTTATGTAATAAATGTGTAAAAACATTGATTTCTATTTTTCAGACAGTGGTTATATCTTCAGGAGGGCTATAAGAGCCTCATGGGCAAATATAACAGAACACAATGGCTGGTCTATAAGAACTGCCTTCATACTTGGAAAATCACTAAATGCTGACAGAATGACAAACATTTCACACGAAAGTCAACAATATAGAGATATAATTCAAGGAAGTTTTGGAGATGGCTACTACAATTTTACTGATAAAACAATGACAGGGTATCGATGGGCCCAACAATTTTGTCAACATGCTTCGCTCATCATGCGAGTCACCCAGGATGTAGTGGTGAATATCCCTCAATTACAAATTTGGGGAGAGTTGTTTCATAAAGAGAACAAAACTAGAATTTATTTAGGTCAAATCTATAGTAATGTCAGGCATCATAGAGGAGGAAAATACATGTTTAAGTGCCCCATAAAATGGCCCAATCAAATATATCCACCATATGCGGCAGGTGCAGGATATGCTGTCTCAATGGACTTAGCTATAGACCTGAATGCTATGTTCTGTAGGACTCCATTTGTTTTCCCAGATGATAACTATATTGGGGAAATGGTTGCTGCTTTAGATATACAGCCATACCCTTCGATCAATTTCCAAAAGTTTTATGCCTTTATGTCAATGAACGTTCGCGATATAACAAAGAAACAAACAATAGTTCATTTTACAAACTGGAATTCAAAAAGTGTTGAAGAGCATCCTCAATCTTTACATAAGCAAGTAAAGTTGGTAAGCGAAGCCTTATTGCATAATGATTAAACCAGATGAAACCAGATAAAACCAGATGAAAAAAGATGAAAACAAGTTCTAACAAGAACACAAATGTGTACAAAATGTCCCCACCAATGGGTGATAATTTGAGGTCATAAAACATGTAAACATGTAAACGAGACTTTACAGACAAGATTTTAGGATGGAAAATCCAAAATGGCTGCCTTGACATTTACCCAGAATGTCAAAAAACTAATGTGTTCCTAGATTTTCATACTAAGAATCATCCCTGAAAATATGACATTGATCTACCAAATGGTTCACCTGAAAACGCGTAGACAAGACTTTACAGACAAGATTTTAGGACAGAAAATCCAAAATGGCTGCCATGACATTTACACAGAATGCCAAAAAACTAATCAGATGTAGATTTTCACACTAAAAATCATCCCTGAAAATTTGAAATTGATCTACCAAACGGTTCACCTAAAAACGCGTAGACAAGACTTTACAGGCAAGATTTTAAGACGGAAAATCCAAAATGGCTGCCTTGACATTTATCCAGAATGCCAAAAAACTAATCAGATCTACATTTTCATACTAAGAATCATCCCTAAAAATTTGAAATTGATCTACAGAACGGTTCACCTGGAAATGCATAGACAAGACTTTACAGACAAGATTTTAGGACGGAAAATCCAAAATGGCTGCCTTGACATTTACCCAGAATGCCAAAAAACTAATCAGTTCTACATTTTCATACTAAGAATCATCTCTGAAAATTTGAAATTGATCTACCAAACGGTTCACCTGAAAACGCGTAGACAAGACTTTACAGACAAGATTTTAGGACGGAAAATCCAAAATGGCTGCCTTGACATTTACCCAGAATGCCAAAAAACAAATCAGATCTAGATTTTTATACTAAGAATCATCCCTAAAAATTTGAAATTGATCTACAGAACGGTTCACCTGGAAATGCATAGACAAGACTTTACAGACAAGATTTTAGGACGGAAAATCCAAAATGGCTGCCTTGACATTTACCCAGAATGCCAAAAAACTAATCAGTTCTACATTTTCATACTAAGAATCATCCCTAAAAATTTGAAATTGATCTACAGAACGGTTCACCTGGAAATGCATAGACAAGACTTTACAGACAAGATTTTAGGACGGAAAATCCAAAATGGCTGCCTTGACATTTACCCAGAATGCCAAAAAACTAATCAGTTCTACATTTTCATACTAAGAATCATCTCTGAAAATTTGAAATTGATCTACCAAACGGTTCACCTGAAAACGCGTAGACAAGACTTTACAGACAAGATTTTAGGACGGAAAATCCAAAATGGCTGCCTTGACATTTACCCAGAATGCCAAAAAACAAATCAGATCTAGATTTTTATACTTAAAATCATCCCTGAAAATTTGAAATTGATCCACCAAACGGTTCACCTGAAAACACGTAGACAAGACTTCACAGACAAGATTTTAGGACGGAAAAATCCAAAATGGCCGACAATAAAAAAGTGATTATGTGTTTTTGCTGATTTCTTCTTACAAAATTATCACATATAACTACTCTTAAGAATAAAATAGGCTTTTACAACAAAGTACATCTGAAATTATTTATAAAGCTACTAAATAGTTAAAGTATGAAAACTCAAAAACACCATTCAATATGATACAAAGTATTATCGTGCGCTAACTTTTCTTAAGACATTCAAAATGGCTGACATGACTGAGCTAACAGGTCCAAAACCTAATCAGATCTAGAATGAAGTGAGCTGAACAAGATGTTAAAGTTTTAAAAGCAACTGTGAAGCCGTTTTTCTTAAAGTTTGCAGACAAGGATTTTAGCATTTGATTTCAAAATGGCCGACAGGAAGTAGGTATCGAGTTAAAATTTTTTCATCCACATCTGTATGCACTCATAAGTTATCCCTGAAAATTTGAAGGTGATATCTCTAGCGGTTTTGGAGAAAACTCCCGGACGTACGGACAGACGGACGGACAGACGGACGGACGGACGGACGTACGGACGGACAGACGGACGCGCCTAGGCCGACAATATGGCCCCACACTATGTGGTGGGGACATAAAAATGGAGACTCAATGGAGTTGCAAGACTATATGGAAAGACTTGGGAGAAAAACTTGGTAAAAAATACTGTAGAACTCATATGTATGTACCTATACTGTACGATACTGAACAGGGCAACATGAAATTCCAGTGTTATTTATACATAGGATGAGTTTTGATTAGGCATATTTTCAAGAAATAAAATTGACAGAAAACTTTGATCAAAATCCTGAGTTTTGTGAACATGATTCTGGTGGTCTATACTATTATTAAAATGTGTCCTAATCTACTGAACTTCAGTTCATTTTTCAGTCATGCATAAATACATATGTACAGTATTTATAATTCTAATGAATTAAAAGGCACCATCTTGTGTTTTCTTGTTTAATATAACATTACATGGCTTTCTACAATCATTGACAGATTGAGCACATCAGGGCCGTCAGATGGGGGGGGTGCGATGGGTGCGACCGCACCCCCCTTTGTTACCCCCCAAAATAAATTTGAAAAAAAAAATTGAAAAAAATATTTTTTTTGTAATTTTTTTTTCATTGACTCATACACTTTTAAAGTACCCAGAAAGCACCAAATAGTATCTTAAAAGTGTAAATTTTTTTCTAGGAGTATTGGCCACCCCTCACACCCCCCACAAAACAATGGAAAAGTTCTAAATTTATTTTAGTGTTTTGTCTCAGACACATTTAAAGTGCCCAGACATCATCATATAGCTCCTTGATATAGTTAGTATTTCTGGGGGCTTGCTCCCCCTCTTGCATCTTGCATAACCCCCCCCCCCCCCTCTGGCGCCCCCCCCTGCCCCCCCCCCCCCCCAAAAAAAAGAGGGAGTGGGCCACCCCTCACACCCCAAACAAAACAAGAAAAAGTTCTGAATTTGTTTTATGTTACTTCCTGCGAAAGCTATTTGGATTTTGATATAATAGCTTTCCCACGGAGCATTTGGACAGCTCAATGATCGTGACCTTTGAAATCGAATTAAGTCGATCCGCGGTTTACTTTTGGTCTCTAACTGTGTCTTACATCAGTATCATCAATCCGTGTAAGTATTGGAGCGCTGGAGTACTTCTTTTTCGATCAAGACTTGTAATTCGTTAGTCGAGTGAATCGTTTTACTGCCAAATTCCAATATGGCGGTTTCTGCTCGGACATTTTCGTAAATCTCCGGAGGTTGTCCGAACCTAACTAATTCTCAAAATTCATTTCGTTCGTTGCGTATCTCGCACCTAGCAAACCGCCATATTGGAAATAGGTCTGTAAAACTTTAACTCGATGAACAATTTACAAGTCTTGATCGAAAAAGAAGTACTCCAGCGCTCCAATACTTACACGGATTGATGATACTGATGTCAGACACAGTTAGAGACCAAAAGTAAGCCGCGGATCGACTTAATTCAATTTCAAAGGTCACTATTGATCAGCTGTTCACTTCTCCGTTTGAGAGCCATAAGTTTCAAAATCTAACATGGCTCTCGAAGTGAGTAAGTTTTATGTATTGTCTCAGACACTTTTAAATTGCCCAGACATCATCAAATAGCTCCTTGATAAAGTTAATGATTCTGGAAGACTAACACTTACTCGCCCTCTGGCATCCCCACTCCACCTCCCCCTCTGGCAGCCCCCCCCCCCTTAACAGCCCCCCCCCCAAAAAAAAAAATTAAAAAATTGAGATTTTTCAAATTTTTTTATTGACTCATACATTTTGAAAGTGCCCAGAAAGTACCGAAATATGCACTTTTAGGCGCAGACACTTTAAAGTGCCCAAACTTCATCAAATAGCACCTTGATGTTGTAAATTTTGATATGGGGGAAAAACACTTGCTCCCCCTCTGGCACCCCAGCCTCACCTCCCTCTCTGGCACCCCTCCCCCTTTGACACCCCCAAAATTTGAAAAAAATTGTGATTGTTTTTCAATGTTTTTTATTGACTAATACCTTTAAAAGTGCCCAGAAGCACCAAATATCATCTTTAAATTGTAAAATTTTCTAGGAGAGTTAGCTTCCCCTCACATCCCCCACAAAACAAAATAAAATATTCTGAATTTCATGTATTGTCTCAGACATTTTTTAAGTGCCGAGACATCATCAAATAGCACCTTGATATGGTCAATGTTTCTGGGGGACAACCCCTTGCTCCCCTACTGGCACCCCACCCCACTTCACCCTCTCATCCTCTTTGACACCCCCAAAAGAATTTGAAAAAAAAATTCACATTTTCCTTATTGACTCATAACGCACAGGCGTACCAGATGGTTGCAAATTCGCTCCAAATACAACCAAATTTCAAAATGTTCATGGGGGAGAACCCCCAGACCCCCCTGAATGTTCGGTTTTTATTCACTCAACTCTTATTCTTGTGGTGGTGGCATACTACTAGAAACTTACACTTTGAAAGTGCCCAGAAAGCACCAAATAGCATCTCAAAACTACTCCTCAAACCCCCCACAAAACAATTGGAACGTTTGGAAGTTGCATTTGTTAATTCCAAACCAATAAAGGGAGTAACTGACCCCCCCCCCTCTGTCTTACGCGATTTGATTTACGCGTCAAAAAAATTGACAATTTTATATTCTCTTTAGTAAGCTAAAAACCGCACCCCCCTTGGAGAAAAGTGTCTTACGGGCCTGCACATGTGCCAATGGAGAGATACCAAAAGATGTTAAAACCCAGCTAGAAAACTAAACACTAACATTATTACAACCGATCATTAGGAAAGCAAACCCCAAAATATCCCTAACATGTGAAGAAACAATATATCGAATACCCCCCCCCACAATCCAGGAGCTATTATCACAGGTGATACTTTAAAAGTATTGCATAAAAGTTAAGTTTCAACATGGAGGTCATATTTTAAAAATGCCACTAGAATTGATGCTCTAGTTTGGCAGAGAGAATGAGTCTATCAAACCTAAAAAATAAGTAATCAAAGGACCACAGTGCAATATCATGTAGAAAATAATGGCAACTCCGCAGAGTAGCAAATCCCAACGAACAAAATATCAATTACCGAATTCCAATCAATTATACTCATTACTTTGGTTAAAATTGAAAAAGGACCTTATACACCCTCCATTGGGATCTCCCCATGGGAAAAAAATAATTCATCTGATTTTTCAAAATGAGTATTCTGCTTCAATTATTACATTTATATGCACACTAGTATCTTGTTGACCTATATTCAGCACTGTATTGATGTATAGGCCACTTATTAGGGTCATAATTCAATCATGAAGTGTAGAGGCATAGATTCCAAACCAGGAAGTATTTATGTGTCTGTCAAAATCCATTTACATCCTACGCATCCCTGCATCTTATCCAAATATGTTACTACATAATGAAATATAATAGTATAATCTTTGGTTTTACAAACTTGTATGATATTTGATAAGTGTAAAAGTTGTTTTTGGAGCATTTGTCTAAAGCCATTTTGTAGGGAAAAAAATGATGAAAAAATGTACAATCTTTTAATTTTAAGTATGACCTGAATCGATTGCAAACTTCATATTTGCACATTTGATGAGATAAACCATTTGTGTCATATTGTGAAATTATTAAGTTTGCAATCGATTCAGGTCATAGTGTATTTTTGGTATTTCTGTGATAATCAATGGAAACCAATGGCCTCTATTGGGATCTGCTGATATCCTCATGTTAAGTCAATGGTTCACAGCCCCATGTAAGTCAATACAACCTTACTGAACGAAATGATCCCTATCTCAGCTTATGTGTGTTCGAGCACTTTAATATTTTCCAAAGTATTATATGACATTTTATTCTTCATGTTACACCTACGAATGATTCATTTTGACCATAGGGATATTTGCCAATAATTGCACCTTGTCCTTTAGATTTTAGAATTGTGAATTCCTGCAAAGCAGCCATTTTGAATTTTCTGAGGAACAAATCTGAAAAATAATACCATAATTGTGATCTACTCCAAAATTCCTTCAATTTGAGTATACTATAGCCATACTTTGAACGGATCGAAAAATTATTGCGAAATCGTACATTAGACGGCCATTTTTAATTTTACGAGGCTCGAATCAGAAAAAAGATACAATATTTGCAATCTACTCTTAATTGCCTTTCATTTGAGTATAATAAAGCTATACTTCAGAAAGATCTAAAAATTAGCGAAAGTTTCTGTTTTCCTGACCCCCCATACATGGCCCCTGGGGGTCAGGATGAAAAACACAGAATATATGTGACATAGATAGATGTTGCGAATATACTACAAAATTTCAAACAATAATATTAATTACTTTGGTTTAGAATGAAAAATTTATGATTTTTGCGAAAAAGTCCCGTCAGTTTTAAAGTGGCGGCCATCTTGAAAAAATATATTCATCTTTCCACTAACTATGAAGAAAATCCGTCAACTAGTATTTGAGTTATCTTTGAGTTATATGTCAGAGAAGTATAAAATACCCCTACATTTTGGTTCAGCGGGATAATCAAGGCCATATGTCTAGAAACTTTGGTGTTATTGCTGTGTTCTGTTCATTGTTTATAATCTCATGATATAATCTCATAAATATCCTCTAATTCAATTTTGGGAACAATTTCACAAAAAGTAATGATAAAAATTTCAACTCACTGGTCCAGGTTTATAGATGACTTTCAATCCAGTTGATGGTGGTGGTTGACGAAGCTTATATCTACATGAATCTATACCCATGTTCTTTAGATGGACTATAAATTGGTAAGTGTAGCCTTCACGGAGAAACCCAAAATCAACTTGACTTGGCAGCAGCTCAAAACCTCTCATGTTTGAGATTGTTTTGCTTCCATTTATCGTAGCGCCAGCCACGGAGGAAATCATGACTTTGTTGCGAACAGGATCTTCAATCTGAGTAAACTAAATAAGAAATGTTTTTTTGTGAAAAATATTTAAAACATCAGAAAATTTGATAAACACGTTGTTTGAACTTGACATTATTTCCCTTTCTATTTAATTGATTTGTCTTAAAATAAAGAATATGTCATTTTCATTAAATGTCTACAAAAAATACTGGAATACTAAGTTGTTAATACATGATTCCAATGAAAATGAACTATTTCATGAATTAACCAATTACCCTTTCATTAGGGATGGCTCCAGGTCTTCCAGAATTTATATAAGCTGGGACATGGACAGGCTCCTGTCTGGGTTGACCAGTTACATTAACCTCTAGACTACGAGTTGTCACAAAATCAGCTGGAGTGTTCAAGTCAGCAGGACTTTCCTCTGGAATAGCAGGTGCCGAGTTGTCCCTATAAGTCCCATCACCATCTGCCTGTTGCTTGGGGGTTGGGTTATCTGGACGTACCCTACTTTCCTTCATACCATGGGCAGGGGTTGGGTTACCTGGTCTGAGGGGGGCAGGTGACCCTTGGCCTGAAAATGAAATAATCACTTACATCTACAATTACTTACTTATCAACTCAATCCTCATTTTGAATATTTCATGATATACAGAAAAGGACCTACATATTTTATCTAATATGAATAGCAGTTCTTATTTGTGCAACTTATGTAGATGGATGGATTGACCAATGGATGGATGTTCCCTAGTAGTAGTGTCCAATTTTGGCAAAAACGGCATCCATGACATTTATAACACAAAATGGGCATGAACTATTCACATTGTAGCCTAAAATGGCAACAGATGACCCACCTGTAGCATGAGCTGGAGTGGGAGCCCCAGGTCTCAAATTAGATGGCGTCTCAGAGTGCATCATTTTCTGTGGGGATTCCCCAGGGGTTATGGGAGCATAATAATGTCCCTTTTCTGGTGAGGCTGAACTTGTGTAACGAGGTGGTTGATCTTGGCTCTGGACAGATGAGGGGGTGTTACTACGGACAGCTGTAGCAGGGTCACGGCTTTGGTCCCTTGGGTCTTCGGACAGATGTTTACACATTGTAGCTGCATCTGGGGCCTATATAGAAAAAAGAGAGTTGGGTGAATGTTTCACTTATTGACTGGGATACAGAGAAATGTCACAATCCTTTCAGACAGCAAAAGATTTTGTACAGTGCCACTAAAAAGAATAAAATTCAACCAGAACATTTTTGTAAGATAACAATCATGATACCACAGTAAAACCCGTCTGAGTTGAACACCTCTGGTACCCTCTAAAAAGTGTTCCACTTGGGAGGTGTTCCACTTATAGAGGTTCATTTAACATAAATCAGTTGGTCTTAGGACTCTGAAAAGTATTCCACTAACAGAGGTGTTCCACCTCTAGGTGTTCTACTTTACAGGTTTCACTGTATACTTTTGAATTTACTTTCTCTCTGCTAATCTGATATCATAAAATTGATAAATAACATCATACACAATGCATATCATATGTCTGTGTAAACATTTGAAACATATTGTCCAATCCATTCATGTCAACTGATTTCACTATAAATCTCTATATATCCCGAGCGCTTGTTTGGTTCATTCATGTTAATATTTATAACCATCAATCCCTGTCAATAGCAGTTGATATCATGTCTAGAATGAAACTCAATCAAAACTCAGGAAAAAGTGCTTATACTTATCAAATATAACTTAAGGACAGTTATAAATACCATATTGCACAAACATTTTATTGAGGGACCAATGTAAGTTTATGGTACGGCTTCTGATGGGGGAAGCCATTGGGAGGTATGCAGAAGCTAAGGAAAATAGATTGTGTCCTTTATGTGGAGAGTGTATTGAACTTAAGAGTCGTCGATTATTATTAAAACCCCTTATTGACAAATATGGGGATGGCGTATTGCCCTTTATCTTCACTCCAGATGAGCAGGATGACTGTATATTTATTGTTAACACTTTGTATGCGATGTACCAACATCGAACAAACGCCATTTTGTAAATATCATCCCAACCTTGTATTGTTCACCTAAATGTTTGTATATATGTCAACATAAAATAATGTATATTATGATGATCAATTATGGTCGCAACAAAGAAATATATATATAGTAGCCCGGACAGAATTGTTCAATGGTCACTTTTTCTTTAATATCTTTTTTAATTTTCAGTATTATCAAAGTCTGATCACATATTTGAAAACTAGAGTAAAATTCTGACATACAAAAAAAATATTTAAGGAACATCTCTTAATTTATTGATATTATAGGAGTTCATAGTATGACTGACGCAAATACATAATTCATCATTTTGCCTCATATTTGTTCAAAATGGCGGCATATTTTGTGAATTTGAATGTTCAGTTGAAAGTTAATATCTAAAGATTGTCATAGGACTTATAGGGCCATGCTGCCACCGTTACAATCCTGATGTAATGCAGCAACTAGCCAATCATCAAATACAAGAAGTCAACTCCCTCCAAGAGTATATGAAATCAACTCTATTGAAATGTTCGGGGTTGTGTTCAAGAGGATGTGAAAAGGTGGCGCCCCAATGTGCGGGGTGTGATGAGAGTTAAGGTCCCCAATCTTTTCAAGAGCTCCAAACAGCCATCACAGAGGCCATTGAAAAGCTGAAGAACAATTCACATGCATGCCAAAAAATGGGTTAAGAGGCATGTGACTGGGAAAGACACTACAAACTGTGGCAATATGACCCTATAGTTGCACAGGTTAAACGAACTAGGGTTACTAATCCACTTCGAGTAACAATGGAATGGCCAAAAAACTTAAGTCCTGTGACCTTACCAATATACTGTTCAATGTACAAACCTTTTAAAGAACTGGTATACATACAAACAAAGGGTTATAAATGCAGTCATTATCTCATACCAAGGCAGCAGTCCACATGACTTCATAGGCCTATGACATTTCTTAAATATTAACTTTCAACTGAACATTCAAACCACAAAACATGCAGCCATTTTTGAACAAATATGAGACAAAATGGTGAATTATGCATTTGCGTCACTCATACTATGAACGCCTATAATATCAATAAATTAAGAAATGTTCCTTAAATATTTTTTTTGTATGTCAGAATTTTACTCTAGTTTTCAAATATGTGATCAGACTTTGATAATACTGAAAATTAAAAAAGTTATTAAAGAAAAAGTGACCATTGAACAATTCTGTCCGGGCTACTATATATTATGAAAGGACATATATCATGACTTATCCTTTGAAGATTGAAGGAAGTCCAAATCACATGCAAATATTGCTTTATACAAAAAACAAACAAGCCTAAAATCATTGACAAAAATGTATTGATTCTTAGTCATAATCCTTTGTAATTCAAAGTTAATCTTAATATTTTTATTACATTATGATTGTGGCATTTGATAACATATTGTTCCTCCGTAAATAATTTACTTAAGTTGAAATCAACCCAAGGGAACAAGAGAAATGAAAAATGGTCGAAAATGTCCTTTTCTGTCTTTGAAGATGATCGCTTTGCTCTAGCACCTTCTCTGAAGATTTTATTTTTTAAATATGCATGAAACTGCATTAACTCAGGTGCCAGTAGGTAGTTACCAGTTTCAACACAAGGTGGCTAACATTCAGGTCATATAACATGTTAGATAAAGAAAATGCTCCTAAACTCTAATTTAATGGATCAATTTTCATATAACGCTTTTTGTTCAACATACAACTAAAAATATGCCAATGAAAGATTCAAATATCAAATCACGTTGAAATAGTACTGAAATAATATATTGTATAAACTTCAATTGTTTGCGGATATGGATGTTAAATTAAACCCAGACAGCATTAATCATCATGCTGACATTCCCTATAAAAATACTAACACACATCTAGAAAAAAGAAACTGCGTAATATGACAATTTTCACAATATTTTGCATGTGGAATCAGACATCTGACATAATGACAAAGGACGATTCTCGGTTGGGAGAACGAAGTTCATTAATCTAAATGAGCACTATCCCTAATGAGCATTATCCCTGCTTCGGGCAAATTTGATTTTTTTACATAATATAGATTTGAATGTCTTCTTTTGAATAGTCATAATTTAATTTGGGTGATATTTCTTGATTTTTCGAAAAAAAATATTAGCGCAGTACACTGATGAACTTCTTTCCCCAAATCGAGACTTGTATTTTATTGAATCGGTCTAATTGAGCATTATCCCTGCTTCAGACCAAATTTGTTATTTTTACATCTTGTAGATTTAAATGTCCTATTTTGAATATTCATAGTTTAATTTGGGTAATATTTCTATATTTTTCATGAAAAAAATTATTAGCCCAGGAGACTGTTCTCCAAACCGAGAATCGTCCTTTGTTGACAATGACAAATGATGAATGATTTTCTTTTCATTGTGATCATAACACAGATGTGAATTGATCACATGTAATCAGATTATTGCGTTTAGTGTTTATAATAACCAATGCCTGACTGGATATTTCAACATATGCCTAACCTTTACCATATTTAATACAATACAACAAATCAGCAAGCAGACGGCAGACAGCACTCAAAGATACAGGTAAGTTTTGTTTAACATCAAGAAAAAAGGACAAATGCATATTTGGTGGGAAACTTGTAGAAATTGTATCTTCAGTACTAGTTTTATAGTCCATATCAATCAAGAAAAATTATAGAATAGGTGATAATGTCATAATATTTGAATAAATCATAATTTCTAATAAGTAATAATAAGTACTGTAATTTCTGTCAAGCCTTTGTGATGTTTAAGGAATCCCTAGATTATCAAGCACACTTCAACTAAATATGCTAAGTTTGTCAAATATTAACATATCAAAATTAATAAAAAGTATTTATCATATTTAATAAATATTTTTGATGGTTGAAAACTGAAAAACATCAATTTTGAAATGTTAAAGGATAGGTAGCAATATGGTGAACTAAAATTCAAAATTGTTTTTCCCGTAAACTTAGTCATCAAAAAAATATCTGAAAAATTACACATCGTCAATGTAATGGTCATTACTCCCCTCTCCATCCAACCCTTCCCCTTTCCATCCCATTTTAATTATTTTTGATTATTTCTTAGATAATATTTGGAAACATATTTCACAAAGTCTGCAATTACATTAATTTTGTGATGAAAAGTATTTAAAACAGGTTGTGTGGACCATTGTTGTTTGATTTATGGAAAAAAAGTATCGGTTTTTAAAAAAAATTCAGCAATTCAACAGTAAACTTTCTCTTGATAAAAATAAATCTTCCAGATTTGTTGAATTTTCTTGCAAAAATTGCCTGCTGAGGGTGGATGATGGTCATCTTTTGAATTGTAACATTTTAATTTGAATATATAGAATTGGTAGGAAAGAACAAAAAACAATTGCATTGAAAAACAAAAATTGTTTACTGAAACAATTATATAAAATATGTATAAATAATTTTCACATTAAATTGTTGTCAAAAATAAAAATAAAATGTTGACCATTACATTAAGAATGTGTTTTTTACAATCATTTCCAATCATTGGTTTAAGAGAAAAAATGTTTAATTTCGTTCACCGTATCGCTACCCATCTTTTCTGTATGATCTTGTCATTTGTTTGTAAAAGGATGGCAACATCTAATTTGCACTCCAACTTCCTTGCAAAATATGTTTGATGGTGATAAACACTTGAAAAGAGTCATAAATGTGAAAAAATTCATCATGATACTTTCTGACAAAGCATTTAAAGCAGGCAAAAATCATTTTAGGAGTTAAGGTGATTAATGATTCAGTAATTATATGTGCCACTTTTTGCTATTTTGCTATAATGTAGCCAAGAACTATTAGTTCTCCAAAGTTTCTCACCAAACATGGCCACATACTTTAAATACCAATGTCTCATTAACTTCTGATAAACATATGGCCAAAGGACTACTGGACATCTGCAAGAAAATTCACCAATTTTTTTAAATTGAACTTATAATTATGTTTTTCAATCTACTCTCCTATTTTCTTCTCAAATGTATTTTATTTGGTTTTAGAATCAGCAAGTGAAAAACATCAATATGAGGGGACCTATGATCTGCATAATCCTGCTCTTACCAGCAGTAGCATCACAATGTACAGGAATTCATAACCCAGTTGAAAGTACGTAGTTACGAGTTTCATCACGTGGTGCCTAATTTGGGTCAGATGACAAGCATGATATAGTAGAAAGTTTTAAGTTTTCTTAAACTTGAAAAGTCACCAATTTTCATATGAATTTACAAATGAAAATATGTCCAGTAAAAGAAATATTATCCATCCAACATAAGAAAAGATATTTCCGTTTTTGTGATTTTATAACATGGGGTCTATGGGGAATCTACCCGACCTAGAAGAAATCATGAATAAATTTTAAACCATATTAAGTAATTTCACATGTAGATTTCAAATATAAAATCACTTTTAATAATTTTCGAACATTTAATGATGTAAATCAGGCCTATTTCTACTTGCATCTAGTCTATTGTATAACTTTTTTATTGTATTCATTATTTGATTTTAAAGCCTATACTCAAATAATAAGTAATGTACTTATAGACATAATTGAAATTTCAAGAAGATTTCATCACAATTGAGACAATGATTCCAAAAGTAGAGAGTTACATTTTTGTGTCACCCTGTAAATACGATTTTTAAATTGTAACTTTGCATTAAGTTTACAATGGTGCATTATACTAAAGAACACCCTAAAATATATTTTTTATTCATTCTAGGGAGATGTGGTCCTCCTCCTTCCCGGCTCTACTCTCTCCCAGGATATCCCGCTGTACAACAAGTAAGATCACTCGAAATATTCAAAACTAGAAAACAGCAACTTCACAGAGTAGCAAATCCCAAACAAGGCATTAACAAGGCATTAACATGACAAAATGTCACCACATAGTTGCTCAGAATATTATAAGTTAAATCTTAAGTCAGATTTGAATTCCTGAGAACTTGTAGATGATTTTTTTTTAAAAATTGGTCAATTTGAAGCAAGTTGAAAAAAGACCCTTTTTGACCCTGAGAAGGTCATTGAAGGTGAAATCTCAAATTTAAAGCAAGTCAATTTGAAGCAAGTTGAAAAAAACCACCTTTTTGACCTTTTTTGACCTTGAGAAGGTCAAATCTAAAGTCATATTTGAACTTCTGATAACTTGTAGATGGTTTTGAAAAAAAATTTGGTCAATTTGAAGCAAGTTGAAAAAGACCTTTTTTACCTCTTTTTTTACTTTGAAAAGGTCACTGAAGGTCAAATCTTAATATAAAGTCAGATTTGAACTTCTGAAAACTTGGAGATGATTTTGAAAAAAAAGTGAAGTCAGTCTAAACAGTATTTGTTAAGTTAATGGAAGTTTTCAGAATTTGATACAGACGCCAACCGCCACCCGCCGATTGCCAACCGCCACCCGCTTATTGCCGGCAAAAAATGGAGAGCATAACAATATGTCACCACTTTTTGGTGGTGACATAAAAACAAAGCGTGTTTTGATAAATAGCGGCCATCTGGAAAATTCTAGGTATTGGCATATGAAATTTGAACCAAAACCATTCACTGGTATTTATTGGAGTTATCAAAGATTATGTTTTTTATGAAAAATGGCTGCCATTTTGAAAAAATTTTCAGTCAATTGGTATTTGGATTATCAAAGATAACATTTTTTTCGTGAAATCTCAAGCAGAGTTCCTTTGTCTCTAGCCATCAGCATATTTTTGAACCAATTCCATTCATTGGTATTTGAGTTTTTTTACAAAAATGGGGGCCAATTTAAAATTGGTGGCCATCTTGAAAATCTCTTATTGAGCGAAGCTCCTATAAAATTTGAAACAAATCCATCAACTAGTATAGTAATAAAGATAATGGTGCCAAAAGGAGCCTATCGTTCTGAAAGGTATTACATAATAGGGCTCCATATGGACCCTATCGTTGTGAAAGGGTTAAACTGAAAGCTTTGGCTCATAACTTCTTGTACATCTATCTATTTCTCTATGACAAGCTTTTCTTGTGACAGATCTTTAAGAATGTGCACTATGAAACGATGACGTTATATTTGATTGGTAATGATGGGACTGTAGGAGTTCAAAGTTGGCAACTAAACCCTGGTGACATTCTAACATTGGACACCGCTATGCGCCAAGGCTATGTAGCTTCAAGTGGTACAGGTCCAGACAAAAGATGGTTAAGACTAGGAGGTCGATGTTACTATTACCCATCAAGCCCTGATACAGATGGTTGCACCATTTATATTAGTTCATTCTAGACTAAGAGGCTGGTAAATTGAAATATAAGGAAGCCTGCAGAGTACAAAATTTTGTGTATGAAGTATATTTAATAAACAAGAATATATTGAAAATGAATTGAAACACCTTCTGTGACTTTATATGTTCATGTTCAGTAGAACTTATAAATCAGAGTCAGTTAATTAAAGGAAATATCTCAATATTTCACAATATTTGATTATATTCTGTGCACTTTGAATTTGACATATGTCAGACCATACACTACATGTATGTCTTTGCAGTATATGATATTTTGGAGAAATGTATGAATGGTTGACCGATGTAATGACAAACATATCAATGCTTAATTGGCAGAAGTAGAGGTAATTTAATCGCTTAAAATGGATGATACTTGAGAACTTAAGTGATGTAAAAACAAACATATGAATGCTTGACTGACATATAGATTACATATAAAGATAAAAGTACCTGAGACAATAAAAATGCCTTTCCCATCTCGCTCTCAAAATATGGTGGTATAATGTTCTTTCTCAAAGCTCTCCTCCCCTCAATTTCTTCCGCAATTTCACGCTTGTCCCTCTCCCAGTCTGCCAAGGTCCTCTGAGGTGCAGGGGTCGGGGGTGGACTTGGCGGAGGAGGGGCCGTCACCTTTTCATAGATTGCCTTGATGTTTGCTGAAAAGTAAAGTACATTTGTATTCTATCAGGAGATTATCATTTTTCAAACTTGCTTTCCAGCATTGTATTGAGTTAATTTGCCAAGGTTACCTCTTTTATACTTACTTCTTTTCAGAAATACCAAAATATCAAATGTTGCCCACATGAAAACCTCATTATCTCACTGATTTATGCCACAGGCCTACAGTTCTCAAAAACATTTTTCAACAACAAGTACTTAAAAAGTTTCCTGAGTGACAACTTGTAAGTCCTCACAGTATATTGGCGACTCAACTTTCATTTCATAATTCAAATCCTTAGCACAATAATAATTTCAAATGTTTTGCTCATACCATCTTCAAGATGTGCAAGGTTTTCATCTTTAACCAAAGCCTGTAACTCTTCTGCCTTGGCCACCTCACTCTCATCTCTTGGCTCATTAAGCTCATTCATGGATGTCTCTAGATTCCTCTCACGCACAAACTCAGCATATTCCTTCAAACCATCATGGAGCCTTAAAAACATCATAATTTGACATATTTATACAATATAATATGGTTAGAATGTTCATCTTGTCTCATAGCTCATCTCATACCTCTGGTGATACATTCCATGCTACATTTCATTGTTTGGGACTTGCTTGAGCCAGTATGTCACAAGTCATGTTACAGTGGAAGCAGACCAAAAATGTGACATCGGGCAATATTTTACAACATTTCACACTTTTTCTATCAATTAAAAAATAGCATATATGTTGTGAATGTTTTCATACAGATTTGACTCACAATATTTTTTGAAGACTCACAATATCATAGCATTTCACAATATTATAGTATTTAGCAGAAATATGGCATAATATGATGATATTTCATATAATGATTGCATTTCACTCTTTAAATACCATTACATGTGTACAGTGTTCAGTCTTCATACTCACTTGGTTCTCAGTGTTTCCTCCATTGGTTTGTACTGTAGAAGCTGCCTTAATTCAAGCATGTTCGGACACTTCAATATAGATTGAGGAGGGGGAGGTATCACTGCTGTTCCAACAGCCAAACCAGTACCCACATTATTCCCAAAAGACGGTCCAGGTTTCTTTTCTTCTTTCGATGGCAAATTATGGAGATTTCTTGAAAGTAGACCTTCTGGCATTATAGTTTGACGTTCATATTTTTTCACCCATTGTTCCGAGACTCCCTTCAGATAGGGTTTCAGGATTGTTATGCCATTCACTCCCGGGAAATCTGGGAGAGGATCATTCAAGATGGCTACAGTTGGATCGTTTTCAGCAGTCGTTAGGTACTCTGCAACATCTTGATAGCGTAAAAGTTCAGTTCCACTTCCGTTTGAATGTACAACGAAAAACCGTGGAGCATGCTGCTTATATTGAACTACCTTTTTGGTATGAATCACAGTTTGACCGTTATTCTCATTTTTTTCATTTCCATCTTCACTGTCCACTTCAACAGATTCCACAGGTTCTCCATTAGCAGTGATCACCATGGTTTCCCCAGTGTTCTTTACATTAAATACATTTCCCTCATTATCTACTGTTTCACAAACAACATCTGCAAAGTGACGCATCACATAGACATGGTCCTGATTGGGTTGAAGGAATTCAATGTCATTGTTTGGACGTGGACGATACATAGAACAGCCATCTGAGTCAACCAATAGCATTCCTGAAATAAAATGAAGCGGTCGGGATACTAGTGACAAAAAAATATTTACTTTCAATCAGTGCAGCAGAATTACCAACATGATTTTTATCATATGACACAGAACAGAGTGAGATACACATATTTTCTTCTGGATAAATTATATATCCAAAACCTCTCAGTACATTATCATAGAACATAATCCATTAAGTTAATTTAATAATAAATGGTAAATTGGGATCCCTAGTTTTAAGTGATCACCCTGTATATTTGTTAATCAGTCAAGTAGATCCCTTTCACATTTATATTTTCTATCTTCAGAATATACAATCTTTAAAGTCTGTATACTAAGAAATAATATATATTTAAGTGATGATAAATTATGATTAATGATAATCAATAAATATACATTACTTGAATTGAATTTTAATGGTAAATTGGGAGCCCTAGTCTCACTACTTATAGTGATCACCCAGTATATTTGTCAATTACAGTAGCTAAGTATACCCTTTGTATTTACATTTACATCTTCTAAAAGAACTAAACATACATGTACCATTTTTAAAGTCAGTAAAACTATAAAATAACACATTTAAGTTATGATAAATAATGTTAATCAATGAATATACATTACCTCCATCACAGTGATCGATGTCATATCCTCCATCTTTGTAAGTATGAACTCTGGTGCCATTTCCAAATGATGTGATGCATTCACTGGTCTCACAGTTATATGTCACAGTAGCATAACCAGGACACTCTATCATAACAAACGGCACCTCTCTGTCTTCAAATGCTGGATACTCCCCTGGAAGTATTTTAAATTTTACTCTTACTGTTATCTGGTATGTATATATGGTCTATAGAGATCTTTTTATTAAAATCTAGTACTTCCTCTAGATACATATTGATATATGTATATTTCAGTTTATATATTTGAATTCAAAACAACATACAGTACATGTACAATACATACATGTCTGTATGATGTATGACATACATGTATTTGTACAGAACTGTATTTTCATATATATATTTTTGATTTTATAACAAATCATAAAAAAATTACATTTAGGCTCCAATGTGTGCAAGTGGTTTGTCATACCTGTTTCATGATAGGAAGCACAGTCTATAGGAGTTCTAACAGTTTTAAAGTAGGATGTGATGCGTGTCTTATCACTATGCTCTGCAATCATGGTGCCATCTGGGTACTTTACGACTATTGTATGGTCTTCCCTCGTGCACATGGACTTAAACAAAATAACATATTCAGTTAATTGTGTATGATTGTGTACATATGCCCTATGGTATCCATATCAGTTGCACTACATGTAGCAACCTACCTATTCAAGTTGGGGGAGTGCTAAATCTCGCAGTGGCTCCAAGTAGCCTAAGGACTCCTTGGAGACTGTAATAGTCGAACTTGATCTCAAGTTATCAATCAGGTTCTAATGTTTCAACATGGGTTAATATAATTACTCCTTGGCTTTGATTTCCCCCAAATGGGCTTAGAAGAGGCCAATTTTCAAACCTACCTGGTCAGTCATTGGGTCAGAGGCCATTGAACAGAGAGCATTCTTTACACCAGGTACTCTGCTCCCATCAGCCATGGTAGCCACTCTCTCTCCATTGGGTGCTGTAGTGATCCAATGACCTTTCTTCTCCTCCTTCTGTCCAGCATCATCATTATCTTTGTTAATAGCTGCAATACTGGCTGTCTTGCGACTCATACGACTTCCCACTATATAGATTAACAGTATATAATAGAGATAAGTGTTTCAGGAACAATATCAATAGAATAAAATATGGTTGGAAGGACTATACCTTTAAGCCTGCCATCAGACTGTAACTTTAAAGATTCTTTAAGTTTGAACAGGTGCTTGAATTAGAACCTTTAGGTGAACATTAGTAAGAGCCTTTAGGAGGAAACTAAGGCTTACTTCTCTTAGGTGTCTCTCTGTCTTTATCACTCTTAGTACTGCTTGGCCGCTGTGGAGAAGAGTTTCTGCTTGGAGGTAGCAAGCTGGAGGGTGCAGTGGAGAATTCACTAGTTGTACCATCTCTAAACATAACCTAGAATAAAGCATGAGAGTTATGCCTGGAGAGTTAACACTGTTTTAGGCTAAAAGATTTAAACACAAGACTCAATGATTTGTAGGTGATTTATTGCATAAGATTGTTGTATGTAAGCAATAAATGGCCTGAAAGTGGATGCTTATGTGTGAATACAGTTCAAACTTAAACAAAAATATGAATCAAAATGACTGGTATGACTTAAATTTTAGGTGGTCAATACTAAATGAAGTTTGAAAAAAATTGGTAACTGCCAAAAAGGAATAAATTATTTCAAAAGTAAAATGGACTTACATGTAAATGTAAGCATTTCTCTTCATTGAAACCTTCTTTAATTATGCAAGAAAAGATAATCCTACAATTCTAAAGCCACATACCACAACAGAGTCATCCTGTAAAGTCTTAATGACAGTGCCATCTTTGTTGATGATCCTGGACACTTCCTGCATGGCTGATTTACGCAACGCCTCACTTGGCTGGCTGCCATTTGTCTTGAATGGGTAGTTCTGCTTCACAAGGACTTTACGATCAGTCTCATCTTCTGGTTGGATACCTGAAATTTGATTTTTCATAATTTCTTACTCATATGAACATTGCATGACATTTTTTTTTAATCTATCTGGAAAGAATTCATATTCCTGTTTGGTGTCTTAGAGTTTTGCTCTGATATGCATCAATGTATTTGTTGTAATCATGGACTGTAGTTAGACAAGTAATGCTCGCTATATGTATGTAGTTGACATGATATCCAGTCTGGATGATGACTTACCAGTTGAAGACTCCAAGAACCACGTAACATTCAAGCCATCAGGACATGTGACATACAACTGTTGAAATGGCTGTTCCATCTCTTGCTCTTCCTCCCCAGTTTCATCTTTAGTTTCTTCTTCCTAAATAAAAACAATGACATGCGCATGTACTATTCAATCTAAATTTATCTTCAAAATTTGAATTTCCTTCTGTTCTTGGTGGTTCAAATTCACATGTTCATAGTTCAATATGTGCCATGGGATCGTGACAAAAAGTATGTAAAGCCACAAGGATCATGATGGCGGTGTACAATAAAAATCAACTGTCCTTCATAATTTATGTATATTTGATAAACAATACTGGATAAGGTTTACGTACAAACATGTTGCTTAGTTAACAGTTCCATTGTGACTAAATCAGTTCAGTTCAAAGTGGCTTTGAATCTACAGTATATTATACTCTAATTATGGGCTTAAAGGAGCTACATTTACCACTAGAGGTTCTGGGGTAGGTGGTGCCTTCTCTTTTCCTTTGTCTCCCTTCTTTCCCTTGTTTGGTGACAATGGAGTTGGACTAGGGCTCCTGGCAGGTGGAATATAAGGTTCTGGTTCATGACCTTTACCTGAAATGATACAATGAAATGATGCAATGCAACAACAGACAACAGATTAGAAAAGCATTTATATAGAAAACCATTAAGTTCTCTTAAGACTACATTAACTGTTGTTCATGTTTGCACCTCGGAGCGAACAAGAGTAAACGAGGAATTTAAACAGCTTTGTGACACAGCACACAATCAATATATAATTTTGTAATTAAAGAATAAAAGATGAAATATTTACCATCTTTAGGTTCACCAGTTTCACCATATGTGCTGAGGCTTATGCACATGCCATCACTGAGCTGAGCACTGAAGGAAGCGAAGCTGCCTATAGCAGGTTTCTTGGGGGCCTCACGCTTGGTCGCTGCATTGTTCTCCATGTTGTCATTCTCAACAGCTTCTTCTGTAAGGAGTACAGTAAACAAATACATGTACAATGTACAGTAAAACCTGTCTAATTCGAAAGGGAATGGGACTGGCCAAATGATGGTACAGATTTCACTGCATTCCATCCCATTGGAATAAATGATCTAATAAAAGGGCATGCATTGAAATAGTCAATACATACTTATGGAACTTGAAAGCTACTAATACTATATACAGGGTGGGCCAAAAAAAAGTTCACCCTTTTTCATTTTAATCTAATTTTCTTATTTTTGATGCAATGCCTCTAAAAATTGATATGTATATAGCTCAGACATTTCTGTACATGTTGTTAGGATTTGAGTGAAATTTATGCAACAGTGTTGTCATGACACCTAAAATATATTTATGGTGTGTCATGAAAAAAAAACCAGAAATTCACTTCATATACAAAATGGCGGATTCCAAAAAAGGAGGGAAATTTGAAAAGAAGTTATCATGGTAAATATAATTTTTAAGTTAATGCAAAATATTACAAAGTAGAGTGTTAATTAATAGTCAGAGTTTATGATAAACACCTCTTTAAACAATTAAGTACTCTTATAAACACCCGATACTACCATAGATGAGTTGGTCAACAAGTTACTGAAAATCCATGGTTTTATCCAATTTTCCTCATTTTTACGTTCACAATATTGATAATAATTTGATGGTTTTATGTAATACACTTATGATATAATTACAAATGAATAAGTTATTAAATTCTACATAATATAATTTGTACAAGATGCCATTTTAATTCTGTTCATGCTTTATACATATTCCAACAAGATGGGGCTCCCTCGCACACATCTAAAGCGACAATGGAGTTCTTGCATGCCAATGCACCTGATTTTATCCCCCCTGACTTATGGCCCCCAAATAGCCCTGATCTCAATGTTATGGATTATTTTGTGTGGGGTGAACTAGAAAAACATGTTCATAGTGTTCCCATCCATTCAGTTCAAGAACTCCAACAAAGAATAACTTTATGTTGGGAACAATTATCACAACAATCAATTAACGCGGCAATAAATAAATGGCGTCATAGACTAAAACTGGTTGTGCAGGAACAAGGAGGACATATTGAACATTTACTTTAAAAACAAAACAGCCAAAGACACACCTAATATTATATATCGACCTTGTTTAGAAATGTCTCAGTTATCTACATATCAATTTTTTAAGGGATTGCATCAAAAATAAAAAAATGAGATTAAAATAAAAAAGGGTGAACTTTTTTTTGGCCCACCCTGTAAGTATATGAGATATGTCAATCTTTTACTAGAAGGTAACATTTGGGGTCCAGAATACTGAGCATGTACGACATGGCTACGATTCTATATTTGCGATGTTGATGTGGAAAATCAGTGGGTTCTCTAGGGCAGTAAGAGCAGTTGCCAATCAATAGGTTGTGGGTTGGATTCCCATTGGAGTGGACTGACTTTTTCACACCAGCTCTCAAGTGCAGAATTTCATCCTGTGTTTTCATTAACCAAAACCTCAATGAAGCATAACATACATATTCTATTTTACCTTCTTTTTCAGATTTTTCCAAATCAGCTTTCTCCATACCATTCTCTTGATTTTCACCATCCAGTATAACTTCTTCACTTTGTTCAACAGCATTAGGATCCATTGGGTCCAGCACATGCACCATGAACACATGGTTATCTTTCATAATGGATGTCTTCACAGATGTTGTGCCTTGTATGAACTGAACACGTTCAGTGCGGATCTGACCCCCATCAGCAGGGAACAGAGTGGATGTGACCCCCGAGGCATGAATCAGATTATTTGATACGTCGTAACCCGTGAACTGAAATCAAATAATCATATAAAGTTTCAGAACAAATAATACAAAAATTCAGATAATGGGTCAAAGCATCAGCATTTTTGCCTATTGATATTATATTGCTTATCTATGAATTAATGAACTTTACAAATGAATGATAAGAATTTGAATGAAATTTATGATGTGAAGATGAGATATCCATGCATGTTATTTACTTTCTGACTAAAAACACAATACTCACAGGCCAATACTTTTCTTCTACATGAGGTTCTCCATCGCCTTCCACCAGAGTCTCCATGGAGTCCTTGGGCTCCTTAGAGCCACTGCGAGATTTAGCACTCCCCCTGGAGCCAGGTCTTTTACTTTTCTCAGCAGTAGCAGCCTTCTCGCGCTCTTCCTTTTCTCTCTCCTTATCTCGCTGAAATGTTGAATTAGTAATATTTTTGAGTAAAAAGATTCAATATATTTTGACACATATGTATAAGCAAATTACTAAAGGTGAGTATATTTTTGTGATAGTAGCAAATAAGTGTAAATATTGTAAAAGCAATACAAGTCTAGCAAATGAAGCAAAATCTGACCAAAAAGTGTTAAATCACTCAAAAAATGTGTAAAATAATATTTGGCATTTCCAAGAAATACATTGTGTTGTGTTAATAAGCAATTGATATGAATCTGTTTTAAAAATACAGTTTATACTCAGGATAATGAAAAGTTATAGTTTTAGACATTGAAAATTTTAGAATTCTTAAAACTCCTTGAAATATATGTGTCCTCTTAACTTACTAACTGTAGTTGTTCCGACTGTATATGAAAATGAGATATAAAAATTCAATACAGAGTAACAAAAACTTGTACACAAATAGGCTTACATGTATATAGTTCAGATAATATTTTAGCACGTTTCTTTCTCTGCAATTAGGGGCAAAAATGTTTCTCTTAATCTTTCATCTTTATGAAATTTGATAGAAAAACCTACAACATGTGTTTCATACAGAAAGTTTGTGTCCCTACATGCAGATAAAGGGACAGGTCTGGTTCAGATCAGAAGGATATCAGTACAAAAACATCAGATAAATAAATGTAACAATAGAATATGGGGAGCTTTGCCATTCCATTGAAGCAGGGATTTTGTAATAAGGATTTTATCTCAGAAGAGCATAATAAAGCACCAAGGGACCGTATCAGGAACAGACTATTAGATTACGGGGGACCCAACCTTTTAATCTCTAACCAGAATATAAACAAAATATTTTGATATTGAAAACAATTGAATATAAAATAATTTCTACACGTTAAATTCCTTAAAAACATTTTACTAAAAACTTCCAAACAGATAATATGTTTTCGAGAACTGAATCCCAAATTTTTTTTCTTTTTTCCTAAAAAGCTATAGGTTCCCCAGGGTCCAATGGTCTGCCCCTTGGTGTAAAGTCTATGCTACCCCTTCTCCTCAAATCTCCATTTACTCAACCAGAAAGACTAACAGGGTCCTAATGCAGAGAGAAATGAAGGGAGAGAGTGAGAAACACAGGAACTTAGTGCTCAAATGATGTATACCATTGATATGAGAATGTATATCATAAAGTAAATAATATATAGTATAACAGTGTATATAGAAGGTAGTAAACACCATAGTATTCAAATATATTTCTAAAACAACATTTACTTTAGTATTCATCTCAAAAGTTTCACATTAAATTCTACAAATAATCCATTTTTAACCAATAATCCTTGTTAATGTAAGCTGAGATAAATGTATGCTTTTTAAGAAGAAAGATCCCCCCCCTCAAAACATATTTCCTCCAATGTCAAACCATTGATTATGTGTGTCTTGTTTATGTGAAACATATGAGACCGTGCTGGGACCACAGTGTGTGTTAGAGTAATTGAATTCAATGTTCAGCATGATTTTGATAGTGAAGAAGGATATGATTGGGACGCTAATTTTGTTAAATATTCAAGATCAAATATGTACAATAACACATATTTTGTCAAATGAGTGATGCAATATCTGTGGTGACCAAACTGCATGGACCTTATTTCTGTACATATTAAATTTGATATACATGGGGAGAAATGCTAAACACTGAATTTATTTACCCAACCCTTAAAAGTATCTTAAAAACATTTCATTATATGACCCTGATTTTGTCAACTTAATACAAAAAATAACTTGCTTATTATTGGTGAATCCAGGTCATATATGAAAGAATAAATAACCAACTATAATTTAGAAATTAAAATAAATTTGATACAATAAATTAGTAAATATCAATTTTTACTTTAATTTCCAAATTCTACCAAACTTATCCTAAAATTACCGATTTTGATCTGCTGGGCTAGTGATGTAAAGATAAACAATAAGATATAATTCACTGATTTTTGATTTTCCATTCTCTTAGAAAGTAAAATAAATGATTTGTACATCATTTAAATCCAGTCAATTACACAGCCTTGTAAAAACATGGTTGAAACAGGTCCCTCCCCTAAAGTTGGCTGCATTTTTTAAAAAACTTTGTTCTAAAGTTAATTGGCCTTTTTGGCTCTCATTTTCCAAAAAAGACCTAAATTTCGAATTCTCCAAAAGTGAGCCTAATTTCTTAGAAGAGACCCAGGTTTTAAATGAAAAGTTCCTTCCTCATCAATTTTTAGAACTCTCCCTGAAATAGGTAAATGACCCATGTCAAGTGCATTAGACTGTGTTACTCTGAGAATATTTTCTTAAGGTAGACCAAGTAGAGTGAGTAATCCAGGTAATTAACTTGAATCTTTTACTGTAGACTTTTACTGCATTCTGACTGGGTCCACCTTAAATAAAAACCTGTTCCATTTTGAGTAATGACAATATGTCAATGGAGAGATGTGATTATATAAAAGATATTGTGAGCTGCAATTTGTCTATTATAAAGAAAGTGTTAAAACAAGAGAAAAATTATCTGAATTGTGAAATTGAATAATAAAAGTGATATTTCATCAATGTGTGCAAATTTAAAACAGATTTCCAATAATGCTTGAAATTAAAATACTGTGCTATCACACACTAATGTGCAATGGGTTGCAATAAACAAGACTAAAAATCTAGTGCACAATACAATGTACATGGAAAACTTATAAAGGTATCTTACCTTTTTCTGGGCAGATTTTGCTCGTTTTTCATTTTTCAGGCGTTCCTTTTCTTCCTCCTCTGCCTTTATGCGATCGGCTTCCTCCTTCTGAGCTTTGAGGGAGTTTGTACGTACATACTTGTTTTCAGCCAATGAGGAGTCAGAACGATCTTCACTGCGAGATCGTGATCTACTTTTGCTTTTACCTAAAATAAGATAGAATGAAGCGTTTGAAAACTGGAGCAACACAAAACTGTAATTTCAACATTATGAATGAATGCACTTAGATGTCTAGTACAAGTAGTTTGAAATTCTGTCAATCAACTCTAAAACTTATCCTTTAACTCACTATCAGACTTTTTAGGTGACTTTGATCGATCCCCGCGCTTCTTTCCTTTTCCCCCACTGGAAGGACGTGACGAAGTTTCATCTTCAATTCGCTCTTTTTCAACCTCTTCTGCCAACTGATGAGCTAGGTACTTTGCATTCTCTTCCTCAGCCCACTCCCAGATAGACTCAGACACATGCTCCAAATAGTTCCTGAAATGTTGGTTGAAACTCTCCTGTATAATACTTAAAATAATGGGTGCTCTATATTCCGTCAAAAGCTCATCAAGCGCTATATTCCGTCAAAAGCTCAAGTTCTATATTCTGTCAAAAGCTCAAGCTCTATATTCTGTCTAAAGCTCAATATTTGATCAAATTGATTTAATGAAAAAAAAAAAATGAACATGATTTTTTCATAATACACATTTTTTATTTTCTTATTTTATCTCAGAAAAACATATTTTTGGTATATATGCATATTTGATTATAAATAATTGTGGAAATAAAAGCAATGAGCATCCCTGCCCTGTTGTCTCTCACGTGACACTAATAAAGTGAGTATTATAGGTCAATTTCAGATCTCTCTAGACCAGGTTTGGATCACATATTATCCAAACCCATGTATAATTCATACCTGAATCCTACATTTGAATGCAAGTTTGTTTCCCAATCTACGTGACTCTGTAACTCCTGGTTGTGTGGGTTGTGCAGCACAACCAATAGTGTATGGTCCCGCTTATGGTAGTACATGTCCATATATGGCAAGTTATATGACGCAGATTTTAGAACCTAAACAAAAAGAAATGAAGTTTTGTATGTCGAAAGAGTACAAACAAACAAACTTGGGACAAAAAGGCACATTAAACCTCATCTACATCTACATCAATAACTTGCAAAAGGCCAACAAGCCCATTTAAAAACTTCAGTCAAACCTTCACCTTCAGTCTTCAGTGAATTGGTTCAAGGCAAGCAACAATAATCTTGTGATATATTTCACAGCAAAGCATTGAAATTGGTGCTTAAAACCTTCATCAATGAATGAGTAGTCATGACACATATATTCGAAAGATAAAGCATTATACAATGATGCAGATGTTGACAATTCCGTGATATTGCCCTCTAAATACAAGAATATGTCACATCTGTCAAAAATGATATCAATATTCCACAAACCTGTAAGAGTACATTGGGTTCAAAGTGTTCAGCAAAACACCACGCATCAACGTTACGCTTAGTCGCATCTATGATGTCATCCATGCTTTCTTCTACAGTCTTGTTGGGTTCCTGTGATGCCTCAATACGCTCTGCAGTCTGAGCCAAGTCATGAGAGGAAATCGGTTTTCCTTCACTATCTCTTTCAAAATGCACAGAGTGAGCTGGAAAAAGTAACATTAAGTAATGTACCACAGGGTGGTATGAAAATCTGTTTAGATAGTAATTAAGAATGATCTATAGTCATAAGTTGACTGAAGATGTTTTATCATAGCTGTACACAGTTTATAGAATATATGTATATAAGATAAATATGTCATGAATTGGCTTTCTGAAATATCGTGTGGATTCTTATATTTTCATTATTAAAATATATTCAGGGTTTGAAGGGTATCTAAATCTTTAAGTACCTAACCGGGTTACACTAAAAATATAAGAATATTGTTTTCAAGTATGTTGCTATTACGTAAATTATAATTTTAAGTATTTTATAAACTTAAAGCATGAAATGTATCAACTTTATTATAGAAAGGGATGACTATATAAATCTAATATTGTTATGCAAGGTGTATTATCTTATAATGGGTATCCTATTCTACTTCACAACAAATTCGCTCAATAAAATATCAATAAAAATCTGTAGTATAAATAGAAAACTTGTCTCATGACATGAGAATGTGTAGTATAAATATATTCCTTGTCTCATGAAAATGTGTAGTACATGTACAAATACACAAGTCTTGTGCATGAAAATGTGCAGATTCAAAGAAAATGTGGATGAGTAATAATACATATAGATCATTTTTCAATGTCATAAAAAATGCAATTCTATAAAAAAATTAAAAAAATTAATCAACTAAAGTTGTGGGAAACCTTTCAAAGCATTTCCAAATCTACAATGATAATGTATCTACATACAGACATAAAGTAATATTTTAGTTCAGTGTTACACTGGACTATGTTTAATCATATACTAACTTGATGACATAGACAGTGTCAATGACAACTCAGACTCCATTGAAGTTACTGATCAATGAAGTAGAATACTTAATAATATAATCACCATGATGAATATTAATACAGTATCAAATTACTGAATGATTTCTACAATTCTGGAGCCCAAAATTGTGTATGCAGTTTATCTTCCATTGAGAACAACGATGGGTAGCTTCATCACTGTATTATGAATACTACATGAATGAGCAATTAATTAAATCACTGGTGAACCACTTGATTACGCTGATTAACAAACCGTTTCGGTAACCAGCATAATTGAGTGGATAACCAGTGTAAATGAATAAAGATGTAATGCTGAGATATGATTTACATATCATTATAGAAAATAATTTATTAATTTCCAAAAAAAGATTCTAAAAGCTTTACTTACTTGATGTTTTAGATTTGGCTGAAGCCGGACGAGGAGACTTGAGTATTCCAGAACTATCTGGTCTTGACAACTCTTTGCTATCTACTTGGGATAAAGGCACCTCCTCTGTTTTTGACTCTGGCCTGGAGTTTGGCTCAGATCTTGGCGTAACATTTCCTAGATAAGAGATATTTCGATGTAGCATTTTTCATGAGTTCAAAAAACTTAAAATGTTTCATAAGGAAAATAAACAATAAGAACATATATATTTGACTGAAAGCATAAACCAAAGCATAATACCAAATGGTTTAATTATGGTACTAATATATACATTCAGCGTATGATACCATAGGACCTTGTCCTTATCACTCTGTCCCATACCTAACCCATAGTTACTATTTTAATTCACCTCCCAGGCCTGTAGCCAGGATTTGCCAAGGGGTGGGTTCAGTTTTCAAAAATTTCCAGGGGAGGTTCACATTTGACAATTTTGGCCCAAATATGGCTAAAATTACTTGAGAAGTTCTCAAAATGGTGAAATACTGCATGATTTTGAAAGAATTTTTGCCCAAACCCTGCGAACCCCCCTGGCTACTGGGCTGCCTCCTACGCACACAAAGAAATCAACCATGCTCTCTTACTCTTACCTGTTGTGTATTCCTCAAAGCCTTCGATGGGCATGTTAGGATTCAACAGATCTTTTGCAGGCTCAGTTTTGTTAGGTTTACATGCCATTCCTTTAAAGAATGGATAGGGGTCATCCCAAGGGATAACAGATCCTTCATAACCCTCGTGAGATTTAGCGACTATTATTCCATTCTCGTCTACTGTTGTCAGGTCCATGCATTCAAACACAAATTGCTTGAATGCTCTGTCGATTTCTGAAATGCAATCAAAACAAAATTACTTGAATGTTCTGGATATACCATGGATTTCTGAATATAAATATTATAAGTTATTGAATGATTTGAAGTGCAATACAGGATATATTCTGCTCGAGAAATTCCGTATTGGAACGAGACAAAGTTGAGTGCCAATACAGAATATCGAGACAGAATATATCCTGTATTGCACTTCAAATCATTCAATAACATTTTTATCTTGTGATCCTCTGTATTGCTACTGAGATTGTCCAATCCGTACCAATATTTTCTGTATTGCGATGGAGATGATCAACAGGGACAATCTCAGTAGCAATACAGATTGGTACAGCACAAGAACTGACCAATCAGAGGGCTTAATTTTACAGATCATACGATAATATGTTATACTGAATTTTCAGGGCAGAGGATAAATTGGAAAAATAAGATACTAGTATTTTCTTATTTAAGGAACAAAACTGCATTGAATGAGACCTACATGTACAGTGTATATCCAAATGAGTTGAGACAATTTTTTACAGCTGTTCTTGCTCTGTATTAAAAATAACAGAATCTTTTAGTATATATTAATTCAAAAATAACAAAAAATAATCTCACCAGATTGTGTGAGACCATCAGTGGCACAAAAATGTATAAGCTCCTGAAGACGAGAGGCTCTCTCCTTGGCTGCTCTTGAAGTAGGGTGAGGGAATTGTAGCGCACCTTCAAACGGGAGATACTTTAACATTTCCATCTCTGCCTCTTTTGCATTGAATCCATTGATGGAGCGCAGTTGGAATGTACGCAGTGTGATATCATCTTGCATATTGACCAATAGTGGTTGAGTACGAGGTTGAGGCTTGCCTTCTGGCACATCAAAATCAGATGCAAGTTTCTGTAATACAAAATTGTAATATTTTCACTCATTGAATAAATCTAAGGAATGTGAATAAAATTACTCAAAATTAGACACTGAAAGCACCTTCAAAGAGCTTAGGGTTGGGATAAAAATAAAATTTCAACTCAGACTACCGCTCATACCAGTTAAGTAATATATTAAACATTGAAGTCACATTATTACTCATATCTGTATCTATTCATTCCGAGTGTTTTCTTTTATATATAATGAAATGTGCATTTTTACTCATTCCTACATAAAAATGACAAATTTTACATTTAAGTAATATTAACCTACCATTTGTTCATCTTGGGTTAAAGCCAACTTGAATGCCATGCCACTGATGTGAGAGGCCAAGGTCGGGTCAAGGCCATCTGTACGGGGAGGCTTTGATTGCTCACTAGGGGGCAGTTTACCATCCTCAGTAGCCTGGATCTAAATGAATATAAATATACAATGTAGCTTTGTTGAAAATTAAGGGAAATGTAAAATACGGCTGACTATATCTGTTAGTTATACAATATACAGTGAAACCTTTTAATTGGCTCTCATAATTGTCTTGAATTGTTTGTATTGCATCATCTTGATCTTATGATTCACTACACAATTGGTAATAAGCCACACAAGCAAATCAAGTTTTCAATTTTATTTGATCAAAATGTTCTTTACCTGTTCAAGCATACAGTGCATGATAAGAGGAACGCTGACGCTTTCTTGGGGCACACAACTCATTAGTTCCTTGTAGTACCTTAGATCCACTTCCTGAGGAAGCTCCACCCCTTCTTGAATGACAGGCATTGTGGCTGTTGTCATGGCGGTGGGAGGGGGCTGCTGGGCAGGCGTGGGGGCAGAAATCTGAGATTGGGCCTCTGTGGCTGAAAATCATAACCAATTGATAATTTTCATTTGGTATATTTGACATTTGGCCACTCCTTTGATGTGACCTTGTCCCCTAAATGCTGCTCCGACATTTTACAGTAACACCAACGCTTGCCTAACAAAATTGCTGTTTTTGTTGCTGTATTACCTTGGCAATGCTCTTACTGATTTTTTTTGTATTTGAAATAAATTAACATAGATGGTGAAATGCTTTAATGCCTGCCTATCTTCACAACACATTGCGATTTTGATATATGCACATGGTGTTTATCTCACATCCAATATTTTAAAAGATGTATAAACTGCATTTTTAAAAAGTTTTTTAAACATGAAGTACAGTTACTTACGCAGTGGAGGTTGGTAGGCTTCCCCCTGCGCATACACATGGAGCATCCTCATATTGGTTAAGTAGGACCTCCATATACGTTTAGCGTCCAATAGATCATAGATCATCACAGCAATTGCTTCAAACATGTTGCTGCCAAACTGGCTCTGAAGTATACCAATTTAAAGTATTTTAATACGAGTACAATGTATTTAGTAATTAGTTGATTTATCAGTTTGTTCATAATAAGGGACATGGTCAATATAATCCATAAATGCCCATAGACATAATTATTTACATTTTAGGATAGGGGATAAAAGTCATAGTTTGTTAGTGTACATCTATTTTTGAAGAGGCAGCAACTTTTAATTTGAAAAAATCAACAAATGTTCAAATAAATAAATTTAAAAAATGTTCAATTTATGAGGTAATGGTGTCACTGGTAATTAGATACACAATTAAACTCACTTTTAATTCATTATCTTCAAGGTCATCCGGAATGATGTCATTTTTGATAATGTAACTCAAGCGTGCGACATCATGAAGTTTTGAGGAATTGGGGGCTTGTTGCATGATTGCCAATACGTCAGTCCAAAATTGTGTTAATAATTTTTTCTCCTTTTCTTTAACTTTCCTTTCTGCTTCCTCGAGTGCTGAAAAAGATTCAATAGATTCATGCATATAATTTTTATTTGGATCAAATTTACTAAGTACTTGAGCAAACAAATGATATCTATTTATCTATAGATAAACTTCTCAAATAATGTACGTAGCTAAAATTGAACATTATCAACACTATAAAGATATGTCATTTTGTGGGGAAGACTTTTCAAATAGTTGTTTTCAAATATGGGGCAAAGATGGATAGTGTACAAAATAGTCAAAATAATAATTCCTCAACACCTTAAGATAATGTAACAATTATTGTATCTGTACATCCCTTACCTAAAGTTTTCTCATCTTTTTCCTGTACTACTGGTGGTACTGCAGATTGGTTATCTATTGTTGGCTCTGGCTCTGGCTTGACCTCAAATTGTGTGTAGTCTTCAGACTCCACCTTGATGATACAATCCACATATACGCCAAGCTCATCCAGGTAGCGCAACAGATGAGGATGGTTGAAGCCATAGATAAGAACATAGTGCTTTGGTCCATCATTGGGTTCATCATCTATAATACAAAAACAAAGCATTTCTTAGCAACAAAATGGTTAAAGCCATATATAAAGAAATAGTGTTCCATCTCTTGTAATCTTTTGGTTACAAAATAGTTACCAAAAGTGTAACAATTAGTTACAGACAGATTGCTAAAACAGTATGGTGGTCATAAAATCCAGCTCGATTAAGTTTGCATTTTTCATCTCCTGGCAGCTTCATCCAGGTTGTTTCCTGTTCTCTGCTCACCTTCAATTTCATTTTCCCAAAAATCTTTGGGTATGACAAAATAAGGAGATTGGATATGTATTATCATCTCTCTTAATTTTTCTGAATGGTTTTGAACAAACTTAATTTATTTCATTAAACATCCAAATAATATGACAACTTTTGGTGTATCTAAGTCGCAAATGAGGCAGCTGGAATTCCTCAAGAAAAGAATGTGACTGGAGAATGTTATTTTTAATTAAACTCATTTTAAGTCTTACCTATGTATCTACTATCCAAGTCTTCATCTCCTCGTTTACGCAGTTTGCTTTCCTTCTTTGGGGAGGGAGGCTCTGGAGTCTTCTTTCCACCCTTCTTGGCAGGTGATTTACCTCTTTCCTTCTTACCCTTGGCTCCACCTTTGTCTTTATCCTTCTCATTGGCTGCCTGTAGACAAAGTAAGGTCAATCCTAATACATATTTATTCAGTGTTATACAAGATAGTGGGATGTGTAAACTTGATACATATATAAATAAATATGTTATTACACTACAAAAGGAAAGGAATCAATACAAACCTTATGTTTATTATATCCAAATAAATTATACTTGATATATCCAAATCAAAGCGAGTAAGTTTCATTGGATATGTCAAACATAATTTATTTGGATATCATATACAACTATCCAGATGAACATATTTAATAACCTTATGTTTATTGATATATTGTATTGACATCAGAAACTCACTGTTCACTTTTGTTTTGTGTTTTTGAATTACGTTTTTACATTTCATTCTGAATTTATTTGTAAAAGTGAATTTTCCTGAAAGAAGAAGCAGATAACAAACTTCTGAACTAAGTACAGAGAAATATGTTAGTGACAAGTTACATTTACAAAGCATGTACAATATTCATTTGAGTTAATAATAAAAATGAATTATACAATAGTTAGATTAATTGTTTTGAATCATTTTCATAATGAAATAAAACTTAAAACACAATACACTATAATTTTATGAATAAAATAAAAAAGATCCATGTTTTTCAGATGTAATCTTTCTTATTTTTTGAAAGCTGAAACACATATGGAATTAATAAATAAACAAAGCGGTGTATTCCATACATACAATTCTTATATCGATCCAGATTAAAATATTGAAAGTGTTGTATGTCAAAACTAAAGTCAAAGTAGAGTAACCATATCAAGTAAAAATGTCAGTAAGCAATTATATAAAAAATACATTTTATCAAATTGCACAAAATCTAGCAGAAAGTGTTCTGTGGCCTTTGCGTCAAAATATGACTTTCTTCTGGAAAAAGTAATTGAAGGATGACAGACTGCCCATAATAAATGCAATGTTTTTACTTTAACATATTTACTGAAGATGAGCCTTGCCTCCACCATCTTATTCACATTGCTTTTGCAAAAGAAACATATTTTGACCAGGCCTGATTATAAAGCAATAATGTTCACAAGAGAATTTTTTGATTTTGAAGATACAACAATGATTGTGAGGGTGTACATTTTCTAACAATTATCTTACCATTTCATCTTCCATTTCCTTATATGCAAAAATATTTTATAACATTTCAAAAAAGTTGTATGGGTTATTGATTATCTATGTAACCATATGCTTCATGCAAACTTTTCAAACTAAATATCACATTCAGTTGTGTTTAGGCCATTTCTTTACTGACCTTGAGAAATCATCAGAGACACAATGACAAATTGAGAAGTCTATGCTGTCCCTAAAGATTTCAGACAGTTCCATTTCCCTCAGTAAGTAACTGATCATTATTTATTGATTCTTATGAAGTTTTATTAAGTACACAATTGTGTTTCGCTTGTAGATGTCCTTCATTTTCCAGGACAGTAAGGTAAGCCATGTATGATATTTTGGATCATTTAAATGTAGACTCCAAGTACAGTACCCATCTAAGTTGAGCCATGATTTATTAATATTTACAACTGAAAGATATATCATATATTTAGTCAACTGCTCCTGAAAAATAAGACTGAAATAAATTGATGGAAAACTTATCTCCGTCAAATTTCCATCTTTCACCCCAGGTTTGCTAAAAAGAAATGATATACCAATAAACAAGATCCTTAGCCTATGCCTTACCTTTTTCTCAGCATCTCTTCTTTTCAAATCATTTTGTTTCACATTCAATAGCTTAAACTTGATGAGTTTAGCCAATAGAGGAAGTGGTATGTCTTCTCCACTATCAAGGTACAGTTTACATGGCTCACACACCTCGCTGTGTTGTGGCGTGTCCTTTGTCTTCTTGGCCTTGGGATTTCCTAATTCTTTTACCTGTATCATAGGAATATCTATTAATAGAAACTGTTGCTCACGGGATTATTTTCAACTTTTTTAATATGATCTTCATACCATTCATTCTCTGTATAGGATTTATCTGGGGTGTAAAGCATTACTATAAGTCAATTATACTTTGTTATATGTAGTTTTAAATAGATAATGCACTGTTATCAATTTTATTATTTACCCTAGTAGTAGTGTAATCCTTTAATTTACTCTACCTGTTGAAATAGTTCTTCCTGTGAAAATACACTAAACAATTTTCTAGACCCAGCAGCCACAGCCTCTGCCAGTACTTTAATATGTGCATAATCCTCAACTTTATTTCCTACTAGGAATGTAACATTAGCATCCCAGCCATTTTCCTAAAATAGAAAAATTGAATGTCATACATGTTGATATCATGGGCAATTTCAGCTATTTGTTTAGATCGCCAAAACAGATGTTTAAATATCAGTGCCGTTGGAGCATACATGTACATATAGTGCCTGGAATGGGCCGAGCCTACATGTTAAGACTCTTCATTGCAATACATCTGGGATGTAAGTTTATTCCCAGATAAGAAGCACTGATGGCCATTTTAATTTGGCGGATTAATAAAAACCACCAAATTAAGTCTCTGCCAATTTTTGGAAAAAATCCTGGGACCTTAAGTCTCATTGAGAATTCTTTCAATATTTTGATAGGAACCCCATTTTTGCATTTTAGTCCATATATGAAGGTAAAACCTCTTGGCGTGTCAGTGTCACCCAAGAGTAACCTGACCACGTGATTTCCTAGTTAGCCCTCCAATTAGATGGCTTAATCGGCCAAATTAGAAATAAAATTAAAGTAATTTACAGTATAAAATCACTCATCAGTACGCAGATCAAAATTAATGAATCACGAGGTGCAAGCTACATGTACCCCAGGACCACTTGTTGAAGTAACCTTAGTAAAATTACATAATGGTGCCGAGTTATGACATCTTTGACATATTATATTCACATATCACGAATTGCAGATATAGTGGTACATTTACATCTGAAGCAAACTAACAACAACATTCTATCACTTCAACTGTCGGCACTAAGTTATGTGGCCTTATCCAGTTCCATGTATAGTTCGTTATCTGGTACCAGGCCTATTAATAATCCTGCTTACCTTCGTCTGAGGCTTCCACTGTGTTGCAGCCTTATGCTAACCTAAATTCCTGTATGTTCTATTCTGTTGATATGTGTCATGTCGTGATCACAAAATTTGAAATCAAACCAGCTGCCATTTTTCGCAATTTATTTAAATCTTTGTCTAAAGAACAGTTTATGGTGTTCAACATGCCATGTTGTCTACCCAAGTAATTTCCTGCGACATCTCATATACTCTGTCTGTACTGTATTAACCTTCTTCTAAGGCCACTGTACCGTGGCCTTCCAGTAAAGATATATTCCGTAACCTTCTTCTAAGGCCACTGTACCGTGGCCTTCCAGTAAAGATATATTCCGTAATCATAAAATTTGAAATCATATGTCCGCCATTTTTCCACATTACAATTTGAATTGCGAGTTTTGGTCTTATTATCTCACCAAAAATTCCAAAACACACATAAAGTGATCAGTGTATTAGTTCACATCTTCTGGATCGCTAACTTAGAATTTACAGCCAGTTACTAATGTTCGTCCAGTTTTCGAACATCGCCATTTTTCTTGCAGCCAATTTGATTTAATTTTAGACAAAATCCTGATGAAATCATGTCATATCTCGTCAAGGAGCCGAGCGGGTCCGTTTTAATTAATGATTTATTTATCTGGCGATTTTTAAAATATTCAATAAATTTATGACAAGGCGGCCAGCTTTTTTCAAATGGAGTTCACAGTATTCCAGATGAAATCCCCTCTAGCCAATTATTGGCTAGAGACTTGAGTAAGTCTGTATAATTACAATATGGTAGTTTGGAGCATACTGTAGGATACAAAATATACGAGGAGTCACATGACAATCCTGGTAGACTACCGAGTAGGGAGTGAATATGTAAGTCTATCAAACCTAGAAAAACTATCTAGTATTGATGACTAATACCCAATGTGCCATAATCTGACGAATAGACTAAACTTAGGAATAAAGAAAAAGCTAACTTACTTCTCCGAAATTTGTTCCCAAGAGTGCTTGCTCCCATTTTGGTATACTGGTGCTCCCAGCACTCTTTTGACGCTTCTTTGACATGACAAAAATAAAGGTGATATGTTTTCATCAAAGAGAAATGATATGCAAATTTAACTTCTGAAGAAAACGGTGAAATTCTCAAATTTTCGAACAAAATTTCATTTTGATGAAGGCCGCCATCTTTGTTTAGGTTGTTTTGGAGACTGAGCATGTCTAAAAGTCAGATTTCTTTAGACGGAAGAAATACTCATTTTTATAAATATTTACTAAATGCATCAACTATGAATAAACTAATGGCGTTTTATAATATCGCTATGTGTCATCTAATATGTTCACACCTTTATAAGGTATAGAAATATGGTATATTATAAATATTTTATTGTTTCCGTTTCTCAGCAAATCACTACTTTAACCCGCGAAATTTAAACGAACAAAAGGGCTGTCCAATAATGTAGATTTCCGTTCGGTGCTTTTTTCCCGGGGGGATTTTATATTACTGCTTATACTTGTGGAACGATATTGATTGATCTACTGCCATGTTATAAACACATGGCATGATTTTTGATATATAATTTTAGTGCAGAAAATCCAAGATTGCCACATAACATTTACCTAGAATCCTTAAAAACTAACAAATATCATAAAATACCCTCAGAATAAAATCCATATTCAATCCCTCCCAGTAAATTGCCTCTATATATCTTAACCAGGTAAACATCATCTAGTTTCTGATAACCACACTACAATGTGATGTTATAATCGATGTACAGGCCCGTTGCCAGAGGGGGGGGGGAGCGGGGGGAGTGGCCGTTTCCCCTCCCCCTAGCCAGAAATTCTTTCAAAATCATGCAGTTTTTCACCATTTAGAGCCATTTTCGCATTTTCCCCCCACCTGGCAAAAGCTCCCCCTTGGTAAAACCACTCCCCCATGGCAAAAGCTGGCTACGGGCCTGATGTGAAGACATTCCTTACAAACTGTCTTTATCTTGAAGTGAAATGACAAGCTATAAATAATGTTGGTAAATACACCAGAGTAGTAATGGTATACATGTATTATTCAAATTTAACAAAATTTGACAATCCACCATTTTGTTTTCATTAGCTTCTATGTCATCTGGGGCTCCAATTAGTGATGGGTCATCTCGATATACATTTCCATTGAAGTTAAGGTCATCTTTGAACTCTGCAGTTTCAATCTCCACTTATCTATGTCCTTTATTTACATGACTTCTAGTATTTCTGTCTCACTTAGTGATATCCATTAAGACCATTAAGCAAGAAGGCAATAAACAGTAGACAAATGTCATTATTTTATAATGCATGTTCAAGTAGTAGACCAAAACACAACTAATGGACCTAATGCTGATGTACTCAAGTACCAGCAGCATTGAGACGAGTCCATTTAAATTTAAAAATCAATGTGCTAAAGAGTTGAACTGTCTGTAAGTCATGAAGAGATTATCAGACTTGTAAAGAAGTAAAATCAGGAAAGAAAATGGCAAAATATCAAAAGCTGAATTGCATTTCAACAAGATCCATAACACATGTAACAGTGGATTAAATAAAAATGGACTGTAACAAATACCTGGATTTATTGGTTTTTCAAAAAAAAAATTCTCAGAATAAAATGTGACATCATTTTTTTATGCTGGGCATAAAGAGTGTTATCACAATTTTTAAAAAACAGCAAATCCGGGTATTTGTTACAGTCCATTTTTGTATAATCTGCCGTTCCATTATATTCGTATTAGAAAACATGCTTAAAAACGATGAATTGTGATTAAAAGATGTTACATGACAGGAAATAGAAATACAGGGTACGGCTGATAATTTTTATCCAATCCATTTTAATAAAACACAACTACAATCAAAATCATATAAACTCAAAGTTTAGTAACTATACTTGGCCAGGGAATGGTCTAAGTCAAAGTGGAAGAACTTCTAATGCATGCCAGACATATGTCTAATAAAGAACAAATAAAAGCAAACAAGCACAAAATGACAATATAACACTTTGAAAGTACGGTCATAAGTTTTCCGAAAATGTCAGAAGAAAGACCAATAACATGGTGGGTGTTGGTGATTTTAGGAGGGCTGTCAAGCCTGTTGAGCCTAGTAGGGAATGTTACAGTCGTATACCTCAAGAAGAAAAGGTCCTTACAGACACCAACAAATCAGGGGATATTCATGTTAGCCATGACTGACATCACAGTTGCTGTGCTATTTATGCCATTCAAAGTGGTTGATTGGGCGAAATACACTGAACATAGCGTTTGGGTCTGCAATGCAATATATTGCTTTATGATAAATCAAGCGTTGGCATCAATATTGCTTCTGATGTTAGTAACAATCAAACGGTATATTGCTATTTCAAAACCATTGACAGTACCAAACATTGGTGACAAAGAAACAAATGACAATAGCTACATATGCGGTGTTATGTTACAGTGCCATTTTTGCGATCTTTAATTTGACAGGTTGGAATCATTTTTCCCATAATAAACTATTCTTCAATATAACTGATGTGCAATGTGATGTGTTCAGAGATCTACGTGGCAGCCTAGCAGCGACTCTCGTTGTTTGCCATGTTTGGCCAGGAATGATTCTTATGGGAATCTTGTACACCAAAATTTGGATTATTGTGAGGCGCCAAATCACGGCTATTCACAATGACATCATAATAACTGACAACCAATTAGAAATGAGAAACAACCAGGATAATTCGAGAAAATCATATGCAAAACGAAAAGCAGAATTGAAAGCAATCCGCTCTTTGATGATTATTGTGGGCTTATTTGTCGTAACACTGATGCCTTTGACGATCGTTTTAACTGTTCATTTTAAAGGGTTCACGATAGATATGTTTGAAACTCCACCCAACGTTGAAGGGATCCAATACTTCATTGTGTTTATTACAGCTATGTCGAATTCTTCAATAAATCCCTATGTGTACGGACTAACAAACAAGGCTTTTAAAGATGCTTTGAAAGAGACAAGACTTTATCGGTTCATCATTGTCAAGTATCAGTCTAGAATGAAAAATTCAAAATGTGCAACAGTTCAGATCATACCGTCTCCTGAGAAACTACATTAAAACAGTAACACCCAGGCGTAGCAAATCCCATCAAACATCTAATGCATGGCTTTAAGCAACAAATGTCAAATTTGAATGGCGAAAGACACGGGCTAAGCGAGCAGTGGGTTCTGGCGGGTTCTCCCTCCAAGAAATTTTTGAAAAATGAGATTTGATTGAGTGCTTTTTAAATTAATGTAGACCAATTACATATACATCTGTACTTTTCTGTACAAATTTGGAGGAAAAAATATTTTCATAGGAAAAATTTAAACAAATATAACCTTAATTTTGAAACCCTTGCTTGACCCCCTTGCATCTCTAAAAATTTCAAGTTGAACAGAAAAATGCTTTCCTGTAATTTTGATGACAGATTTATGTTGTGCCTGCTTACCCACCCTGCAGGCACACTCAGCAGCACAAGAAGACATTTCATGTATATTACTTTTTAAACGTGCATAATAAAAATTACGAAATAATTATATGCTTTAACAAAATCATTTGACTTCTGTGACCATGTAGTCTAAAGCAGGTTTCTAGAGAATTCTTGTAAATATCAAATAAACAAGCAACTAGCAAGATTTTATTTTCATGGGTCTCCCACTACACTTCACTATTATCTTTCATGTTTTTCTGTTTGAAAGAAGACATGTTGGACTCTCATGATTTTTGAAAATATTTAAATTATTTTTGAAAATATTTTCAGGTTTTCCAATTGCATAAAAGTGGAGCCGGTATTTAACTCTGTAATAGTCAATAGTAACTAAAATGCATAGATTAATCATAATAGAGAACAATTTTTCATATTCCTTATAAGTTACTGTTATACACAAAAATCACTTCCTCATTATTTTTGCTTACTCTGTGGCAGTACACAGTCTTCAGAATACGAGACACAACATTTCGAGACACTGTCGCAGGAGATCTTATTTTTGTTGTGATGTCACAATACTGAGACTCACTTCCTGGAGTGGCTAATCCTTTAACATTTCAAAAGCTATTTACAAAATACAGTTTGTAATTTATTTCTATGACATTCATATTGATACACATACAGTACACATCATGCCTAAGATCACACCGGCATGCTCCAATCGGCGCGTCGGACACATACTTATGCGATACATATAACATATGTGATACACAAAACTTATGCAATACATAGAAATCATTGATCTTTGTAACCTTTTAATTAAAATAGGATTTGGATGAACAATTCATATTTTTTGTCTTTAAAAACTATGTTTTTTGACCTAAAAAAACTAGACACAATATGACCAATAATAAATTTAAAAAATTCTAATTTTCATAGTTTTTTCATAATTTTCATGTCACAATTTTGGCCTTTGACCTCTGACATCATATGGTCCAATGTACATATTATGTATTTCTCTATATTTTGCTCTATTCTAATGATGTCTATCAAGATGTTCTAGTATGTAGTGTCAAGAGTCTCTTTAATCGGCGCACCACTGCTTCCATGAAACAATATCTCGTCCGATGTCTTATGTAGCACTGGAATAACACAAGAATTAAGTTATCATTTAAGTAACACTTAATATTTTTCCTCTTCGAACAGAAGTCACCTCCTAGAAAAAATGATTTCAAAGAGAGAGATAATCCAGATATTTATTGAAGAGAAAGGCATATGTGCAATAAATGCATCTTTAATTGTCAACAAAGATCAAAATGTTATTAATTTAACAACTTGGCATATTTTTGTACATGTATTTATACTCGGGAGACATAAATAAATTAAAATCAATAAAAAAAAAAACTTCTTTCAGATCTCCCCACTCTTCAAGAGCCCCTGACATTTTATATATCCAACATTTACCTGTTCAATATCTTGTAGTTTCTTGAACAATGATTCATTTATACAGCTGAGTGCGTCCATCTTGAGTTTCTCCAGGTCTTCACGACCTACTCCACTTTGTACAGTTGTGTCTAAGGATGCATCATGTCCATACTGCTTACGGTAAGGTGTACTGGTGGTTGGCATCTCTGAAAGTGTGAATTATTCATGGTTGTTTTCAGTTGTCATACTTTGAAATTCAGTGGAATAATGAAGTCCCATTTACCTCGTGACCTTGACATCAGTCATGTGATCTTTGTCGAGCGGATGGATCATTCTTATTTCATTTATTCTATACTTTCATGTGTACTACTCCCCTCAACAAACTGTTTATAATTTCATAAATCCAATTATTGCATAATTATTATATACCAAAATATTAGCATGATTAATTGAAGCTGGATATGGTCACACTTAAGTTCTTATTCATGGCTATATACTGTACATACCTTGTAATCTGCGGATACTCTCTTGTTTCTTAGAGTGCATGCTGAGGAGACTTGAGCCAGTCTGCAAGGGTTCACAGTGTTGAAGAAAATACTCTAGGTGACGCCACAAGATGAACAGACAGTTCTCTATGATATCTTATGTAGATTAAGGCTTAATTAAGTTCTTTAATTCAATATGGCAATCCCCAGTGCATTTGTTTAATTTCAATTATAACAAAATTAAAATCAAATATAGGTATGCATGAAAATAAAAAAATAAAAATTTCGGAAAATGGAATTTCCAAATTAAATGTAAGTATATAAAAAAGCAAGTGAAATCAGAAATCAATGGGGTACTGAAGCTCTACCAACTGATGAAATGTTAAAGCAATCTATTCCTTTTGTTTAGAAAAAGACTGGGTACCAGAATAGTGTTATACGGGCATAATGATGAAATTACATAAAAATTGCATGCAAAGTATTTGAGTTTGAAATACACACAAGTGAATTTAAAGAAAATTTAAAGAAAACATCATAAATTATCATTTGCGATAAAATCATAAATATCATTGAAATTTTAAGAAATCTTAATGGGGGGGGGCTTAATTATAATATTTTCATACCATGCATAAAATTGACTCAATGTCAAATGTCACTCTCCAGAAATTTAAGTTAAAGAGACATGTTTGGAATTCAATCAATAGATTTGTCTGCTAATGAGAAACATAACTTTGCCCTCATAAACCCAGCCTTTAAGCCAAATATAATCAAGGACAGTGATATGCACAATGACCTGATATGGGGTTTTAAGATTATTTCCAAAGGATACATGAATAGAGTTGTAGTTCTTGCACTTTATATCCCAATATTTGCAATAGTCTTTTCCTGGCTATGGCCTGACGTTGTTGTGTCGACAGTTTTTCACCTGCAGATCTACCACACAGCTAGAAATAAAATCAGTTATCAACTTGTATTACACATACTTTAGATTACAATGTTTACATGTAAGTGACCCAAGAAGGGCTTATGTCCACAATTAATTATTTGAGGAGTTGTTCAAGACTGAACACATTTTCAAGAATTTTTCAAATTTCATTCAATCATATGATCTTTCCCACATCATTTTACTCAGTACTCACCTCTTTAAGCTCTTCTGCTCCTAGATCTGCCAATGTTTTCAGCTTCCTGGCAAACTGGGAGTGACTGTCAAAAACTGTCATAAAACTGTTGGTACATTGACGGAGCTGATAGACAATCAAACCCAGATTAGGAGGCCGACTATAACTTGCCATTGTACTTTGTAGATCTGAAAATAAAAGAGTCAAACCCTGATAGGATTGTAGCAGGAATTGACAAAGCCGGGAAGCAGGAGATGTTCTCCAGTTGCTTTTTTCATATTTACAATTGTTAGTTTGAGGAATTTTGCAACTACATGTACTGTATTTCCATGTTTAAATGCTATTAACATCCAATAATTTTGTACATGCTGGGATTCATTGTGCTTTAGCTTTATCAGAATTTTAAATGGAACATATGCAAAATTTCCTTTTGGTTTTCCTTGGATTGTTCAAACCTAAGAGGGAGCAAGTTTGAACTAAGTGTCTGCTTTTGACATTTCTACTCAATTTTGAGTGTTAAAAGCCTGTATTTTAAATTTTAACTTCCTCATTGATTTCACTATCCACTCTATTTCACATTTTAAAACATGACTATTATAGTATTTATCTTATGCATACCTTCAAACTCTTGCACATTTCTAGCAGTTGCTTCCTGGAGGTTGGGGTTGAATAGAACTCTTGTGAATGCAGCATTGGGGCCTAAAACAAGAGAGCATGTCTTTCATCTCAATCAATTCAAGGCAAGCAGTTGGCACCTAATGGAGTTAAATGCCATAGTGTTCAGCAAATTACCTCATTTGATAAGTAATGGCTCTGATGAATTTACTGTTGCATTACTATCTCATTTCATTGAATTTATGCCACCAATCATTCTGATTCTTTGCAAGCACGCCTGCTGTGAGCTCCCATGAGAGGAGGGAGTAACCCAGAATTTACAGATGAACTTATCTCCATGTAAAGATGAACACTTATTCAACTTTACATTAATTAAGGTTCAACATTGAATTCTGGACTGTTCCCCCCTCTAAGCTCCCAAATTGTGTTTAAACCTACCTGATTTTGAAATAATAGCACGACAATAAGCCACAACATTTGATGCAATTTCCTGAATCGTAATTTCCATCTCCATACGAACGTCACCACCTTCATCACCAGTACTGCCCTCTATATCACGTAACTGTCTCTGTAAATTCTGTGTCATGACATATTTGGGCAAAAGCGCTATCATCTGGCGCTGTATGCGAGAGAGATGACCTTTGAACTCTATGTCAGATGTATCTCCTATTGTTGTTTCAACATTGTCTTCACCTAAAATTATGAGATTGTAACCTTTAATCTGCATCAATGAACACATGGTTAATGCAGCTATATTAATTCATACCTATATATCTCTAATCAAAATAGCAAAAAAATGCATGCTTTATATTTCTCATTTGATTTAAAAAAGAATTAATAAAGAAATATACCATTATGTGACAGATATTGATTTTATTTTAAAATGACTTACTTTCTATAGCAGCCCGTGACAACACTGCAGTAACTAAGGCAACCTCTTTTAGAGAATCTAGTTGTAGCACATGTGGCTGATTCCTCAGAATAGTGGTGAAAACCTCACCATGGGCAACTATAAATTGCAGGATCTGAAGATAGGACAATATATTGAAAACTCTGACAGGAGAGGAGTTGGATTGTGGCATTAAATATCATGGAACATATATCAACCCCAATAAGCCATTAGTATGGGAAATGTTAATTAACACCTGCCATTTGTTACAGCCGCTGAATGCCAGATGCCCAACACCGTCACAAAAAAAGTTGAAGACAAATACAATATGATATCATGTGGTGTCTCAATAGAACTAAACAAAGCATTTTCTATTACATAGACATACTGACATATGTATGCAGGACTTTTAGTTTTACATCTAGCTGTTTTCAGAAGATGCTCTAAACAAACGACTGAATCAAGAAAAAATGATGAGAGAATTTGACTTTTCAAAAAAATTACTAATTTCACCATCAATATTTACTAATTTCACTTGCAGAATTGATCAAGAGTAAATCTTTAATTATCATAGGCTTTCCTACCTGATAGGCTGCCTCTCTGTTCTCTACTCCCAGGGAAGTTAGCACCCCAATGCACAGTTTCAAAGCTGGGAAGAGAAGCTGCCTGAACCTTGACATAACACTAGGCACAAATCCCTCAAATGTCACATCCCCTTGAGGCTGCCTGTATATTAGAAAAAAAGGAATTTCAATAGACATATTAAAATATGATCTGAAGTGTAAATCAAAATGAATGTATGAAAAACATGTTATCTTGATAATAAGTAATACTTTGTTCTTAACAATTTTGATTTCAATGAACAAACAATTTCAATTCATTCATTTAACCATCACCCAATCATTGGGTATTAGGTACAACAATACAATTATATTTTTTATACAATAACATATTTACAATTGCTTCCCAGCCTCACTTATCAATTTATAGAATGTTAGAATTCTAGGATTTTTCGTAAAAACTTCAACCGAACATGGGTGACAATGTAGGATTTATATGTATTTACCTGTCTGTTTCTGGTCTCATGTCCAATACAGTACATTCAACCAACCTAGCCATGACCCCTAGTTGTAGCAATGTCTGGGCTCCACTGGCCGACTCTGCCAGCCTTGTCAGCAGACTCTACAATGAAATACATGATTCATAAGCATGTTTTATGTGACCTTGCATATCTTAATAAACACAAGGCATTAACATGCAAAATGTCACTGCCTGCCATTTGTTACAGATATATATAAATGCAACGCATCATTTAAATTGTAATTCCAAGGTCTAATATCAATAAATTTTGTTGGTTTAAAATAAACCGTTTTTGTAATTGATAATTTCCTCACCATTTTTGATTCATAAATGTAAAGTGCTTTTAGTGGTTCAGGGCTTGGGTTTAACATGGCTTGTAGCTGCTCATTGTCCTGTAGGAGGCTATCTATGAGATGTTGTAGGTAACCCTTGGATGTCATAAATTGCAGCCATTGGTGGTGCCTGTCTGTATCCACTATAGCATCTAAGGCAGCAAGGGCCAACATCTGAAATGAAGAAAAATGTGAAATACATGTTAATGTCATGATTATCATGTTTTAAAATGTAACATCAAGTGGAAATGAGTTGAATCAGCCAGGAAAAGATGAGACTTAAATGTATGTCATACATACCCCCCCCCCCAAGTGTGAAAAAAGATATTGGAAACATTTCTGAGGTACATATCATCCCTGCATCATGAGAGCCAAAGAAACTTGAAATGTTTGAGATACTTACCCTTCCCACATCGTGGCCATCACATGCATCTTTACATATAATCTCAATAAAGTTTGGACCATATGATGATATAGTTGCAACATTCTCACTGGTCAACTGCTCATATTCTGACACCTTTGTAGCTAATGCTGCTCCTACCCCTCTCTCTGGAGCACCTGGAAGATTTAATAGCATGAATGCATAAAGTTAGGACCATATGATGATATAGTTGCAACATTCTCACTGGTCAACTGCTCATATTCTGACACCTTTGTAGCTAATGCTGCTCCTACCCCTCTCTCTGGAGCACCTGGAAGATTTAATAGCATGAATGCATAAAGTTAGGACCATATGATGATATAGTTGCAACATTCTCACTGGTCAACTGCTCATATTCTGACACCTTTGTAGCTAATGCTGCTCCTACCCCTCTGTCTGGGGCACCTGGAAGATTTAATAGCATGAATGCATAAAGTTAGGACTATATGATGATATAGTTGCAACATTCTCACTAAAATGCATGTTTTAAAAAATTAATATAGTTAAAATCATTTGTCAAAGAGAAGATTAGTAACAGATATGATTATGAATATTTAATAATATGGGTTAACTCAGATTTAGGTTTTCAGAAAAGTGGTCAGTCGTTTCAAAAACTGACATTTTACAATGTATCATTTTATATGTATATAAACTGACAAATGCTCATACATCAAGTATTTGTTCATATCTAAAAGACATAAAATATACAACATATTTCAAATCACTAGCCAGGGTTACACTACAATATAACCTATATGTATTCTAAAGGGGTTCATAAGTGTACTGTACCATGTTCCAGTAAAGGCGGATCTTGTGGCTTCTTCGCAATCTGTAGGTAGAAGAGTAGAGCTCCATATAGGTTTGCTCTCACCCTTTGTTGGCCCCCACCTGCAGGACACAATAAAATATATATACTATCTTTATTTTATACATATATATACTTTTTATATATATAGTAAAAAATGATTATAAAAACAGAAAATAACAGAAGAAGTAATTCAGTCACTACTGGTTTCACTTTTATTCTTCAGGTAACTGATTATCATTTAAATCGCACATTATGACTTTATACCATTGATCTCCAGAGAGCTGTTTTCTGCTGCATATTCTTACATTTTGACATCAAAATATGCTTTTTGAGAATTTGTGGAGTACAACTGAGAAAATTTATCAAAATATGCATTTTACCAAAATTGGAAAACTTTGGATTCATCTGAAAATGTATACCCCTATCAAAAGGTAGAGCCTCTTTGAAACATTAAAGCCCCTATGAAATCAGAAACCCCTCCTGATAAAAGGAGGCTATAATCTGCTTTGGTACATAAACTTACTTGTACGCATTATGAAGTCAATTATGCCCCTGAGAACAACTTGCAGGGACGAAGCAAACATTGTTTTAGAGCCAGAATTCTGTCCAAATGAAGCAGTCTGATTGGCTGTCAAGGCTGCTGGGTTGTCTAATAAGGAGATGTAGTGAGACGTTTGAGGAATGGAGGCATCTGATTGGTCAGAGATGAAGCATTGACGTAAGTTTGAAATGAGAGTGAGAATGAGTCCAGCTACTGGGGCCATGAGATCAGGTAGAGCATCCTCATCAGACACCTAATATATAAGAAATATAATTCATCATATCAAGTATACATGTATATCATGTCAACTTTGATGCAATTGACATAATACATGTAAATTAAGCCTCAATCATCTCATAAAAGCAAAACAAATAAAAGCAAAACAAAATTAATTCACAGTGTAAAATAGCTAAACTACATGATGACCGAAATGCTCTAGGCCTATGACAAAGTAATTTGTTTAAGCATTTTTTTGATCAATCAGCTCTTAGACTGGGAGCCACTTTTGATCTGGGTCAGTAGTTCTTTCAGCAAAGGAAAACATGAAATTGAATTTTGAACAAGAGGTCCCAAGCCCTTATGAAGCACCCTGTATAAATCTGAGGACTCACCTTCACCAGTAGATCCTGTGTGATCTCAAACAGTGCCAACTGTCTCTTCTCCCCACTGATGAGGTCCATAGGGCAAGCATTCAGGATGATCTCTATCACTTGCCTTAAGGCATTGAAGGCTTGACGTTTAGCATGAATGCTCTCCCTCACTGAGTTCTTCTGTACTACATTTGCAAGAATGTTCTGGATCTCCTGAAAATGTTTTCATTGATTAGGGATAATGTCCCAATGTTGAATGTTCCGGAAGGGCTATTTGATTTCATAATTATATAACTCCATCCCAACATTTCCCCATATAAAAATTTGATAATTTTGAACTGCCTTTGTCACTTGCTTTCAACATTCAACATTCTGCACAAATGAAATCATAACAGCCCTTTCCTAATAAAACAAAATCAGCTTTGTCCCTCCACACCTGTTTACATTTGGACACCATCCCTTAACTTGAATCTCCAATTCTATATTCTCTGAGTATTACACATGCTGGAAAAATCCTAATGTTATACATGTATTTTTTATGACCTTTAATATGAGTTTCATGAAATGAATGTTGGTTATCTATACAACATCATTCAATAATGAAAATTATGAGTCCATCAGTATCTTGTGTATACTCTGGGCTCAGTTGATTAAAGTCTGACTTACCTCTAGAACTTTAAGCCTTTGGCCTGCAGCTGTGGACCCCTGGAGGTTGTTCAGCTCATTCATAAGAATTTTATGTAGAGACTTGACATTGCAGTATATGACACTTTCATCATTCTTTGACTCTCTTGAGGCAATCACCTAAACATAATAGGTTTAATATGTTTTTATAGTTTATGTTTGCTCTACCTAATGTTACTCCACAAATGCTTTGGCCGTATCTAAGGTTATCATAACAAAAATTACATGACAAAATGTCACCAATGGAATCCAATAACAAAAGTGTAATGATTTGTTACATTAAAAGTAACATCATGGCCAATGAAATAAATTAACTATATCTATATATTAGTACCCTTTGCATTCTTTTGACTTCACTTCTTAAAAGAGAGCTTCGTCTTCAATCTTTCATTTTACAATAAATCTCTGATCTCACCAAGCCAATCAGAGCTGTCACAGGCCCCAATCTTTGAGGCGGGGCTGCTAAACTGTAATATAGTCTACACTAGGCAGAGGGTAGTTTATAACTAGTTTATATAAGAATATGCTCACTGAAATTTAGCACCAATGAAATTAAAAGTGATCACAGTACCTGTTCAATGACAGATGGTTCAAAGAACTCCAGGTTCAAAGGTTGTGGGTATTCCTGAGTGAAACTCAACATGTCCAACAATCTCAGAATTTTCCTCCGAGTTTGACCTGAAATATAAAACAATAATGTCAACCCATGATTCATGATATAATCATTCTACATTACAGTGATTGACAGCTATGAACTTGACAACAGCAACGCCAAAGCGTAGCAAATCCCATCAAACAGCCATGGCAGGCATTTTTACAAACAAAGTATATAGCAAAAATGGCCACAATTTTTCAAAATTACTACCTTCTACCACAAGTGTCATTAGACAGTGTGCCATGCTTCTTATAGTATTCACATACCAAGTATGAACAGAATCGCTCCACTAATTTTCAAGGTATAGTAAAATAGGATAAAATGGTGGCCATTTTTCAAAGGTGTCATTACCAAAGGTGTCATTAGACAGTGTGCCATGCTTTTAGTATTCACATACCAAATATGAACAAAATCATTCCACTACTTTTCGATCTATAGTAAAATACATTAAAATGGCGGCCATTTTGAAAAAAATGGCTGCCTTCTACCAAAAGTGTCATTACACAGTGTGCCAAGCTTATAGTATTCACAAACCAAATATGAACAAAATCGCTCCACTACTTTTCGAGTTATAATAAAATACATTAAAATGGCGGCCATTTTGAAAAATGGCCGACTTCTACCAAATGTGTCATTAGACAGTGTGCCATGCTTATAGTATTCACATACAAAATATGAACAAAATCGCTCTACTACTTTTCGAGTACTACTTAGCGAGTAAAGGCATCCATTTTTCAAGATGGCTGCCATGTGTTTCTTTAATATCTATATTTCTGGCTTTATTAATGGCCTATATAATTTTTTTACATTTAAAACATATTGCTATTACAATTTTACATAATGTACCTAAATTACTGTAAAATCGGCATTAAAATGGCTGTCATTTTTGAATGAGAGGCCATTTTGAAAATTCGGCTTTCAAGCAGAACTTCTACCCCCATAGGGTATATCATGTTTACAAAATATGAACAAAATCAGACCAACGGTATTTGAGTTATTGCCCGGACGGACGGACGGACGGACGCAGGCATTTCTTTCCTCAAGAATTTCTTTTTGTGAAGTCAATCAATTCAAAATATTTATTCGGCTATTGGAATGCGTGCGAATGTGAAACTAATGTTTATTTCCACTTTGGCTCAGCCTTCGTAGTAGTTTTTGATTTGGATTATGAACAGGTCTTAACTGTTTTATATCCCATGGGTCTGTTATGATAGCTAAGATTCAATCAGTAAATGTTTTATAATCACAAGGACAACAAAGACGACATTTGCAGACAAGATTATATCACGAGAAAGAGAAAAAATTCAACTTCATAATATCCTATCACTAAAATGTCCCCTAAAAGGCATACATCTGACATCCTGAATGCCCTTGATATTTTGAAGGATTATACATCATCTCGAATGAAAACTCATGAAAAATTCTTTTTACTCAAAGAGGATATCTACTCAAATATTGCTAATGCTAAAAGTGCCAAGAAACAAACAACAATGAAGGACTTTTTCAAGCAAAAGTAAAGCAGTGCTATATAACCATAATATGGGATAAGTCATTTGATTAGCATAAGATTTTGTACGAGACTATCATATACTTTTACAGTGTATTACAAAGTTTTTGCCAAAATATGAGTTATTTTTACTAAAATGATGATATTGTTCAAAAATTAAATAAAACATAGCATATAGGCTATAGGCTTATTGTAGAATTAACTCATCAACAACATTTATTGTTTTCTGACTTAGTATTAAGTGTATAATATAGTGGACTGAACAATGAAACTCCCCCCCCCCGACCAACAAAATCCTCGAAATTTGAACACCTGCCAATTTGAACGCTTTTGGCTGGTCCCATGTGTGTTCGGATTAGACAGGTTTTACTGTAGTTTGCAACAACAACTTTTCGATTTAGTGCCAGAATAACTTGGCACACGGTACATCATGGTCAGGTGACCGTAAAAAGTGAACAAAAGTAACAACATTTCAGAGGTTGACAGTCTTATCTTAATAAATCTTAAACAAGCTTTGTAGTCAACATAACAAAAGGGATGCTATTTGTGCTAAAAACAAGATAATAAGAGATTCTTTAATTGGTTTTAGTACAACTTTAAAATACCAAGTAGTGTGAGGCAGTATAATTGGCACATTCAGCCAAAACTGAGGAGTGTGATATATGTGACAGCATGTTTCATTTGAAAAGCCAAGTGAAACAACACAGAGACACTATACATATTTAAGTAAGTAAGTGCAATACAGGATATATTTTGCCTAACACCACTAAGGGGGTAACACCAAGGGAATAAAATAGGATTATAAAGTTAGTACTACAGCTAGCTATGCGTAAAAACGGTTACTTCGCTAAGGCTTTAGAACCACTCTATCCCCAGGAATAATATTGTTATCTGTAGAAAGTAAATTCAATTTCCTCAAGACTGGGCGCTGTTGTATCGCTTTCAGAAATAGCTGTGGAACATTATCTCCATTTCCGCAGGGTAAGGTCACCATTTTTACTGAAATGATCAGTTATTTTCCGTGGTAATGTCAACAAGTTATTCCCGCGGATTAGGTCATAAACGGACGGTGTGTATCCCTAGGCATCAGCATATAAAATTTGAACAAAGGCTGTCTACTGGTATTTGAGTTATCAAAGATTACATTTTTCATTTTTTTACCAAAAATGGTTGTCATTTTGAAATTCAGCAGCCATCTTGAAAATGTCTTCTTGAGCAAAGCTCCTTTGTCCCTAAGCAGTTATCAAAGATTGTTCTTTTGCAAAAAAATGGCGGCCACTTTGAAATTCAGCTGCCATCTTAAAAATTTTTTATCGAGCAAAGCTCGTGTGTCCCTAAGGCATCAGCATATAAAATTTAACAAAATCTGTCTACTGGTATTTGAGTAATCAAAGATTACATTTTTTTAAGAAAAATGGTGGCCATTTTGAAATTCTGCAGTAATCTAGAAAATGTCTTAACCAAATCATTATTGTTATCATAGTTTGCATATATAATGCAAGCCTTTATTTTACCAGAAAATATTTTAAATAGAATCAACACTATGATTTTTAAATTTTTATGGTCAAAGGGAAAGTTCAAAGAGGATGAATTAAAAAGTTGTCCTGATAAGGTTAAACGTGATGTAATGGTTCAAGATTATAATTATAAAAATGGAGAGCTTAAGATGATTGACTGTAAAGATATGCAAAAAGCATTTTCTATCTTATGGATTAAAAAACTCCAAAACCCAACCAATAGGCACTGGAAATGTATTCCTAGATATATGTACAACACAATAGGTAAGAACGTAAGTGTTTTTAATAGTAACATTTCAAGTGGTGAGTTAAAAGGATGTGAAATTCTTAACTCATTCTACAAAACAATATTGACAACATGGTTAAATCACAGTGAGTACAGTGATCCAAATATATTATGGAACAACAAAGATATAACTTGGAACAGATCTCCACTATGTTTTTCAAATTGGATAAAAAATGGTGTTATATATATAAATGATATTATTTTAAACAACAGATTAATGACATATGAAAAACTTGTTCAAAAAGTAGGAAAAATGGTCAAACACTTTTACAATTTAACATGTTGAAAGCATGTCTAAGGCAAGATAAAATTACTTCTAGAGTACAGTGTAATGGTACTTTATATTTTAAAGACACAGATTTAAAAAATTTGACTTCAAAGAACATCAGGGAGAAGTTAGTCTTCGCAGGAAAATGTGATGCAATTCTTAATAGAAATATTTTAACACAAGATATATGGTGTGAGATGTTTAAATGTACTAAAGACACTTCTTTATTGATTATACAGTGCAAGATACTCCAAAATATATATGAAAAAATAGTGTTTATCTTAAGAAGTGTAACATAGAGCAAAATGACAAATGTAAATTTTGTAATGCTAGAGATGACTCGATGCATTATTTTGTGAAGTGTCCAGTCATAAAAAAGCTTATGGGCCAATTTGAATTTAGATGAAAATCAAAAACTTGGTATATCTCAAGTAGGAAAAAGTGTATTATATGAATGCCTGTTAATCAAAAAAAAGTCATACATGACTTCAAAGTATCTAATGGAGAAGGTAACCTAACATTAATGTTAGAAAAGGAAAAACTTGTAAAAACTGTGTAGAAATAATTTTACTTCTTATTGTCTATTCTGAATGAATAGCAGCTCAAAGAGCTCATTGTAATATTTTTGTAAATTTCTCTGTTTTTGTATATAAGTTAAGTCTCATAAATTTTAAATAAAAAAAAACTTCTCGAAGTTTACCCTCTTAACTTTCTTATATCCCCCTCGAACTTCGTTCGGTTGGATAATAACAGCAGTAAATATTGTCTATATGTCATACTTTATTTTTTTGAACTAATGGTACTGTATGTATGCCCACTGGTGTTCATAAAAAATAAAAAATATCGCACTCTAAAATTGTCTCCATGTTATCTAGAATACAGGAAACTTACGCTCTTGAAGGTGAAAAAATTGAAGTTAACTGAATAAGCTGTTTTCCATATAATTTGAATGACAAAAATTATCAAAAAATTCAAAATGGCCACCTTGTTATTTACCCCACAGTTTCAAGTTGAATAGATAATTGTTTTCCTGGAACTTTGATAACAAGATTTATGTGTCACCTGCCTGCCCACACTGACACACACACGAACACCCATCAACACAAAATGACGACAATATAGCACTTTGAAAAAGTGTGATGAAAAAGTAATTAATAATAAAATATATCCTACAGGGCATTACAGCTAATATTTTTTGTAAGTAATTAAAATAAAATTATATCATAATGTAACATATACATGTATGTTATCAAGAATGGATGAACATACTATGAAATTGAACTTTGAAATTGAAAAACCTGATCAATAGCACAAACAACCTTTTTATCTGTGTTTAAGTAGCACATACTAAAATACGGAGATATCGTTATTACAGAAATTTTTCAATAGTAGGGATTATAATAACACACAATTCAGTAACTAGGTATGTGTATATTATTTATGATTGTTTACATATAAAAATATTATCAAACAAGATATAAATGAATAGATTATTCAAATTACCATTCCTGATAATTGTTAAGATCAAAGTTTAAATACAGAGATTTAATTATGGCCTCAAGATTTGTGAAAACCAGATGTGAAAAGGATAGGTATCGATATGGAGAACGGAATTCAACAATGTTTTTCTCTTAAACCAATCATTGAAAACATTCTGTAAAAAACATGGTATTTTATGTAATGTTGACTGATTGACAACAAATTAATGAGAAAATTATTAAGAAATATTTTATATAACTGTTTTTGTTAACATTTTTTGTTTTTTAGTGCAATTGTTTTTGCTCCTTTCTACCAATTCTTGAGAATGACATAAAATGTCTTTCCAAACCTTGTTGGAACAAAATAGCATATACAACATGTTTTTAGACCTCTCAATATTAAAGTTATAAAAAGGAATTTTTGGTTGATTTTAAAAAAGAATATTTCATTGGAAAAACAAAATAAAAAGCAACAAAAGCACTGAAGAAACAGAATTTAACACATCAAATATTAACCTGAAAAACAAGGATACATGGAGTTGCTTTTATCAAGTCATGGCCATAAATCGGAAAAAATGAGTGAAGTGGAGAAGCATGTGATTTCTACTTGAAAATTCAATAAATCTGCAAGATTTATTTTTCATGAAGAAGATGTTATTTGAAGTAAAACATATTCTAATCTGTGTTTAGACTATTAAATCCGTAATAATTATTATAAACCTTTGTTAAAATATGTTAAAAAGTTTTGATAAAAGAAAATCATTCTGGGTAGAGGACACTCGCACCTTTTTCGATAACTTAATCAGATTATAATTGATTTCCTACAAATTCCTCATATCTCATACATGCATGTCTCAATTGTCACTTTTGTGTTTCAGAAAATGATTTGCAGGCAATTGAATAGAATTGGGTTGATGTCCAGGAGCATGAAATTATCTGATGAAGTCTCATCTTGAATGAAAATAAATCTACAGGTACAGATTCCTTCAAGTCAATACAGCCAATAGGAAACACTGCGCTGTGGAATACAATTTATTTTCAGTTAACATCTGGGAAACATTGGAACAGAAATGGCGATCATTCGAAAAATACTTGCTTTAATTACTGCTATGGTCAGTTTGTATGTTTTTTGGATGGCACATGTACAGGATGCTAAACAATTTAAAACACTCCCCCCAATACAAAACCACCATCAACTGAACAATACTCCCATTATCCCAGCTTCAAGCAAACAAAATGCAATGTCAGGGGGCATTTCAAAACATCAAATGAACAATACTCCTATTATCCCAGCTTCAAGCAAACAAAATGCAATGTCAGGGGGCATTTCCAAACATCAAATGAACAATACTCCTATTATCCCAGCTTCGAGCAAACAAAATACAATAGCAGGAGCTATTTCAAAACATCAAATGAACAATACTCCTATTATCAAAAGCAAACAAAATGCAATGTCGGGGGGTGTTTCAAAACAGATTCTTTGGTATAATGATTTTTTTGGTGCACAACATCCATGTTTTGAGACCCCTTCATTATGTTTAAAATTATGTCCCGAGTATAAATGCACTCTAACAAGCAACAAAGCTTTGTACAATGAAAGTGATGCAGTTATATTCCATCTAGTTGGCCTTGGGAACACCCCACCTGTAAAACATCCGCATCAAGCTTGGATATTTTTCTTGATGGAATCACCATCAAATTATCCACACATACCAAGTAATTATAACAACAAATTTAATTGGACAGCAACTTTTATGAGAGTAAGTGACGTCCATGTGCCGTATTCTGTAACTAAAAAATTGCCAGAAATAAATCAAACTGCTTTGAAGAACATAGACTTTTATGCAGGCAAAGAAAAGAAGATAATATGGGCTGTTAGTAACTGTCATACAATAGGAGGTAGAGAGAAAGTAGTAGAAGCACTAAAGAAACTAGGATGGCAGGTAAAGTTTTACTCATTATTATTATTATTATTATATTTATTTCGCCTCCATTTTTGGAGATAATAATAATTAATTATTACAATACATATAAAAGACACATACAATAATAAAAACAATTAAAATGTTTATTTACAACCAATCACTGATGTTGACGGACGTCAGGCTACCGCGTTGACGCCGTCAAGTTACTACTATCTGTTACATAATATAAGAAAAACAAGTTCTCCACCTAATATTTGCTGTTGACGGACGCCAGGCAAATTATGCTTACAATAAACACAATGCTATAGTAATCCTCGAAGGAGCTATTAACACTGGTATATGATATTCTTGTCACTTGAATATTCATGAATCTTTAGAACTATTGAGATAGTGTTGATGCAGAAACTTGTGCTACATGCAATGTTGAGCCCCTTTAAAAACGAAAAAAAAGTTCAGATCGCTCATTCGCAATTGATTTAAAATGTTGATTCAAATTAACAAACTACAGTGATCTCCCCAGCATTAAAGCAAGTGGGCGCAGAACCCACCTGAGATTTTGAAAATAGGCTTGCACCCACCTGAAAATCCATTTGCACCCACTTGTTAATGAGAATTTTGCACCCACCTGAGAATAAATCCTGGGGAGATCACTGAATTAGTATTACGAAAGTATTCAAGTTTTATACTTTATTTTCAAATATGAATGAAAACAATACAAATATTAATTTTTTCCAGGTTGATATATATGGTGGTTGTGGGTCCAAGAAATGTCCACGTGGAAGCGAGTGTGAAAAAAACATTGGAAAAAACTACATGTTTTATCTAGCATTTGAGAACAGCCTATGTGAGGATTATATAACAGAAAAACCTGGAAATGCCATTATTAGATGGGAGATTATACCAATAACTTATGGTTATGGAAATTACACAGCACACCTTCCCCCGAATTCATTCATAAACGTCAACTCATTCAAAACTGTTAGTGATCTGAGTAAACACCTCAATAAGGTGGCAGAGTCAAGAGACCTGTATAACAGTTATTTTGAATGGCGCAAAACACATTCTTATTTGCCAAGTAACTTTTATTGGGCTTGTGATATTTGCAAAAAATTACATAACAATCACCAGAATTATTATAAAGACATGGAAAAGTGGTGGTCTAAAGATCGATGTATTTCGATGCCTATTTCACTCTGACAAGCCTTCTCTATGGCTTTTCATTTTAAAGATAGCTTAGAAAACCTTAATTAACTGATTAAGTGATTTACATAATCTTATATCCAGGTAACTGTATAGCAATAAAATTTGTGTGGGCCACAAGACATTTTGCATATTTTAATAAATTTCTGATTGAAGCCTGAAAAATCTATAGGAGCAGGTGTAGGCTTGAAAAGCTATCTTTAAATCATTAATACTGCTATTTATTATTGTATCAGGTGTTATACATATAATATCTATGTGCATATATATCAGATATATCTGAACTATGTACAGGGTGTCCAAAAAAAATACAGGACCGTAAGAAAGTTTGATAATAATCTGCCAGTTGAGTTAAAATCTACAGTTGCTTACAAAACATGCCCCAAATGTGCAACTAGGGCTTACATCCTCCTGATGAAAATGTTACAGCATCCATTGCATTCTGAACAATGCATTGCCTGGGTGGCAATGAGAAAACATGGAATCATCAGTCCTTTTTGGTTCGAAGGTGACTGGACGTGCTTTCACCATGAACAAGGACCAGTAAGCTCTCCCTAAGTTTTGGAGGTGACTAAGCACCAGAAGGGACATCTAAGGAGATAAGCAGTGGTTTCAATAAGCCAATACCACCCTAACACTGCAAATGATATGCTGGAATGGTTTAGGCAATGCTATGGTGGTCAGCTCATCAGTCGTAGAACCCAAACCATATGGGCAGTTCATTCGCCAGATCTAAATCCCCCAGATTTTTATCTTTGGGGATTTCTCAAAGCTAATGTGTATTACTGTCAGGCCTAACAATCTTAAGAGGGCAATAACTACCCCAATATGTACCATCCATATTAATGTGTATAGGTTAGGGTCATTTACAACTTGGTTCACAGTATTCGTTTGTGTATAGAGAGAAGTGCCCACTTTGAGCTTGTTTAAGTACTGTAGCTTCTGACACAATTGACAGATTTTCAACAAACTTCAAGAACAAATTTCACATTGAATGAACTAAATAATTCTTAATTTCAAGGCAAAATATGCAAAATTGACCGAATTATTCAACTTTCTTACGGTCCTGTCTTTTTGGACACCCTGTAGATATGAAAAGCTATCTTAATTATTTAAAGATCTAATAGCAAAGGTTTTGCAAAAATCAATCAATGTAGTATAAAACAAATGTATGTATAATGAAGAAATAAATATATAATGAAAAAAATAGATATGTGTTTGTAATATTGGTATTAACTTAAAAAAGTGTCACTATCTCTTTCATATTTTAACAAATATAGGCTCACGTGACAAGTGACACGGGGCAGGCAATTTTGATCTATCATAGATCATATCGCTGATATTTCAACCTCGTCTTGCGAGGCCATTTTGATTCGAATTATCTTGAATTTTGGTGTCATATTCAGTGTTCACTACTGCTTTTCGCGTCATGACAAAACGAGTAGTAACCAATCAAGATGCTGTATTTTATCACGCGAGTTCAGAGTGACATGCACACGACATGAGAAATCAGCGATTCTAAATTAAAGTAGGATCTGCCATTTCTTCCTGTACAAGTTATAACTTATCTCTATCGAATCCTAAAGTTTTGGATGAAGATATGAAGCATACGTTTAAAAACGAAGCGATTAATTTGACGATCTGATTTTGCAATGGCCAATTTACCGCAATTCTGCGTGTATTTGACAAGTGATAGCGCCAAGTCTTGTATCTAAATGCTCGTTATTTAGCCACTCAAAAACAAGATCCATATTTTCTAAATTTGATATCTTTGCAGAAAACCTGTTTTCGGCGTCTAAATTCAAACTGAGTAGGATAATAGTATCCCTGGGATCCTCAGTCAATGGCAACGGGTCTTCATTCCAGAATTCACATTTTTAGTTGATCCTCCGTCATAGTACTTTTATCTGCTCTCTTACTGGCATACTTGGACAAATTTCCCCTCCTCAAATTGTCCTCAGTCAAGTTACACCCTCTTGCCGATTTATATAGCCATTTCCCAGAACCCGGGAATCAGAATCGCTGATGATTGCCATATTGAACATGTTGAAATATGTACTGTAATATCTGTAATACTAGGCATTGACTGCTACATGTAACGGTCACGTGACTAGCACGATACAGGAAAAATGGGGAATTTCGAAACAACAATTTTTGGGCACTTTTATTGCAAATTTCAGTTATTTATAAAGTATTTGTGGTATAAAATATAATCCACAGACATAAATGAACACCGAAACTACCTATTTTATTAAGTTTTGGAGCCTTTTTGCTCTTAAATTAACATCTTTAATACTGCATATCTATTTCAAACATTAAATAAACATTTCTATTCTAAACATAATATCTCTCATAAGCCGCACTGGCTGGGACAGTGTTTTAGAAACCAAGCTACTATAGAATGTACTTTTTTTATCAAATCTTTTGTGAGACAAAAATAAATAAAAAATAAAATAGAAAAATGTTTCATCAGCTATATCAAACATGTATATGACCTAAAAAAATCAATAAAATGAGCAGAAACAAACTTAAAACATAAGTGGTGAATAGGTAATGAATTTATAATAAAAAATTTTTCAAGGTATCTAATTAGTCAAGAATGACCTTTGAATATAACTTCTTGGGAATATATATTTGGGATTATAATCCCACCTATAATGGAGTAAAAGAGAGATCAATCAAGGTAGAAACCTGTGTTTTGAAATATTACTCTTGCTTCAGTCAATATCATTATATATTATAACTGAGAGGCAGATGTTTATAGTGGTAATAATAATAGGAGAATAAAAAGTGCAGGTGTGCTTTGTATTTTCTCATACCGATAAATAGTAGCTCTGACCAGATTAACACAGGAACAAAATGCAGTATTCCTCATACATGTATATTCAAGAATACAGCATCTCCCTGGAGTAGCAAGTCCCACTTAACTAGGTAAACAGCAACTCCAAGAGTAACACATCCCACCAAACAAATCATATTTTATCAAATCAGAGTCCTTTAATGCAGTTATCAGTTAGCAGATGCCAGCGCTACTATGTCCATAAGCATCAGCATACAAGTATTACATTCGAATCAAATACATCTAATGGTATTTGAATTATTCAAGATTACATTTTTCAAAAAATGGTGACCATTTTGAATTGAGAGGTCATATTTGAAATTCCACCTTGAGCAGTGGTCCAATATGTCCCTAAGCATCAGCATGTAAAGAACTAAATCAGTCAAATGGTATTAAGTTATCAAAATTACATTTTTTCTGAAAATGATTGCAATTTTGAATAAAGCTGTCATATTGAAAATTCTTTCTCAAGCAAAGTTCCTGTACCCATGAGGTAGTAGCCAACCAGAACAACGGCAACGCCAAAGCGTAGCGAGTCCCATCGAACAGAAATGGCTGGCATTTTTACAAACGAAATATATAGCAAATATCATAAAATAACACCCATAAGAAAGGCCACCTTTCAAAATGGTTGCTCACTAGCCAAGTTGTCATCAGAAGAAGTAATATGCTTTTAAGTAGCCACATATAAAATTTTTAAAAAATCGCACACACATACATGTAAATGCTGGCCATTTTTTAAAATGGCCGCCTACTAACCAAAATGTCATAAGACAGTATGCAATCCTTACGAGTATTCACATATCAAATATGAACAAAATCGCTCTATCACTTTTTGAATTATAATAAAAAATGTAAAATAACACACATAAAAATGGTGGCCATTTCTCAAAATGGCCGACTACTCCCCAAAGTTTTATTAGACAATGTGCCATGCTTAAAGTATTCACATATCAAATATGAACAAAATCGCTCCAATACTTTTCGAGTTATATTAAAAAAATGTAAAATTGACAGCTATTTTTACAGTGTGCCTTGCTTATAGTATTCACATATAAAATATGAAGAAAATCGCTCTACTACTTTTTGAGTTATAGTAAAAATGTAAAATAACACACTTAAAAATGGCGGCCATTTTGAAAAATGACATTAGACATTGGGCCATGCTTTAAGTATTCACATACCAAATATGAACAAAATCGCTCCACTACTTTTTGATTTACAGTAAAAAATGTTAAATGCGCACGTAAAAATGGCGGCCATTTTTCAAAATGACCGCCTACTACCAAAAATGTCCTATCACCAAATATGAACAAAATCGATCCACTACTTTTCAAGTTACAGCAAAAATCATAAAATGACGTGCAAAGGCAGCCATTTTTCAAGATGGCTGCCATTTATTTCTTCTGTATTTACATTTCTAGCTTAATCAATGTCCTACATAACTCTTTTTATATTTAAAACATATTGCTATTACAGTTTTATATGCAGTACCTAAATTACTGTAAAATCGGCACTAAAATGGCCGCCATTTTTAAATGAGCGGCCATTTTGAAAATCGGTTTTCGAGCAGAACTTCTACCCCCATTGGGTATATGTGTACAAAATATGAAAAAATCGGGCCAACGGTATTTGAGTTATTGCCCGGACGGACGGACGGACATATGTACGTACGTATGGACAGACGGACAGAGGCGTTCCCTATATCCCTCCAAACTTCGTTCGATGGGATAATAATAGATCAAATAGCATCAACTTTACGTGGAGGAAGATACTTGTTCGTAGCAATAAAAAGGTTGCAAATTAAAACAAGTAAATTATTCATGTATACAGTAGGTGGAGGTTAAAGGAACAGCATAATGGCATCATGTAATTATTTATACAATTCTAATGGTAAAGAAAACATTTAGGTTAGGTTGATAATGATGCTTATTCCATGATGGAGAAATTCCCTGCAACCTGATTGGTCCATGTGACTTAAATATGCATTGTATTTACACGCACTTTCCACTTATCGTGGGATACAGAGTGAAAATGACGTCACCGTTGGGATACGGTTCAGTATCCCAACGCCCCAGATTTCCATCCAGGATATGACTGTTACTGAAAAAAATCAATGGCGATTACTTAACACCAACGTATGCTTATCTATTGAATTTTGCTATAAATATCTGATTCAAATATCAGAAACGTATACTGTGATCACCACAATCAATAATTTTAGGATAAAAACGCAATTTTGTAAATATAAGAAATCAATTTAAAACATACACATTGTTTTCATGAACTAATTAAAATCCAATATGGCAGACGAAAGTCGAAAAAAACGTTTCGCTTCACTGCACTTCCAGCTGATGAAATTGAAGAAGAAAGAAAGAAAATCAAACGTCTCGTATAATACAATAAAAAGCAAAAAAGCCATAAAGATTTTGAAGGAATATTGATGTAAAATATCTCTGAGGTGAGAAGGTTGATCTGTTTCTCCGGCCCCAAGCCAGGGGACTTGATTTAGGCGAGTTTTATATGGGTAATCATGGAATAAAAACGTCATTCAATGATTTCTCGTGAAATACAGAAAATATTCTTCCCTTGAACGTCTGTATTTCACTCTGCTAGCGCATCGTGAAATACAATGTACAACCTTCTCGGGAAGAATATTTTCTGTATTTCACTTGAATCATTGAATAACTTATAATATTCCTGTGGAAGGTTTAATACTAAATCATATTTGATGAGATAATGACCTCACACCTATATTCAAGCATCCCCTAGTCCGATAAAAGTCATGAAGGGAAGCATTAGGATGTTTAAACAAATGAATGTATGAAGAAGGGGTTCAAAGAAGAGCCATAATGACTCATACACTTACCAGGCACACCCCCTCTGGTGTCATTAAGGCCAAATATAGATCTATCTGCATCTGTCTGTGAGAAGTCTGTATCCTGACCATCCCCTCTTAAACCTAAAAACATGGAAATCAGTTACTTACTCTACAGTTCTCATCTAAAGATGAATCGGAACAACTTGAACTTCACCAAAGTAATATCACTCTTCACTCCTCAGAGGTTATACTTTTAAGCAAGACTTAGTAATGCTTGCAATAATTTCATTGTGTTTGATGAAATCTAACTAAGTCAGACTTGAAAGCGTGTCAGTCTTTCTATAGGCTAGTCACTCCAAAGAATGCATTATTTTAAGAACTATATACACATACTATATTGATATATTCCCAACTAACTGATCATAATACAGCTTTAAGGTACCTGTTTGAGATGCCAATGCAGGGGAATCATCCAATAACAAATTAAGTAAACGTTGTGTGTGAGACCTCTGCCTGTTCATAGATGTCACCCTAAGCTCTATCGCAACAGTCTTCAGCAGCCATGATTGCTGGTTGATGGAACTTGTCTTTTCTAGAAAAAGCAGAGAATAATTTAGAACTTTGAAACATAAGCTGTGTTAAATTTTACATGCACCAAAATGCGAATTCAGCATTATAATGTAGTTTTATATAGATTTGATATGCAGCTAATTAATCCATACAATAAAGGGCATATACAGCAGATTATAGCTGTATAAATGAGTTATTGATTTCAAACAGCAAAAGGAGAGGAACATTGTATGCATTTTAAAGGGAGTATAGGCTACATAATACAATAGAATATACATGTACATGTATGTGCTATAAAGTGCATATATTATAATATAATTTCTATATTGGATGCTTATTAAAGGGCATGTGTAATATAACATACCTGCATGTTTATTAAAGGGCATGTGTAATATGTATTAAAGGGCATACGTAACAGTACATATCATACCTGTATGTGTACTAAAGGGCATATGCAGCAGCTGCTTGTATAGAAAATCATGTGTGGTTCGAAGATACCTCAGGGTGGCACTAGAGACATCCCTGTTGGCACAGAGCTCATAAACGGTATGGTAGGCCAGCTCTGCCAGCTTGGGGGTATCTATCAGACATGTAGGACCAGTCTTATTGTCTAGGCCCTGTCCGAGAAGATCCAAGATTGCGTGTAGGCAGGTCTTGGGTGTTCCACTTATTCCTGAAAATATATAATAATGTTTTTAATAATATGTTGTGCAATTACTGAGTCTGATTCATACTTACCAGGTAGTATTTATAGAAGTGTGCTGGTCATAATTTTAGTGGTTCATAGGTTGTTCTTGGAGCTAAAAAATGGTAGCAACTGCCCCAGTTGAAAAGCCCAGTAAGGGCCTTGCCTTCTGTAATCTTATATCACCCTATTTGTTCCACTGAACTTAGATTTGATTTTGTGAATTACATTAATGTTCTGAGTTCACTGATACTATGAATGGTCTTGTAAAACATCGAATTTACCTTATTTGTGTTCATTGGAACAATATACCACTTTCCAAAGCAGATTATTTATTTCATGACACATGAGTTTCTCCTTTTATTTACTAAAACAAATTGCTTTCATTTGTCATATTTATTTAATCAAACAATACACTAATCAGTAACAGCACTCACAATATTACAGATGTTTGAATGAAAACTAAGACACTTAATACCTCCAGCCACACTTCCGTTTATATTCATGACCTAACAATGTCTCAACTCAGAGGAGGAGATTTCCCAAAGTTCAAATCAGTCATATATTAAAAAAAAAATGTTCTTTACTTTTGCAAAGAATAGCTTCAGTCCTTATCATAATGTACTTGCAATCATCTTTGATTAAATAACACTTTAAGTTTAGGAGATACGTGTTACAGGAGTACCACTGCCTCTCCAGGAATTGGTCCATTTACGATATATCACTTGGTATAAGTTTGTCGAATGCTATGAAGATGGATATACATCGAGGGTCTTAGCTTTTATCAGACTTATAATCATCTCTGTTCAGGTCATAATCGTCTCAACAGTACCATGATCACTCCAGCAACTGGTCCATTTCCGTTATATAACTTGGTATACATTTGTATATAGCTATAAAGACGAATACAGTCTCACTGAGGGCCTCCGATTTTACCAAACTTATAATAATCTTTGTTTAGGTCAATCTTCATACAACCCTGTCATTATTGTCACTCACGGCATTGGTCCATTTACCATATATCGCTGGGGATAAATTTGTCTTGTGCTATAAGGCTTTTATCACATTTACACAATCATCTTTGTTCAAGTCAATGTTGACACTACAGTGTCATTGTCTCTCACAGCAGTGGTCCATTTACCACATACCACTTGGTATAATCTTGTCTTTTTCATTGCCAGTTTGTACTGTTTGTTTGTCAGAGCATACACATAAGGGTTTATGGCAGAGTTAGCTAGAGCTATAAGGATGAATACAGTTTCATTGAGAGCTTCAGTGTTAGGTGGAGTTGGATAGAAATCCACAGTGAAACCTTTGAAATGAACCACAACTGCAACAGACAGTGGTAGCCAGGTGATGAAAAATAACCCAACTACAATAATGAGTGTTTTTACAGCTTTTGCTTCCGCTAGTTGTTTAGGTGACAACTCAATAGTTTTTCCTCTTGGAGTTCCTGAATTTCCTTCTTGGGGGTTCATGATTTGCTGCGGGACTACTGTATTGTTGGTGTATATTGAGGCAATCTGACTTTTCACAATCTTCCATATTTTCGCATACACAACAGCCAAAATAATCATCCCTGGCCAAATGTGACCAATCAATATGAATCCAAAGTAACTTCCGCGTAAATCACGAAACATGTTACAATCAGTTACATTCTGATATGCATCGATGTGCTTCACATTCCACGCAAACCTTGGCACCATACCAATAGTATAGGCATAAAAATTAGCAATAAACAAACATATATTAAGTTTCTTTAAAGTGATGAGTTCTCCATAACGAAGTGGACGAGTTATGGCAATAAAGCGCTCAATCGTCACTATGACTAAGATGAATACAGATGCAAGCACTTGATGTATGGTGAACGCATAGACAATGCCATCACAGAAATAAGGACTCCAAGATCCAAAATTTAATACACTTAAAGGAAAGCACACTGGAAATGATGCAACTATGTCTACAAATGCCAATGCTATGATTCCACGGTTTGATATTGTCTTTAAGTTTTTGTCCTTTAGTCCTAAGATTATTACACACAGATTTCCAATAAAGCCTACAATTCCTATGATAAAGGCTGCAATGACTAAAGGTAAACCCTTAAAATGTATCATCTTGAACAGACTGTGTGCCTTAACTAATTATTTAAGATTTAAAAGAAGAACAATTATTTTTGTTACTATATCCTGTTGGTTATGACGCATTATCCATATAATTTGAATCAACCATAGTGTTGCAGCAACCTACTGTATTTTTCAATTTCCTGATTGCTTTGTACAGCCTCCTTAAAATTCATGTATGTTATTAGTAACTTGTTCCTCATTAGTAACTTTATGAACACTCTATTATTTAATTATCTTTGATTTTACTTTTTCAGCTATGATACACCAACATTTCCAGGTCCTGTGAAAATAAATACACTCCCAAGTTCTAATTAGCAACACTGAAACATGAAAGTAAAAAGCTCCTTTCATTCTGAAGAACATTAATGCAAACTTGAAATCAGATCTTGGATTATAAATAATAAATGTGGCATAATGCAAAGGCATAATGCCATAATATTAATTGCCGCACTAATGGTGCTTTCTGTAAAGACTTTGAATTGTACTTGCAAAAGCTGCATACAGTGAATATGTTTAACATTACTTAACAATCAATGTTTTTTGAACACTTCCGTTCTTATTATGCATAAGTGACAGTAAAACCATCAACCAAACACACATCATTATTAGAAGTTGACAGTTTCCTGAGATGATTTCTCTTTATTCTGTTTCCAAAATGATCTGACAGTTCATATACAACTTTTTCGTGATTTTGTTTGAATGATTGGCAAGTTTTTGAAATATTGCATAAAAATGATTGTAGGTTTATATAGCTATTAGTAATGATTATACTGTAATGATGATAAACATACACTACAGGGGGGAATATGAGAAACATAAATTACTTGATGACTTCTAAAGGAGCAATGTGTACTGCAGATAATGATGATGAAAAGCATTCATCTTATTATTGTTACATCATAATAAATCAATGTGTTTTTCATTTATTAAAGTTTTTTCTTTTATCCTAATTCATTCTAATTATCTTAATGAAGACTGATTTCAGAATACAATTACATGTATCATATCTGTATTATATGGCTCAACATTTTTCGTATCAATCTGTATTATATGGCTCAACAGTTTTTCATTTTTCTAAGACCCGATGCAATTAAGCGCTGACATGTCATTAAGCAATGTTTTAGAATGACTAAGTGCAATCCATTAAGAGCAATTGTATCATACAGTATTAAAACATGAACCATTAGATGAAGACCAACAAGTTGAACAAAGATATGTACACACGTACATTAAGATTGTTTTGGGAGAAAAAGTAGATATCAAAAGCTGGACGCAGCAAAGCTTCACAAACACTGTACTTCATAGTAACTTATGGGACATCACCATAACAACATCGTCAAGTTAATTTATTTGTGAAAAATCAGGAATCGGAACATCGAAGAGTATAATTTAGAAGGCTTGTTGGTAAATAAGAACTTGAAGAACAAAGACCAATTTGAGGAAATAATAAATGAACAAACCTCAGAAAAAGAAACAATAGGTAAAACTTATTTTGACTGAGGTATGAAAATAATATGTCAATCGCGACCCTGATCTGGGGGGTATTAATGGGTCTAGGAGGAGTGTCTTCCCTGTTTGGATTTCTAGGAAATGTAACAGTCATCTACCTCATCAAGAAGAAAAAGAACCTACAGACATTAACCAATCAGGGTATCTTTATGTTGGCAATGACAGATATTACTGCATCTGTGCCAATATTTGTGCCATTTATGGTGGTCGATGTGGCAAAATACTCTGGGTACAACATACTGGTCTGTAATGTGATATATTGTTTTATGATAAATCAAGCGTTGGCATCAAATTTGTTACTGATGTTAGTAACAATCGAACGGTACATTGCTATTTCAAAACCATTGACATACCCAACATTGGTGACCAAGAAACGAATTGTAATAGCTACATATGCGGTTTTATGTTACAGTGCCATTATCGCATTCTCTCCCTTTATGGGTTGGAATCATTATTCCCATAATAAGCTATTCTTAAACTTAACCAGTGAGCGATGTAATGTTTTCAGAGATATGCGTGGCAGCCTAGCAGCTTCTTTCGTCATCGGCCATATTTGGCCAGGAATGATTCTTATGGGAATCTTATACACCAAAATTTGGATAATTGTGAGGCGTCAAATCATGGCTATTCACAATAACATCATCATATCAGACAACCAATTAGAAATGAGAAACAACCAGCATATTTCAGGAACATCGAATGCAAAACGAAAAGCAGAACTGAAAGCAATTCGCTCGTTGATGATTGTTGTAGGTTTATTTATTATAACATGGTTTCCAATGACGATTCTTTTAACCGTTCATTTTAAAGGATTCACGATAGATATGTTTGAGACACCAACAAATGTTGAAGGGATCCAATACTTCATTGTGTTGATTATAGCTCTGTCGAATTCTACAATGAATCCCTATGTGTATGCACTAACAAACAAGGCTTTTAAAGATGCTTTGAAAGAGATGAGGATTGTACAATTTATTACTGGAACTTGTCAATGTAGAAAGACACATGTAACACCCATTGATAATGAACAAACAACCTGAAATGTTAAAAATACGACAATTCCTGAGATTCCAATGGGCATGACCTAAAATGTTAATAAAAATATGACAATTCCTGAGATCCCAATGGACAGCAGGCCCGTAAGACACTTTTCTCCAAGGGGGGTGCGGTTTTTTGCTTAAGAGAATATAAAATTGTCATTTTTTTGCACGTAAATCAAATCGCGTAAGACAGAGGGGGGGGGGGGGGGGCAGTTACTCCCTGTATTGGTTTGGAATTAACAAATGTATGCAACTTCCAAATGTTCCAATTGTTTTGTGGGGGGTGTGAGGAGTTGTCCGCTCCCCCTAGAAAATTTTATAGTTTTGAGATGCTATTTTGGTGCTTTCTGGGCACTTTCAAAGTGTAAGTATCTAAGTAGTACGCCACCACCACGGGAATAAGAGTTGAGTGAATAAAAAAAACTGAGCATTCGGGGGGTCTGGGGGTTCTCCCCCTGGAAAATTTTGAAATTTGGTTGTATTTGGAGCGAATTTGCAACCATCTGGTACGCCTGTGCGTTATGAGTCAATAAGAAAAATGTGATTTTTTTCAAATTATTTTGGGGGTGTCAAAGAGGATGAGAGGGTGAAGTAGGGTGGGATGCCAGTAGGGCATGTAGGGGAGCAAGGGGTTGTCCCCCAGAAACAAATTTTGGGGTTGTCAAAGGGGGGGGGGGGAGGGGTGCCAGAGGGGGAGGGGTGCCAGAGGGGGAGGGGTGCCAGAGGGGGAGGTGGGGCTGGGGTGCCAGAGGGGGAGCAATGTTTGTCCCCCATATCAAAATTTACAATATCAAGGTGCTATTCGATGAAGTTTGGGCACTTAAAAAGTGTCTGTGCCTAAAAGTGCCTATTTCCCAAGAAAATTTTACAATTTTAAGATGCTATTTGGTGCTTTCTGGGCACTTTCAAAGGGTATGAGTCAATAAAAAAATTTGAAAAATCTCAATTTTTTTGGGGGGAGGGGGGGGGGGTTTTAAGGGAGGGGGGCTGCCAGAGGGGGAGGTGGAGTGGGGATGCCAGAGGGCGAGTAAGTGTTAGTCTTCCAGAATCATTAACTTTATCAAGGAGCTATTTGAAGATGTCTGGGCAATTTAAAAGTGTCTGAGACAATACATAAAAGAAATTCAGAACTTTTCCATTGTTTAGTTTGGGGTGTGAGAGGTGAACCACTCCCCCTAGAAAATTTTACAATTTTACGACGCTATTTGGTGCTTTCTGGGCACTTTCAAAGTGTATGTGTCAATTAAAGAATTTGAGAAAATCACAATTTTTTTTTGGGGTGGGGATCAAGGGGGGGGGGGGGCGCAAGAGGGGGGGGGGGTTATGCAACAGCAAGATGCAAGAGGGGGAGTAAGTCTCCCAGAAACACTAACTATATCAAGGAGCTATTTGATGATATCTGGGCACTTTAAAAGTGTCTGAGACAAAACTCTAAAATAAATTTAGAACTTTTCCATTGTTTTATGGGGGGTGTGAGGGGTGGCCAATACCCCTAGAAAATTTTACAATTTTAAGATGCTATTTGGTGCTTTCTGGGTACTTTCAAAGTGTATGAGTCAATTTATTTTGGGGGGTGACAAAGGGGGGTGCGGTCGCACCCATCGCACCCCCCCATCTGACGGCCCTGGGACATGACCTAAAATGTTAAAAATATGACAATTCCTGAGATCCCAATGGACATAGATATACAACATTTACGAGATATTCTAAGAAAAAAGTGAAACTGCCATGTGGAACATATCTGTAAGTGGACCACCTCAGCCTTGAAAGTAGAACAGTTTTTAAGACAAATGGACTTCATGTTAATTGGTTCAATACGTGGTATGTCTACACTGGAACACGACTTAACCTGTGAAGGTGCAACGGTCAATTCTAAAATCATAATAATGAAACTTGCAGTGAATCTAAATTGTCAGTAGTAATCAACAGGAAAGTAACAATTAGAGTAAAAATAAGGATTTAAAATGAATGAATCAAATTGGAACAACCACAGTGATCTCCTAATGTATGTCCATGTTCAAATTAGGAGATTTCCACATTTCAAGTTTATATTAATATGTGAGTAAATGAGAGATTACAAATCTGGGACAAAGAAAAAGTATTCACATTGAGAAGTGTCTACAATCCTACCTTTGTAGCATGCATAGAAGCGAATATATCATCATTGTTACCTACTATTATGAAAATTCAGTGAAGTATTAATGGAACACAATATACTGCAGTAGTTTTCTTTACATTATGTTATAGGTATAGAATTTCTTTACAAAATAGGCAGAGAGGAAACTTACAACTTGAAAGTTGTAATATTACATTGGACATTTCCTAAATCACCTAGGTAACAAGGGAGAAAGAACACATAGTAGTACAAAACACATTCAGAACAGAGACATCTGAGAGCACAGTCAGTCAAAACAAGTAACCTTGAGGGAAATGGCTCAACAAACACAGGTAGGCAATTATATGTAGGGTCAAGATTGCAGTAAAAAATCCCATTGACGACCATTATAACGTTTCATTTCATAATATATTCATGGGCACAGATCTAGCTCAGCGAAACAGTGCCCAGTGTTCATTGGAGTCTTGTCTAGCTTGCCGTTACAAAATAAGCATACGGTGACCACACCGTTTTTGAGATAACTGAATCTGGAGAGAGCTACCACCGTAAAGCTACCTGTTTCAGAAAATTATTCTGCTCTACATAGTCTCAAAAATCACTCCGCCATCTATAAAAATTCTGTTTCTAACCAAACTTGTCAATGTTTCCTGATAGATTAGAACTTACCCTATCGAGAATAAACCTTGATTCATTTATCAAACACTAGATGGCGCTGCGACGGGACAGAAAAGGAGAAAAAGCTTTTTTTATAAAGAAAACCAAATAACCAACGGTAACCGCTAGTATCCCTACTCCAGACTATATTCGTAAAACAAGCTATATGAAAATTAAGAGACATACAGTAAAACCTGTATTAGTGAACACCTCTCCTAGTGAACACATGTCTCTGATGGATATCCTTCATCCGCACATACTACTCTACTGACTTCTGTATAAATAACCTTCTCTGAGTGAACATCTACCAATACTGAATGTTTTTTCTCGGCAATGAAATGTTCAATAATCAATATGCATAGGTTTAGCTGTAATTTGTGAAAACTGATTATTACTCTGAAATATTGTGAGAGTAGATACAACAGACAGAAATTGCTGAAAACTAATAATATAAAACTAATTAGAATTTCCTACAATGGTTCAGCATTATAAAAGAAAAGGATTCAATCAAAATGAGAAAACTTCTAAGTAGTAAAGAAACATTGCTAGAAAGAGATACTAACGCATCTGGTCATAAGATAGCAACCACCATCATTCCAGTAAATGTGAAGAAATATGTTTCTAAAATTTTGAATTCTTATTTCAAATAGTCATTTCTACATTTTTTGAAATGCATTCTACTTACTATCTATGTTTAGCTTCACATTATTATGTTCCTAGATAAGAGAGTTGCCCTTGATCTGGATGAGGAAGTTCCTTACACCCTTAGTACTCTTAGATATTGATAAAGATGGAGTTATGGGATATGAGGATCATATGCAAATGGCAGAATCCATAATAAAAGCAGGTACATCCACTTTGATATAGCATTAACTTAGGAACATCCACTATGATATAGCATTAACTTAGGTACATCCACTTTGATATAGCATTAACATTAGTAGGTAAGTAAAGAGTGCCAAAGGGAAAAGACCACTTAATACTGTAAAACACAGCCAGAAAAGATCTTAAAAGTATCCTCTATCATGTGTGTGAATTAGGAAAAAATCCAATGAGATGTTTTGCTGAAATGGCGATGATAAGATTTTCCGAAAAACCTTCAAAATGGCTGCCAGAAAACAAGATGTCCGCCCAAAAGTTAATCAGCCTTAGAAGTTGATATCCTCTATCATGTGTGTGAATATGAAAAAATTCCGATGAGCAGTTTTCCTGAAATGGCGATGACAAGATTTTCCGAAAAAACCTTCAAAATGGCCACCAAAAACAAGATGGCCACCCAAAAGTTGATCAGCTCTAGAACTAGATATCCTTTATCATGTGTGCAATTTGGAGAAAATCTGATGAGTGCTTTTCCTAAAACGGCGATGACAAGATTTTCCGAAAAACCTTCAAAATAGGTGCCAGAAAACAAAATGGCCATCCAAAAGTTGATCAGCTCTAGAACTTGATATCCTCTGTCATGTGTGTGAATTTGGAGGAAATCAGAAGAACGGTTTTCCTGAAATGGTGATGACGAGATTTTCCAAAAAACCTTCAAAATGGGTGCAAGAAAACAAGATGGCTGCCGGCCCAAAAGTTTAACAGAACAACGGCAACGCCAAAGCGTAGCGAATCCCATAGAACAGCCATGGATGGCATTTTTACAAACAAAGCATATAGCAAAAATGGTAGGCATTTTTCAAAATGGCCGCCTTCTACCAAAAGTGTCATTAGACCATTTGCCATACTTATAGTATTCACATACCAAATATGAACAAAATCGCTCCACTACTTTTCGAGTTATAGTAAAATACATTAAAATGGCAGCCATTTTGAAAAATGGCCGCCTTCTACCAAAAGTGTCATTAGACAGTGTGCCATGCTTACAGTATTCACATACCAAATATGAACAAAATCGCTTCACTACTTTTCGAATTATTATAAAATACATTAAAATGGCATCCATTTTTCAAAATTTTTTTCAAAATGGCCACCTTCTACTAAAAGTGTCATAGGATAGTGTGTCATGCTTTTAGTATTCACATACCAAATATGAACAAAATCGCTCCACTACTTTTTGAGTTAGTAAAATACGTTAAAATGGTGGCCATCTTGAAAAATGGCCGCCTTCTACCAAAAGTGTCATTAGACAGTGTGCCATCCTTATAGTATTCACATACCAAATATGAACAAAATAGCTTCACTTCTTTTCGAGTTATAGTAAAGTAGGTTAAAATGGTAGCCATTTTTTAAAATGGCCACCTTCTACCAAAAGTGTCTTTAGACAGTGTGCAATGTTTATAGTATTCACATACCAAATATGAACAAAATCGCTCCACTACTTTTCGAGTTACAGCAAAAATCGTAACACAACGAGTAAAGGCCGCCATTTTTCAAGATGGCTGCCATGTGCTTCTTTAATATCTACATTTCTAGCTTTATTAATGTCCTATATAATTTTTTTACATCTAAAACATATTGCTATTACAGTTTTACATATTGCACCTTAATTACTGTAAATTCGGCACTAAAATGGCCGCCATTTTGAAATGAGCGGCCATTTTAAAAATCAGCTTTCGAGCAGAACTTCTGCGCCTATAGGGTATATGTGTGCAAAATATGAACAAAATCGGGCCAACGGTATTTGAGTTATTGCCCTGACGGACGGACAGACGGACGGAGGTGTTCCCTATATCCCTCCGAACTTCGTTCGATGGGATAATCAGCTTTACAACTTGATATCTTCTATCATGTGTGTGAATTTGGAGAAAATCCGAAGAATGGTTTTCCTGAAATGGCGATGACAATATTTTCCAAAAACCTTCAAAATGGCAGCCAGAAAACAAGATGGCCACCCAAAAGTTAATCAGCTCTAGAACTTGATATCCTCTACAATATGTGCAAATTTGGAGAAAATCTGATGAGAGATTCTCCTGAAATGGTGATGACAAAAAAGTGGGACGATCACAATAACAATCATGACGACTATATCCCCACCAATGGTGTGATAAAAACAACCCGATCACCAAATGCCGTAACAAAAAAAGGAGACCAAAACAGTACGTCACCACATTTTGGTGGTGACATAACAAACGATAAATATTCTTAAACTATGATATAATGTACAAAGAAACAATGTCTACTATTATTGCAGTTATATTCCTCAGGGTTTAATTGGTTAGACATGCATCACATGACATAAAAAATCCTGTGATATTTCCCCATGATGCATTTCTTTGGAAATAATAATATTCCCTTTCCTTGTTATAGAATAAGAGACATAAAAGTAGATAAAAAAAAGATGCAAAACTGCCATCAACAATGTAATCGAGAACTTTGATTGTTAGGTAACCTGACAGGGGAGGCAAGAGATGGCATATACAAAATCTATAAGCATTATTGTGAATCAGGAACTTCACAAGATATTGCCAATTCTTCTTCATTGGCAAATCAACTTTTAACAATTTGGAAGGAGAGAGATAATCCCGAAACAGTAGGAAAGCTGTTTGAAATGTTCTCAAGAAGTTGTGAGGTATAGTACTTTAATATTGTGTTGTCTTAAGTGCTGATTAAAGAATTTCGAAATTTGATATCATATCTTATAAGATCCCGCATTCAGTATAACATCCCCTATACAACATTTTAAATGTTCACCCAATGTTTTGTCATGTTTCTGTAATACATTACTTTTATACATACAATCATTAGAGAGATTTCGCACATACGTAAAATACAACTTATAACGTATACTTATACTTATAAGAAAACGTACAAGGTGTTTCATAATGTGGGCTTTTCATCAGGAAAGATCTTCTCGGACTGTTATAAATAAAGGTCAAAGGGATGCCATTTGTACTTTCTTGAATTGTAGAATGTTTAGTTGATCCAAATGTGTTTGTCTAGAATAAAATAGGCTCATATATAGTACATACATATAGACCCATCTCTTCTCAAATTGACTTTTTGGAGATGCTCGCTATGTCATTTGTTGAGCTACTGAATGGGTCGTTTCCAGGAATTGCTAGAATCTACTGGTTTGATTGGTGTTTCAAATTGATGGTTTAAGTATTTGATTGGATACTGTTCCTACTCAGCCAATTAATTTAAAAAAATGCTTGCGGTCAATTGTTCCACACACATGTAGGTAAAGCTTTATATGGAGATCCAACTGTATACGTTTATCATCTACGTGTATATACAATTTTGTAAGTTTATTGAACTTATACTGATCATGAAAACTTTGGAATAATCAACTTGTTTATGTAATGACTCACTTTAAAGGATCATGACTCACTTTAAAGGATCGTGTTTATAATACACTACAACTACTAAGACACGGAAGCAAGTATTTAATTATAATGTGCATAATCTACATGTGCAGGTGACAGTGCATTCACAGTCTCTGGTTGATGGAGCTTTTCTATATCGGGAATAGTTATGTTTCATTAAGTACAATTTAAAATTGATTTTAGTAAATATAATAGTTTGACATGACCCTTTAAACTATACGTATACGTATAAGTTGTACTTTCACTTATGTGCGAAATCTCTCTATTGTTTAAGATATCATACTTAAGTTTGAATTATAAAACGTAGTCATCCTTTGGTATAATATGATATCCTATAATGATACTTAAGGCTATATTCGTGAATGCAACTATCGCCTACCATCTTGATTGCGATTTGATGGTAAACTCGTTTTAATATGAATAGTACCTGCCATGCATCCCGGTAGCTGCAAGGTATTGCATCAAACCCAAACACTGACCTAAATAATGGGTTAATCTGCCAATTTAGCAGCAAGTAACTATGACCTATGATCTGTTCACTAATTCAACAGACAGCTTTATCACGCCCGGTGATTGTACAAAATGGATGGAGGGGGGGGGATTAGGCGATTTCTGAAAGAAAACTCAAACAACTCTTGCAGAAATCGGCTTATCCCCCCTCCATCCATTTTGTACGATCACCAGGCGTGTTTATTATCTTTGCAAAATCATGCAATCACTGTTCGTTGACTAACAGGTTGGTTGTTAAATCAACTTTGAAATGATGAATTAATCTATGTAAATTAATTGGTTAATCTGGTATCCAGCAGCTGGTAGTTGCATTAGCGAATACAAGCTAAGATACAATGCAGATTCCCAGTAAAGTACAGGGTGGTCAAAAAATGGCAATCCTAATTTTTCCTCATATCCTTGTCATTTTTAGAAATTTTGCCTTGATATTTGGCACACATGTATTTCATTTCATACTAGACTATGTTATTTCATGATAATGTGGTCATTGAAGTGGTCCCAAAGCCATTATTGTGCATCATTGGGTGTATGGGGTATGGTTCTGTCTCGTTGGAACCACTGTTGCTGCCCATCAACCCCCTTGGGTTCACCTAAAGTCGCCAAGAACTCCATGGGAATCACAAAATAGAGTTTGATGTTGACAGTTATTGCATATCCGTTGGTATCATCAAAGGTAAAGGACTCTATCTTCCGAGAACACACTAAACTGTGCATCTGTCTGTGTGGAGGTCTGTAAGTTTGAAATTGAGTTCATTTGAATAACATACCTGCTCAAACAGCCCGAAAGTAGCCATCTGGGGCATGTTGCTTAAAATGCAGTAATATTGTGACTATCAGTCCGATGGTCATAAAATATGGTAGGTTGGTAGGAAATTGAATGATGTGCAAATGTGTGAAATATCAGGGAGTTATTCCTTAGAATGACAAAGATATTAGGAAAAACTAGGGTTGCCATTTTTTTGACCACCCTGTATATGGGTGAATAGACAAAATAGAATTGTTGAAGTCTGATGTATGTTTTGAAGTTAGTGTCAGTCATAGATTTAAACATTTATGTATGAAACTTAGCAGTCCAGTATGTTTCTATGGTGTTCCTACAATCAACTTGATTCCTTCACTGCAACAAACACCTTCTTTTAAATGTTATGTTATAAATTGTAGGTATTATGTCTGGACTCTTCAGGTTTCATGACATTTGACAACTACATGATATTTTGGAATGCATTGGGCATTGATAAAAGATTTGCGAGAATGCAGTTTGACTACATTGATACAAATGGCGATGGATTGATAAGCCGAGAGGAGTTTGCAAAGGCATTTATAGATTATATGTTGAACATAGATGAAAACACTTCCAACCGCTTCTTTGGACCACTCATCAACTATTAATACTTAGACTGCACTCAATTCTGTCAATTTCCCTGAATTTTAAATGAGAATGGATAGCACACTTGAGGTATAAATGCCAGCACCAGTCCTGTTACTTTTGGAACACCCTGTATGTATGAAAGTAAAAGTGACAAAATGACACAATATACAAATGAATATGAATCTAACAGTAGGAATATTTTGTTTATAGTTTTTATATAGTGTAATTTTCCTGACCTGAGTGTACAGTGCATTTCCTATGAAGATTTCTTTGTCTTTGGAATGTCTCAAGGACATATCAAACTTTCTTAATTTGGTTCTATTTGGTCTAACAGTTCTACTACAAACACTATGTACAAAAATAGATTTGAATTCATACTGTCTGACCTACTTTCTTGAAACCTCGACATATTTCTTAAGTGCATTTTGAATGGTTTTTGTATATGGCATCTTGGTTGTTTGATCACTTTCTCAATTTTCAAATTCTAGGTGGGTTTAAAGCTATGTAAATGATACTGTCAGTTTTGAGGTTAATATTCAAATGCTGAATAAATACAGTAAAATGAAACCTATATAATATGACATCTTATGGAATTCTTTATTTAGGGTTAATTTTTAGTTACATTCTCATGGGTGTATTAAAACAGCTTTCAAAATATTTAACATAAAAAGTTCATAAAATTGCAAATAAATATATCTTTGTTGCCCTCTAGCATAGACTATTGTAGGTGAAAATATGGTTGGATAAATGAGCTCATTTCTTAACCTATTGCAAGAATTTTTTCAGTAAATTCACAACCCCGGTTCACAACACAAGAATATACATGTACATGAATTTTTGTCAACATGATAAAAAGAATGCAATGCAATGACCTCTTCAACTGTGATTTTCTATTTCAAAGAGAGGAAAGAAATTTATATGACACTCAATGAATTGAATGTTTTGATGCATAAAAGTAAACTCAGCCACCGCTTCAATTAATTACATTATAAAGAGCTGAGAAATAACCATGGCTGATAGTGCTGAAATCCCTTCCGATGTACAGGTAAGAACTTCATATTAAAATCATTTTACCATATTATGACATCTATTGTTCAAGTTTTAGACTAAAATGATATTTTGATGCCTCCAGATAGCAACCTAACTTATAAATGATGCATTGTATATGATATGTATTGTATTGTTTTTTCATGCTCATTTTAAAATATAGTAAGTATATAGTTATAAAAATTTTCCTTTGAAATTATCAAAATGTTTTCCACTTTAGATCAGACAGCTGCCCCTGACTTGGATAAGAAAGTTTCTAACAGTTAATGCACACTTTGATAAAGATAAAGATGGCGTTATTGGATGTGAAGATAATATGCACCAAGCAGATAACATTGTGAGCAGGTATACTCAATTTATCTCAATGGTTGTCATGATTTATTGGTCTTTTATATATTGTTCTTTGCCTCAAAATAATCAAAAATCTTAAAACTGCAAAAGAAAGAAAACAAACATTTATAATATATGCCCAAAACCTAATCAGATCTTAGAACTAATCTGAATGGTGAATGGTTTTTGTGTTATCTTGATGACAAGACTTCCTGTGCCAATCAAGATGAAGACAATATAGCACTTTTCAGGTGCAATAAAATGATTTGATGATAATCACTACATTTTAATACTTTCTCAATGCACTAATAGATGTAAATGCACTATTTTTTCTTAGTGATTGATACAACATGTATTAGGTGCGGTCTTCTGTATGCAAGTAGCCAATACTATAGTTCTTGTATAAAACATGAAATCAGTGCTCTCCTCAGGATTTTTTCTCAAGTGGGTGCAAACTTCCTGATTTCATAATTAAGACCAAATCTGATCAAAACATGCCTATGATTTTTCTCATTTTCAATTGGGTGCAAATAAGATTCTCAGGTGGGTTAAGCCTATTTGTAAAATCTCAAGTGGGTGCACTGCGCCCACTTGCTTTAATGTTTGGGAGATCACTTCGGAAACATCAGCCCTTTAAATGTAGAATACCAGAAGTAAGATATCTGTCAGAACAAGTTTAAGGCATTGATTGTTATGCGTGGACTATTCTGGTTTCATGACTTTTGACAACTACATGATACTTTGGAACGGATGGAGCCTTGATAAAAGATTTGCGAGAATGCAGTTTGACTTCACGGATGCAAATGGTGATGGACTGATAACCCAGGGCGAATTTGTAAATGCATATGTGGACTATATTTGCAATCCAGATGAAAATACTCTGAACCGCTTTTATGGACCCCTCATAAACTACTAACATGTCTTGTTCTCCAAGTCTCTCATATCCTGAACTTTATATTGGAAATCAAAAACAAAAATAATTTATCACAAGTAAGATAAGACTAGGGCGATGATTATCAACATGTCCAAGTTAAACTCTTGACTACCTTCTCGTCACCTCAGAAATACCCTTGAAACCCAGAGTGATGAGAAAATCTGTCACAAATTGTTCACTAAAATTGCTCTTATTTGAACAAGTTTCATCCATTTTCCCCAAAAATTGTTTTAAAACATGCCGAAATGATCTCTGCCATTTAATTTTACGAAGTTGAGCATCTAAAGTTGTATAGGTATATACTGTACATGTAGTAAAATGTCAAAAGGTGGCAAAAAATGAAAAATTCTCTGGTTTCAGCTGATTTTAGAGCCTGGGATTCAAGAGGTTAAATAACATTATAACCTTACACATAACATAATGAAATAAGACAGGCAAGTGACAGGCAGAATCACAGACAGTCAAATTCAAGAACTGTGTACAGTATATATTATTCTAGGGTACATACCTGGATCCTGCAACACAGTGTTTACAAGGGGCCTTCTCAGCTCATAGCCCATCAGGAAGTGGGCAAGAGTTGGGGCTGGTTGATCAATCGTATAGAGGATCAGACGCATGATATTCTGCCTGGTTGCATTACGTATCTGCCCCAGGGACAGCTCTGAATCTGTAAAAAAAATATGAATAAAAAAATAAAAAAGAATGTTTGATTTAAAAACAGTTAAACAAAGATTAAGCAAATCAACTTATTATCACTTGGCGCCTATATAACCTTTCTTCTTGTACTTTCTAAAGTGTCCATATATATAGAGATCTTGTCATTCGTCATTACTTAAATTATGCACTTCACATTTCCCTTGTTTTACTAAACTACTTAATTGATACAATTAAAATGTAATTTAATGTATTGCTTTACTAGACTTTGACACATAACTATCCTTGCACTCTGACATGAAAAGCCCCTACCTTCAGTGCCCTCTATAGGTGGGTCTTCAATGTCCTCAGCCTCGATGCACTCAACAAACCCATGGAGTAAGTTAGCCCCAACCTCCTGGAAATAGACAATTACATTCAGTAATACAGACTATAGCAGATATAGACTAATAGCCTAACTAATAGCCTAACCAGGTCACTTGAGAAGTCAGTCATGTTCATGCATTTAATGTCCATTAATTCTGTTATAACAAAGTTATCATTACTAGTGATCTCCCAATGTCTATTTCTCAACAGGCTACAGATTGCAGAATCCAAATTTTATTTGGTTATGGATGCCTACCTCATCAGCTGTGAAGAGGCCTACAAGTTCTGGTTGAACAAGGGAGGACTGGCAGACCCAGCATAATGCCTTCACTGCCTGCAGGGCATGCTCTGCTAAGTTGTTGTTATGCATCACATACCTGCAAAGAAATTTCACATAAGTGACCAAATTAACATTTGAATTGTGTTATTTAACAAAGCAGTCAGGAAACAAATGTCCCCCCCTGCATTTGTTACAAATGTCAAACTTTGAACACCGACCTCCGAATCCCAAACAGTCCACAAAAAAGTCGGTACTCGATAACAATATGTTACTATTTGTGGTGGTGACATATAAATCAATAAGAGGGTCCAGACAACTCAACCATTCAAGAGAATCTTTCATCTCCTTTTCCAACTCTATTATGAATCTACAAACACTTACTTTGCCACATTGACGAGGTGGTCAGCTTTTCCGCTACGGGGGTTAATCCCCAGCAATAGCTTATCCAGAGGGGATATGATTAATGAGGAGCCACTCTCTCGTAATATGTCAAAGAACTGCTCTTGCTTCTCTAGTGTAACCTCCACCAGTTTCAGACAAAGTAAAGATGTCTCCTCTAAGAAATTCTTCCCTGAAATAATGTACAGGGTGTTCATTAAGTATCTTCACAATTACAATACTTGTCTTGTCAAGTGTAAAGTGACTTCATGGGCACCCAGTATCTTATAATTAAAGTATTTTACATATATAGAATCTAATTTAATAATCAATTGGCAGTTTATGATAATGGCTATGGTGTTGTCTTCTCAAAGAAAGAAATCATCAAAGCTTGGGGTTTAAAATGTGTGGATTAAATGATATTATATGGCATTCTCATGGGCATATGACCACTTTTATAGATACAAATATTGAATTAGACATTGTGAATATAAGAGTTAAAAGATGTGTATTCCATCATTGATTCATATGTTGATTGTGGTGTCACATTGAATTTTTTGAAACCTAATTTGGTTGTAAAAATCAGAATTTTCTAAATATTGGCATACTTACCTGAAAAATCTGTGTAACTGTCTAATAACTTTGCTGCTTCATCCAAGATATATAACACCTGGAAAATATGAAGTATATCGATCAAATATATTGTTTCGATAAATCTTGACACCATTTGATATATTCGAAAAAACTATACCGATATTGGTTTTAGGTAGAAATCTGACCATGCGAAAATAAGAATAAACTTATTGCTAATTTTAAAAAAAACAACCTAGTAGGCCAAGTAGATGACACACGCACAAACAGAGAACTCCTAAAATGATCCATACTTACCATTTTTAACATACCACCATCATTCAGCATGTGTACCATTAAGCTGTAACCTGCTGGTTTACTGGCTGTTACAGTGCCTCCCCCTTGTAGTTCAACAGGCTGTTCCATGAAGTGCTCCAACATAGGCTCGTATTCGTTCAATAATTTAAAGAGGATCTTCAGGACACAACTAGCCACCTGCCACTAAAAGGAAAAGGGAAACTCATATTTTTTGGAAGTACAGTAAAGGCCTTTATCATAATCTGAACATCTCTGGTAAGTAGCTGTGATATCAATAACACAGATGCCGGTAGGTAGTTTTCACCGCCAGATGGCTCATTCGGGTCAGATAACATGGAAGTTTCATAAAAATGAAAACATGTTCAGTAAAACAAATATTATCAGTCCAGCATGAGAAAAGATATTTCACTTTTTGTGGTTTTTATAACATGGGGTCTATGGGGAATCTACCTGACCTAAAAGTCACAACAAAATGAAATTTCTCGATGTACTTTACATGTAGACTTTGAATATCACGTTTGAATATTCATTGCCCATGCTGCAATTACGTAGCCTTATTGACAAATCAACAATGCATTTACAAAGTGAAATTCAAAGGCAGCATTGAATACAAATGACATTGGGTTGAATATCACATTTGAATATTCATTGCCCATGCTGCAGTTACGTAGCCTTATTGACAAATCAACAATGCATTTACAAAGTGAAATTCAAAGGAAGCATTGAATACAAATGACATTGGGTTGAATATCACATTTGAATATTCATTGCCCATGCTGCAGTTACGTAGCCTTATTGACAAATCAACAATGCATTTACAAAATGAAATTCAAAGGAAGCAATGAATACAAATGACATTGGGTTGAATATCACATTTGAATATTCATTGCCCATGCTGCAGTTACGTAGCCTTATTGACAAATCAACAATGCATTTACAAAATGAAATTCAAAGGAAGCATTGAATACAAATGACAAACCTTTTCTCCAGGATGTTTGTAAGCTCTGGTGTTAAACTTCAGGAAAACATTATCTCTGATAAAAACCAAATATGGGTCTAGCCCAGGAGGTCGGTATCCTGCCCCTAAGCCTGCTGGGACAGGAATCTCTGTCAATGCATCAAGGAGTTCAAGAAACGCAATAGTCATTGGGAATTCCTCGTTTCTAGCTTCAACTTCATCCAGCTCCACCTAGTGGAGAAAATAATAACAAGTAATTACAAGGTATAGTTCAAGATGTACCACCAGAAAAATGATATTTATGCCATTATATCTGAGTTACACACAACAAATGGAAAATTGTTTCATTAAAGATTATAAAAACTTACTACTCTGGGCAGAGCACCTTTCTACCCTTCTTCTCTCTAAATGTTTCAGAAACACACATTTTTTTCATTTTCTTTAATGACCAACCTCTAAGCCTGCTGCGAAGAAGTTGAATATACAGTGGGAAGTACTATAAAAAACTATTATTCAGGGCAGGGTCTCTTCCTACCCTACTTCTTTCCAAAAATCTTTTTTTAATGACTGACCTGTATTCCCCCGGCCTGGTGCACAGATGTTGAATATATAGTGGGAAGTAGCTGAGAGACCTCAAGGGACTGCCACAAGCTAGCTGCTATCTCAGGTGTCTTCGCAAAGGCAGCTAGAGTGGTTAGAAGTTCAGCCTTTAGTTTAGGAGGCACACTACAGCCAACAAGGCCCAACATCAGGACATGGGGTAACCACTGCTGGTTCTCACAGAGAGCTATTCTTGCATTCTCATCCTACAAAAATAATTCAGTTTAATTATTTTTTATATACATTTTATATGTGCACATTACAAATACAGAAAAACATAACTCGTAAATTGACCCATAAATATTGATGAAAAATTGCATCCTCTTGACTTGATATGAATGCATAATAACAAACAAGGAATTAACCATCAAAATGTCACAGCCTGCAATTTGTTATAGACGGTAACCACAAACCGCCAAACACCATCCACAAAAATATTTGGTGGCTATAACAATATGTGACCACTTCTGGTGTGACATGGTTATTCAGAACCATTGAAAGTGTGATAGGTATTCATATTACCAAAATATAATGAAATATTTCTTTTAACTATTCATTTTTATATTTCCCACTCTCTGATTGGCCAAATCTAATATGAAAAGTTTATAAACATTTCACCAATATCAAATCAATTTTAACAGGTTTTTATAAAAAATAATCCATAGTATAGTAGTATACCATACTCACATGTTTTGCAATCATTCTAGTCAGTCCCAACACCTTGACCAGCCCCTCTAGTTCTTGTGGGGTGATCCCTCTCATGTGATGATGATAAACATGGGACATGTCTGATTGTGATGGGGCCTCTTGTCTCAGAGTTGTGTAGTATTGGTTCATGGACATGAAGAAATGATCCCAGGAAACTGTGCTCAATTGACCACCTGGAGAATTTACATGTATATTAATTGAATTATATCAATTGATTTTTTTTTTTATTAATCATCTTTATTATATTCCATAAAATACAGCTGTACAAACTTAAACAATTGCCAAAGTCTAGTGACATTGTCGGCAATTTTGAGTGAAATCCAAAGGAATGTTTTTAAATTTTTACATAATAAGTTATTTTTATGTCATGTTATTGTTAAAATAGATGAAAGAAAAAGTCAATAAAATATCATCACACTACACTCGTATATCACAAAGATGTGTAAGGTTTTTTCCCTTGGCCAGAGGGATTTCAGTTGTAACATGTTGTAATCGATTACATGTCCAAAAGATCTAGACCCTGGTGGATATAATATGCTACTATGTTCATTAGTTTCTCATTGACATCTACTGGAAATTTATTATCTCCAAAAAGTAAGAACTGGGATTGATCATGCATATTAAGTCCATCATAGTGGGTACGGATCCCTATCGTCTCCAGTCCTGCAAGTAGTGTTGTTCTCTGTTCTGTCAGCAGAGGGCATTTCAACAGGAAATGTAAAGTTGTCTGGTTTATATTGTCACATAAACATTTAGGATTAGCAACCCGTTCAAAGTTGTGTGCATGGAGGTGAGCTTGCAAGAGAAGTCCGGACCTGAGTCGGTTTAATGGAATTTCTAGGTAGCGAGGCATGGCATTTTTTAGTTTTGACGTTGATAGGGTAGAAGCATGGCTTCCATCGCCTCTTACTATTCTTTTAAATCTTGAAATTGGCTGACCAATTCTATAATCTGGTGGAAGGTTATTCCAAAGGGCCATACCTTTAAAAATTGTACATTTCTTAGCCAAAGCGCTTGTTTGAAGGGGAATCTTATAGTCCCTGTGGCTCCTTAATGAGCGCACTTGTATATCATTCTCATAGGACCTGACAAGATTACAAATGAAAGGAGGAAAGTTATTATATCTTGCTTTAAAAATAAATATTTTGAGATGTTCCTCTCTTCTAGAGGATAAAGTTTTCCAGTTTATTGATGAGAGAACTTTATTAGTGTTCGAGCCATGGATTGCTCCAGAGACTAGACATGCTGCTCTATAATGTAACCGTTCAAGAGATTGCAATTTGGTATCTGATGCACTATTGTATATGATGTCACAATAGTCAAAATGAGGGAGTATGTACGCATTATATAAAGTTTCAAGGTGCTTGCTTGACAAGATCTTGCAGAGTTTCTTCATTGGCCTCATCAGGCTTATTACTTTGTTAATTAATTGATCAATGTGAGCGTTGAAGTTTAGGTGCTGGTCAAGAGTAAGTCCGAGGTGTTTATGAGTATTACATCTAGGGACTATTTCCCCGTTCATTTTCAGAGGAGGAGGTTCAATATTAATGTTTCTATGTCCAGTGAATATCAAATCAGCGCTTTTCTGTGCTTTAAATAACATTTTCCAAGTTGCAGCCCAATGGTCTAAGTGGTCCAAATCACTTTGAATGGGCTCATGAATATCGAGAAATATTTCATTTACATCAAAAGGATTATGGAGTGAGGTGTCATCCGCGAATATGAATGTCTTTGAAACAAGACCATCCGGTAAGTCGTTGATATATATCAAAAATAGGAGGGGTCCCAATACTGAACCCTGAGGAACTCCTGCGTTAATTTTATAATTCTTGATCTGAGGGTTGTTATTATGTATTTGGGTATCTGATTCTTGAGCATCTGTATGTTGAACAGAGGACCATTCTGATAAGTTATTATTGACCTTGACTCTGATACGCCTATCACTTAAGTATGATTTAATGAGATTAATAAAATTGTTGTTACAACCATAGCCTTTTAATTTAGTTATCAATAAGTTGTGCGGGACCACGTCAAAAGCTGAACTCAGGTCCAAGAAGATTGAGCGTATATGCTCTTTATTATCAATATGTTGATGAAGATCATGTACAATATTTATTAGTTGATTTGTTGTTCCATGTTTAGGTAAGAACCCACTTTGGAGTTTATACAATAGATTGTGCTCGAAAAGATGAGAAAGCAAATGTCTATGAATAATGCGTTCGAAAACTTTAGACAAAGTACTTAGGAGAGTTACAGGTCTATAATTGGAGGCAATGGTTGAGTCACCTTTTTTGTAAATTGGAATAACTATTCCCTCCTTCCAAATATCTGGAAAAATATTCTTGTCAAGTATTCTATCAAATAGATTGCTTACTGGTAATGAAAAAGAGCTGGCACACATTTTTAACATCTTGTTTGAGATTTCATCAGGACCAGGAGATTTATGTACATCCAACTCGTTAAGTAGTTCAATTGATTTGCTGGACATATTTTTGGAAAAGTTTATTGTTTCAGAGCTAATATAATTAATATGACAAGTTAAATCAAGGTGACGAAAATGCTGGGTATAAACTCTCAAATATCCATTAACACACTGTTATATCCATATATGTGTATATCTGAACAACTCTCCAATTTAAGGTTTTTCCATTCTCATTTTTTAATCTGTCATAGATTACCATGTTTAAAACCTCAAAATATGAACAGCTTCAATTCTAAAGACTTTTGGCTTGTACCAATGGCATTTAGATTCAGATTCAGATTACGTTTACTGAACTAACCTGCATTCATTCCGCTGGTCTTGAGAAGATTAAAGCAATGATGTGCACATTGAGGCCCATTAGCTAAGCCAGTTAGCATCTCAATATATGGAATATACAGAGAAGGTGGTAGGAGGTCACCTGCTAGTCTAACAAACTTGAACAATGAGATCTGAAAATAAAAGTTCATTGATCCTACAACATTTGATAAAATAGTGAAGCTTGTTAATAATCTTCAAAATTTCAATTAATCCTTATTCCAATATAAAAAATGAACAAAAATGAACAATAAAGAATTCATTTGCTTATGAGATTGAAACGATTTGCTAAAAAATATATTTCGTTAAAATCTTAATACAAAGAATGGAAGAAGGTGATAGAAGTAAGTCAAACATTTGATTTACCTGTCTTTGGGGAGGTCTCAAATGATGCATTGTCTGAAAGGCCCCAGGGCCGCCACCTACACTAGGATCAGGAGGGCACCAGAATTCCAGCCCAAGTTCCAGATTCAGGGGGTCATTTCTATAGAACTCCCCTATCTAAAGTATATGAATGATATGTGTACCAACCAAAAGAATTGACACTGGAATTTCAAATTACAAATGGTTTCACATCAAAAGAGCTTATACAAAAAATTGCAACTTAAATGAAATCAAATCTTAATTCTTTTCAAGCAGGGTCATGATAAGAAGATCATTTTATTACAAAATCAACTTCATATTAGTTAGAAAGAAACAGGGTCTTACAAGACTCATGAAGTTTTCAAAGTCTCTACGGAGGTTACCAGGTGGCTCTAAACCTTCTTGTAAGTGAGCCATTATGATACGTGCAGTCTCATCACCATGGTTACGCATCTCTTTGATCTAAAATCACAACCAACAAGTTCATAAATATCACAGTGAACACGTTTTTAAAATATAATACAAGTGTTAAATTTATCCGATAATCTTTCAGGAAATTCTTGTTGGTTTCTGTTACGCCACACTAATTAATGTTAGTCACATATATGTGTGTCATAGCACTAATGGGTGTCACTTCACTATGGGTGCCACTGTACTAATGTGTGTCTGCCACACTAACATGTGTTACTGCACTGTTATGTGTCAGCAACAATCATAAGTGTCACTGCACTTATGGGTGTCACCACACTTTTGTTTGAGATGTCACTTACCGATGTAATAACCGAAATACTTAACAATTTAAAACATATTCTGCAAATTCTAATACAAAAAGTAGTAGTATACTATTAGAGCGAGAGTAAAGGTTGTCAAAAGAGGTTCTACAACATTTTACAACATTTCAACATAACTGTACCTTAAGAGGCATATGTACGATGAACTCTGTGATGAGATTGTGCATCTTCCTCATGTAATATTCCTGAAATTAGAGAACACACAGAAATATTCAGTTTTAGAATAACATTTTACATGCAGCTACAAAACACACTGGAAGGCATTACAATTAGCATTACTGTAATGTAATATGACAGATAAACAGAATATCAGAAAGAAAGATTTCAAAATGTGAATTTGAAATATTGATTCTATACAAAACAACTAATATGTACCTGATAAGTTTGGCATTATATATAATAATTTCAAATGGCAAATGATAGAACACTTTCTTTTGCGAAGAATCCAGGCACATTGCAAGCTTTACATAATTCAAAGCATTAAAATGATTGTAAAGAATTTTAATTCACAATGTATTATAAAGACCAATTCGCTTGTTTACTCATGCTAATAAGAAAAAGATTTTACCTCTTGGTGAAAAACTGTAGAATTTAAGACAGAGTTCTTGAGAAATGTGAAGACATTTTCCTGTACAGCAAGTCCCACGATCATCTCATCTTCCTCACAGTATTCATTTAGATCTACAATAGCAAAGAGCAACAATTAAAATAAAATATGGCTATTGCAGAGATTTACTAATTTGTAAGGTGCAGAAATGCGATGAGTCATTTCAGACGAGAACTTCCACTGACAGAGAGCACAACTGATGAAAAAATTCTCCATAAAACTTTCTGTCTTTTCATTATTTGTTTTGAAGATCATCAAATGATTTCAATAAAAAAGACACACAATGGTAAATATTGCAGTTTTAATTGACAAATGCAAAATGGTCACTAAGTAATTTACCCAGCATGCCTTGACACCAATCTCTAGTTGCATCTGTAATAATTCCTTGTTGAACAAGTAAGCAGTTTTCCTTGAATTTTGAAGACAAGATTAATGTGGTGCCTGCCCATCCACATGTCCAGCAGCAAAAGATGATAGCAATTCAACATTTGGAAAAGTACAATAAGAACATTCTCTTGGAGATGTTCAATTGAAACAGGACAGACTATTGTTTTGTCATGTTAGATTGTATTATTAACAATTAAGACCTCACCTGGTGCAGTTGAGTGCTGAGAAAGAACTCTCAATGAGAGACCCCAGGCAAACTGTGCTATTGCCTTTAGTCCAGGGTTGGCCCAGGCTTGGTTAGATGTAAGCTCTTTATGGATTGCAGGAATGTATGATGGGTCGGACAATGCGGGAAGTCTCTTTAGGATTTCTAAAAATAATTTCAGAAATTCATGCAGTCAGAAAACCTGGCACTGTTAGCTGATAGTTCTTTAAGTTGAAGTTTTTTCACTATTACTCTTACTTCTGGCAAATGAAATACAAGGTTTCTCAGACTTTAAAAAATATCTTGAAATATGCTCACAGCATACTTATATACCTTCTGTGTCTTCCTGGTCCACGATCTGAGCATCTAGACAGAACAAGAGCGCCATCATTAGGGCAATAGTGACACTATCCAATGTCCCATCAGGATTGGTTGTATCATCATTTCGCAAATATGCAATCAATTGTAATGTATTGTTTTTATCTAAGGGTGTTTGTGCGGCCCAGCAGAAAATACACTCAGCTAGGGAAAGACGTGATTCATTGTACAAATCGGTGACACGTTTTCTATGACGTGCATTTCCCAAGGCTCGTTCAGTTTGAAGGTTACTATATTCCCTCGCAAAATCTAGTCCTTTGATGCGTTCTGAAAATATTGTATCGAATTAATGTTTGCATGTTTTTTGTATTCACACTGAAAAGCACTGATATATAAGGAAAATTCCCCTTTCAAATAGATGTTTTAATCAATTGGATCACAATGAGCAACATTTGCATTTCAATGAAGAAATGCTTACCTAATGTTTTGCTGATCAAGCCTTCATCCATCAGCTGCTTTGTAAACCTTGTTGTCATATCAACCAGCTCTTCATTCAGACCTAGTGTCCAGGTGTTGCCCTCTCGTGATTGGATGAGTGTGCGCAAGGAATTAACAAGACTCCTCCTACCATCGTAATACAGGAGAACTGCCACCAGACCACGGGTTAGGCCAGGGAAATTGGGTTGCTGGTTCTCACCTAGAAATAACATACAATTACGTCAGCATTTGTATGATTCTAAAATTGAGATGATTTGAAAAATTCACCCTCTTCTCCCTTCAAATATGTGAGGTAAAACAAATTTGCTAAATAGCATTCTTTAATTAAGATGTTCGTATCAATACATTGACTTTTCTTGGTTATTAAGAGTACATGTTTGATATTGAAGTTTGAATCCAAAATCTTACCAGCAAGTAAAAGTTCCACTGCAGCGAATTCATTGAGATCAAAGATATCACTGATGATTAGTGCCTCTTGTATGAACTCTTGTGTGAGAGTGTGAGGTGCCTGGTCACCCTCAATGGTAATCCCTTCTCTATCTGCCTTCTTAACTGTCTCTCTATGTGCATTGTTCTTGGCCTGAATATATAGAAAATATCAATATACAGTGTTCTAGTTTTCTCTTAGTTTGGAATTGCGCTCACTGGGGACAACACACTACTCAAATTCACTGATTAAAATTAGTCATATTTTCGAACTTAACAAATTCCCAACTGAATGAAAATGTAATTTTCAACAAAGAATAATGTAGTTTTCTGATTTTCTTTAAGGTGAAGCACTCGGTCAGAAACTTAAGAAACTTGAGTTATTTATCGAGATATAACATTGTGTGCTGCATGTATGAAGCCTATGTCTACAGTTCTTTTTGAGAGGAAATCACTCGTTACTTACAGGGTTCCTTAATAGAGATATAAAATCAGGCTTGTGTTTTCTTAATGCAACATCAAGATCCTGTACAGCATCTGGCAGTTTGCGGAAAATAGCTGCATCCACTGTATTGTACAGTTCCTTGTAACGACTCCACATACGAGCAGCTGTAAACAAATGTGTTATTTAAGAAATATAGACCGAAAAGCAGGGGTTATATCGTCGAATACACCCCCAAGGGCTAGGCATAAACGTTTTCTGTACCCCGAACGACCGAAGGGAGTGAGGGGTTCGAAAGCTTTTGTGCCTAGCCCCAAGGGGTGTATTCGACGATATTACCCCAGCTCTGAGGTCTATCATCATCATCATCATCATTTGGTACTGTAGCTGTTAGGCTTGTGTGCCTGTTGTCGCTAAGCTCTTTTTATATTTATCAGCTAAAAACTGATCGTGATATTTTAATCATTTGAACCACCTGGTCCAAGACACTTTAAGTTTGACAGGTGAGCTAGGTTAAGCATAGACCCCAAAGATCAGACTTGCAGACTGGTCTTCTTGTTGCAGTACTATATTACGATTCAACATGAAAGCTCACCAAATTGTTTCGAATATTCATCATGGTCCGCCATTACTACGACCCACCGTTATGACGTCACACATTACATGTACTAACTGGGTTATTGATCTCGAATATAACCCAGCTGAAGCATTGACTTTGTTTACAGTTTATAGAAGGCGTGAATACAGTCATGTTCGAATTACGTATAAACTTTTCATTGTTTTGGATGAAAATGATTACGTTAAAATGAGGGAAGTCGTTTGATACTTTTATACAGCACTAAATAATTTTTTTTAAGATAAGGAAGTTTATTCATCATTCATTGACACCAATCGTCATTTTTTGCTGGCTTTTACACTGCTTTTCAGTTCTCATTTTATTACCTCCTTCCTAAACATTTCTAATGAAGAGTACTTGCAGTCAGTTACATTAAAAATGATAGCTTTTTGAATATAAATTTGATGCCTTGGCTAACAAATTCCTTCAAATTGAAATTGAATTTGAAATTCAAAAATTGAAAACAAAAACTGAAACTGAAATGTTTTCGTGATTCTCCCAGACTGTGGTTGTTTGATGATATCGCGTCAATGTAATAATCAGATATGACAAATTGATCTTCCATTTTTACAGTAATTGTAGTGTAATAGCGTAACGTACATGGTAAATAGTACTGATCTTGAAAAAAGTAAAAGCTCACCGGAATTTACCGCCATGCTGAAATAGGTGTAACTCCACTCTTTTATTTTTGCCGGAAATGAACTAAAGTTTCTTTTTGGTTAAACCTATAATCAAATGATTATTAGGGTGATTTTAAACCGTAATTATGTAATACTTTTTCGTTTTGCCCTGATTAACAAGACAAGCTCAATGAGTTGAACACACTGACCAAAACTTATTGCTACAATTTTACAGTCTAATTACTGTTGTGATACCTTCTAACTAACGAGTAACATCTTAGAAAGAAACAACTTCCGCCATGGAAAAACATGCTTCGAAAACTTTATTTGTGAGAAATCTACCGTTTTCAACCACAAATGATAAACTTGAGTCATTATTTGGTGATATTGGCCCTCTAAAGAAATGCTTTGTTGTGAAAGACAAAGGTAAGGTGCAGTCGTTTTAATTCAATGATGAAACACAGCTGGCTGAATTTTTGGGGCTTTTTTTTCAGACACATTCAGTATCGTACTACAGTACATGTATGCAGTTCATTTGGGGCATTTGGTTGAATTTTTTTACCCCCATGTACTAAGTGGGCCTTTTATGTGGGGTGTTTTTTCAAACATTTATGGGGGTAAAATTTTGGGGAAGTGACGGTGGTGTTTGTAAGAGCTGTTGGACTAGATTTACCTCTTGACATAAAGGCTGTGTAGGTCTGATATACAACAGCTTTTGCTCGTTCCCTATAGGCCGCAGAATTGTGATGGCTGAAATTGAAGTTCTGAAATCAGGTGCTAAATTTACAATTGTTTACATCTCCAAATGTTCTCTACATCTCCATTGACCATCATCCTTTTGCGAAAGTCTATCAGCTGCTTCTGTGGCAATCAGGACTTCTCTTTATCCTTGATTTGCAAGCGAGAAATCAAAATGGCAGTTTTGACGTAAATTCACGAACTGCCAAAAATGTTTGACACATGTAAAAGCAGACTAGATCCAAGATCTGATTATGTTGTGGACATGCTGGGTAAAATACATGCAGGTGACCATTTTGCTCTTCAAAGTGCATATTTATCACTGTGTGTCTTTTTAATAAATTGCTTCACAGCCTTTTCAGCCACCACTCAGCTATCAGTTTATTGATTTTGAGACTACTTTTCACGCTTAACGTTTCAATTATTTTGGTATAATGAAATAAAAATCTGATTTAGAGATCAAAGTTGATAAAATCTATTTGCATAATCATCACTTGGTTCATTTCTTGCTTCGTTAAGCGAGTTCCCTTTCAACAATAGTGCAGTGTTGCATGTACTTAATGCACTTTGCAAATTTTAGATCAATAAAATAGGGTGGGGCAAGTGTTTTTTTCCAGTTTCCAGTTTCTCTTTGTTAATTGAAGTCCCTTATCTATTAAAGTAGATAGATAGTCTTAGAGATTTATTTTTCTACATTTTGTGCAGATAGCTTAACTGTAATTGTTGATTATGTGTTAACAAAGTCATATTTATTTTACATAAATATATTTTTTCTTTTCAGATTCCAAACACCCATGTAGAGGCTATGGATATGTGACATTTTCTATGAGGTAAGTTGCTTGCATAATTTTAAACATTAACAGTTATATTCACAGTTTATCTACTTTATACTTAGTTTTTTACTTAAGTATTCATCAAATTCCTCCATCCAACCAGCTTTTGATTTTTCATATCTTTGAAGGAATTTTTTAATTTTAACCTATGTCCTCATAAGAAAGTAATTTTGGAGCAATACGGGTAAGAGCATATATTGTGTACATGTTTTTATTATGTCACCACCAGAAGTGGTGACATATTGTTTTCGTCTCAAAACTTTTTTTGTGGATGGTGTTCGATGGTTGATGTTTGGCTGTGGGTGTTCAGCAGTTGGTGTTCCATGGTCGACATCTTAAACAAATGGCAGGTGGTGACATTTTGCATGTTAATACCTTGTATTATTATCATTATCTTCTAACAGCGATGATGCTGAAAAGGCGCAAACAGATGTTAAGTCTCTTGATGGAAGAAAACTGTTTGTGAGTTTTGCTGACAGGAAGATTGATCAAAAGAAAAAAGGCAAAAAGCAAACAGGAGATGGAAAAGAAGATGAGACGGTGATATCACCTGGTGAGTTTTATGATGTGCATTTGCATTACATTTGCCATAAGTTCTGTATAAATGCAGGTAACCTCTGTTAAATGGATCCACAGATGAGCAATTAGTATGTATAATTGAAAGACCATGGTATGAGGTTCAATACCATAAAAATATTTGGGTACATTTTGTTTTAAGTCTGATATTAGAGACTTTAAGCTTGCATTTAAAATTTCCAGTTCTACACGCAAACTCTGAAGCTCAAAGGGTATCAGTTAATTTAACTACCAATAAACGCCAGGCACCAACCTTGGGGAAGGTGTTCTGTCACGGGTGTTCCACTGTGTATATCACAGTGGATGGGGCGTATACAGCAAGAGGTGCTCACTCGGCCGGGCCCGACCTCGCACCCGGCAGGCACTCATCAATCATTTAAGGGGGGTGTAAACGGACTTTAGAAAGTTTTTCCATCAAATCGGAGCAACTTTAGCGTCTCATACGTTTGTTTAAACAACAAACAGAAGTAGACTAATTAGTGCTTGTTATGTATGTGCACTATACACATTACTATATTGATTCATGTACTTTCCGTTCACGGTTACATTGTGAAAAACTTTGCAAGCTTGAACTCTCTAATATGGAGATCTGTGTGATGTTTTTCAGAAAATATATTGTCAGCCCCCATTAATGACTGATATCGTTTTTCAGAATCATATACAGATCATATCGTTGATCAGTGGCTTTATTCGTATGATAAATGAATTCGAATTTGTGATTGTTATCATATCATAAGAAACCCCCAATTTTAACTCATTTCTTGTGACATCGTTTTATTGCCTTGTATATCATGAGAAAGGAATATCAACACTCATTCGATATCAACATGTTGATAGAAATGACATCCCTCAAAATGACAAGTGGTGACAATTATCATAGTCTCTAACTAATTTTTGGACTGTGTTTTGCATTCAGTCGGTGGCGTTTGGGGTTAGGCATCTGTAATAAATGGCAGGTGGTGACATTTTGCATGTGAATGCCTTGTTGTATTTTTGAGAGTGACTTGAGCATCTGATATTGTTGAGACAACTAGATATTGATGGTGTACTTTGAGGATTTCAGATTTAACAACAACATACATGCAATTTAAATCCCTTCTGAAATTATCCGTGTTTTTTGAAACAATACCATGCAAATCAAGCAATGTAATAATTTTCTAGCTCACGCCATGTTTTTATTCAGTTGATTCATCTCTATGCTAATATTTGATTTACTTCACATGTGCTTTTGAAACATCCCATTGAATTATAATAGATAAGCTATTTCTGTCCAAATACCAAGGCTTGGTATCTGGTGTCAGGATGTCATGAACATTCTGTACACTTATGTAAATATTTACGTTTATTAATCTTTGTCTGTAGGACAAGTTCAATAATATTAATGTACACCTACACTCGTACAGACATAATTGATTATGTTTGAGGGGCAAGGAGGGGGAGTCAGATGCCCAGGAATATGATCAAAAATGATCAAAATCGTGCCTTAGTGTATATTTTACTACATTTGCACATAACACTTAGATCGCTTAATAAAACTGAAAAGATGGGCGAATTATGGAGAATAACACAAGAAAACGTTTAAGCTAAAAAACGCTTTAGCGCTTAGCTAAAAACCGTTTTAGGACCCTAGTCATAGCCAAGACATCTTAGCGTTAAAACGTTTTACGAAGCGAGTGTAAATCCATCGGTTTTAGCTAAGAGCTCTTAGCCTGGTTTTGTGCGATGCGCCGAATGAAAAAATTGAAACTTTCTGTTAAAATGTGTGACATGGTCCTTTCTTTTGTCCAAACCATTGTTCCCAATATTGTCCCAAAACTATCGAGAAGAAAAACCATCTTCATCTTTGCCTGGCGTTCATCCATATTCCTAATATATGTAGCACATGTGCTGCTCTCCTTGGTGTTTTTTTTAACACTGCTCTCTTCAGGACATATATTTGCGAAGACGGTGCAAAAAGTACCTAAGTAGGAACGGAATAGCCACGTTGACTGAATCGTCCTTCAACCATCCTTCAACCAGTACTGAACTGATGTATTCATATTACATGTATACCTACCTATCTCCAAGATGTCTTAGGAAAACAGGTGTAAACTCAATCATATTTCGTAAGACGTCTTGCAAATGCAGATGTAAACCCAACATAATTTTTCTAGAATATTTTATCCACGTCTTTGAATGCCACGTGTTGTGTAAATTGGGCTAATGTGGAACCTTAAACCCAAACAGTTTGTAATCCATTTCATAAATACTATAGATTTTTTCTAAGAGCCAATCTGGGATTTCTTTCATCATGCTTTCTCTCAATTCTTCACTGGTTGTTCTATGCCCTTTGAACTCATGAAAGGATTCAGAAAATAGTTCCAGAATTTTTTCACTTGTGTAGTAATTATCGGGATATAAAAGTTGTTGTAGTTTTGCATCTTGCGGCATGTAGCCTCTTCTTTTCAATCCATCGAAAGTCCTAATGATCAAGTCTTTAATGGTATATCCACATTTTTCAATCGCTAAATCACGTCCTCGCGCAATAATCTGAACCTCTCTTTCAATTATATCCCATAATTTTTCCTGCTGTGTCATAACGTGTGAAGAAGTATGCTTAACTGAGACATTAATTTTATGTAGGAAATAGTCAATGTCTTCTTCGTATGTGTCCATGTGGCCTATTATGTTGAATGGAACTTTACCACATGGATAGCATATTTGGTAAATTGGTTTAAAGTGAATATTAAGCATGTTTGACCTCACTGTTATGTACTGGAGGAACTCTTTGAATGTTATATCACATGTGCATTCAGGTCTATCAGTTGTGTTTCTAAACCTTACCGATATCAGAGTCCCCATTCCTCTACACCAACTATATGCAGGGTTTACACTGTAGATTTTATCCCAGTAAGATGAAATTAACCTTGAAATTGGCTCACGGACAAACATTATTTTCTGATAATTATTAATTTTTGCCGCGTGTTCTTCAGTGGGGTATTTACTTAACATTTTGATTGCTGCGTTTAAGTGATTACTTTTATTAATGGCAGAGATGTTGTATGGGCTCATATTGGGTTTGTCAATGGTAAGAAGAGTCCGTTTAAATGTTGTGCATCCAGTTTTTGGAACAATACAGTAAATATATCCATGGGTATCATTTACTAAGATGTCACGATCCTCAATTGTTTCTTTCATTTCATTTTTGTATTTTTTACAACTCTCCGCTAAATCATTTGCCCGTTTTTGCATTTCTTTTTCCTTATTGTTGTTATATTCTGCAGTTGATGCCCTTGTTTTATTTTTCGTAATCTGTGGTTGACTTTTGGATGATGATTCTCTCGTTTCTTTATTTTTGTTGAAGAATTCATATTTGTCCTGCTTATCTACAACACAATGTGAGAGCAGTATTCAATGATTATGAAGGATACGGACACATAGAAATAAAGTGTACAGTCTACATCAGCGATTTATTTGTTCATGAGATGTATTTTGTTAAAAAAACACATCGAAACGCAATTTTAAGCACATTCATGGAAAATTTTGATAATATATTTTTTAAGATTAAACACCGAAAAGCAATTACTTACCATATAAGACAAATAAGATAAATAATTACATACCATATAAGGTTAAAAAGAAAAGCAATACATACCATATAAGGCAATTAAGATAAATAATTACATACCATGTAAGGTTATAAAGAGAAGCAATACATACCATATAAGGCAATTAAGATAAGCAGCAAAACGCTTGAGAAAATCATTGTAATTCTTTTCCTATTGTGAAACATTTTGATAGTACATGTACTTGTTAGGCCTTTAGTAAATTGATCAAAATACCTCAGTGTTATATTTTTTAAGCATTGAATATATGTCAGATGCAGAATGATGAGAATTAATTGTATTAATTTTTGACATTCATTTTATAAGATACAGGATAAGCCAAAAATGTAACTCATAGCATAGGGTTAATATTTGGCACAATTAAACCTTGTTCAATGTTCTTTCGATCTTAACCCTTTCACAACAATGGGCTCTGAGCCCTATTACGTAATACCTTTCAGGACAGGCTCCTTTTGGCACCACTATTTTTATTTACATTCATCAATGAAATGACAATATCTCCAGTTCTATTCAGTATTTTACACCAAATTTTAACAAGTAGTTGACACGTGATAATGCTAAACTAAAAATTGTATTTTAGTGATAAAATTTAAAGTATAGGTCCCGGGGTATACATCATTTCAGGTTTTTACCTAAAAAACACTCTTACTTATCCATCACCAGGCCAACATTTTTCTCTTATATTCACGTCGGGAAAGGGTTTATTTGATTGTGCCAAATATGGCTTTATCCAATGCTAAGCGACTGAGTAATCATTCACATTTGTTTGGGCTACATTTTTTTGGCACACCCTGTTGCACTGGAAAACTGGAAAACAATTGAGGAACAGGTGAGAACAGAATAATTGCAAGGAAATTATTCTTACCTGAAAATGGAGAAATTCTAAAATGAGTATTAATTTCCATTTGAATGTACTTACTAGAGTCCATTTCACTGCTTCATTTCGTCAGTAGAACGGCAAAAATAAGAAATTCATTCATAATGTACATGAATGACATTTGTATATCTTGGATTGCTTCTAGTTTGGCTTATAAAGTGTGTGGCCTCTTATATTTGGATGTTTCTCTGCCATGTTATTTTCAATAAGATTAACATGGCTGAAATTCTTCAAATTACAAGACGGCACAGGCTTATTGCACAAAAAACTAAAAAATCTGAAATATACAAAATGTCATACATGTACATTATGAATATACTTTTCCATATATTATTGCACAATGGTCTCCCAATTTCTTATTTTTGCCGTTCTACTGACGAAATGAAGGAGTGAAATGGACTCTAAATGCTTTTTCTGACATGGTGTGTTGATTTATATCAGCTTTCAGTTTTGATAAAAATGATTGCCAAACTAAACAAAAAAATGCAAAATCTATGTTTTTTAATGATTTTCTGTTTTCAAATTTACATTTTGACAGTTTAACCATCAATGAAGTCTCCGTAACAAAGTCTCCCATTTGATAACAATTCATTATCATGACATTTCTAATGAAAACAAATGCCAAATGAAATATTAAATTTTGAAAATTGAAAATCCTGATCAATTAAAAAAATTGATACCAGCCATACTGTTTTACATTCTTGGTATGTTAAGTGTTTATGTTTTTTGACAGAACGCCATTCATTGTCATTTTCAAAAAAACATATGGATAAATAAGTAGATTGTATGTAACCTCACATGTTGATATAAAGTGAAGATCAGACACTTTGAAACATTATCTTATTTCAGATTTTTGCTTCACAGATGACAGAATGACTTTAAATAGAAATATGCAAACCATCTTTGTAGTGCAATGTAGTCACTCACTTTGATCTGTATTATTTTACTAAAACAAATTTAACTGATAAAGAAGAAATGTTTTAAATCTAAAGTGCTTCTATTAATGTAATATGACATTAAGAATGAATAACATTACAATTTTCTTTAATAATCTCTCATATCATTTCAAACAAACATATCACAATTTAATCGTTGCATTTCCATTACTTGGAACCGATTTACGTTCAAATTGCTTTAACAATGTCAAATAACATTTACAGCAAAGTAATAATCATGACGCATGACAAATTTTTGCATTGCTGTGCGCGCATCAACTTTTTGTATAATACCATGACGAGTGCAACATTTTACAAGGTGCGCAGAAAATTCACAGATAATTTATTGAATTGCTTGACGTGAAAACACAAGGTATATACTATATTTGAATAAAGGTTTCAGTAAAAGTCTATTTGTATTAACATTTAATGAAAAACAAAAATCGCATAATTCACCTTTTTAAAATCCAAAATCACAAACTTTGAGCGCTTAATTTAGGAATTTACAATGCAAAAAATTGAAATGCCAGACATGAATATATATCAAATGTAAAATGCACAAGTGTCTCCACAGTGTTCTACACAGTGGTGCATTTCTCCACGTATTTATAGCCAAATTCTGGTCCCGCTCCGACACCTCTATACCAACGCCAAAGCAAAGTTCATCGCCGCCATGGAACGCTGCAACAACGTCCGACACCGTTCCAACAACCCCATATACGCTGATAAAACGCTAACAACCGCTCCACCGACGTTTGTGCAATGTTTAATCGCCGCCCGGGCAACGCTGGCGAAGCAGCGGTGGTCCAGCATTTAAGATTTCTGTGTTGGTCTAGCGGATTCAAGCGTCCACGAACTTGCGTCTAGCGGTGCCAAACTTTGACTGGGCGTTGGTGGAGCGGTGATAAACTTTGCCAGGGCGTAAAATTGTCCCTTTTCAACGCTCACAATATTTTGAGCAGCTCAAAACTTTTGGAGCGTTAGGATGGCCACTCGACAAACATCCGCGTTGGCCGAGCGTTTACAGCGTTGCTTTAACGGATGCCAACTTTTGTTAAACGGTGGTGAACGTTTACGAGCGTTGATGATTTTTAGCTCACATGGTGAGCTTTTGCAATCACTCACTTGTCCGTCTGTCTGTCTGTCCGTCTGTACGTCCGTCCGTCCGTCTGTCCGTCAACAATAGTGGCACGTTTTAAAACCTCTGTCGATAGGATTTCTGTTTTAAGTTATTTCTGTTCAACATCAATACAGAAAACCCCCCTATGACTCCTGGTTCAAAAGCTCGCCTATTTTCAAAATGGCCGTCACTTTTGTCTCGTGAAATTCACTTTTAGCCCATTTCCTAGCTAACCTCTGTCGATAGGATTCCTGTTTTAAGTTATTTCTGTTCAACATCAATACAGAAAATCCCCTATGACTCCTGGTTAAAAAGCTCGCCTATTTTCAAAATGGCCGTCACTTTTGTCTCGCGAAATTCACTTTTGGCCCATTTTCTAGCTTTACAAATAATTTCAGGTGTCCTACATTGTAAAAATCCATGTCAATGTAAAGATTAGATATATGAAGTAATTTTGTTACAAAAAATCAGCGAAAAATTGTATCCATTTTTTTATTTTCAGCCATTTTAGTTAACATTGATTTGTCTATCTGACTCGCGAAATCCATTTTCTGTCAATAACAGTGGCACGTTTTAAAACCTCTGTCGATAGGATTCCTGTTTTAAGTTATTTCTGTTCAACATGAATTCAGAAAACTCCCCTATGACTCCTGGTTCAAAAGCTCGCCTATTTTCAAAATGGACGCCATTTTTGTCTCGCGAAATTCACTTTTGACCCATTTCCTAGCTTTACAAATAATTTAAAGTGTCTTACATTGTAGAAATCCATTGCAAAGTAAAGAGTAGATGTATGAAATAATTTTGTTACGAAAAATCAGCGAAAAATTATATCCATTTATTTATTTTCAGCCATTTTAGTTAACATTGATTTGTCCATCTGTCTCGCAAAATTCACTTTTGGACCATTTACCTTAAACCCTCTGTCGATAGGATTCCCATTTTAAGTTATTTTTGTTCAACATCAATACAAAAAACTCTCCTATGACTCTTGGTTCAAAAGCTCGGCTATTTTCAAAATGGCCGTCACTTTTGTCTCGCGAAATTCACTTTTGACCCATTTCGTAGCTTTACAAATAATTTCAGGTGTCCTACATTGTAAAAATCCATGTCAATGTAAAGGGTAGATATATGAAATAATTTTGTTACAAAAAATCAGCGAAAAATTGTATCCATTTTTTTATTTTCAGCCATTTTAGTTAACATTGATTTGTCTATCTGACTCGCGAAATCCACTTTCTGTGGCACGTTTTAAACTCTCTGTCGATAGGATTCCCATTTTAAGTTAATTTTGTTCAACATCAATACAAAAAAACTCTCCTATGACTCTTTGTTCAAAAGCTCGCCTATTTTCAAAATGGTTGCCATTCTTGTTTCGTGAAATTCACTTTTTGCCCATTTCCTAGCTTTACAAATAATTTCAGCTGTCCTGCATTGTAAAAAGCCATGTCACTGTAAAAGGTAGTTGTATGAAATAATTTTGTTACAAAAAATCGGCAAAATATTATATCCGTTTTTTTTATTTTCAGCCATTTTAGTTAACATTGACCATTTGCTTAAAACCTCTGTCGATAGGATTCCAGTTTCAAGTTATTTTTGTTCAACATCAATACAAAAAACTCCCCTATGACTCCTGGTTCAAAAGCTTGCCTGATTTCAAAATGGTCGCCATTTTTGTCTCGCGAAATTCAATTTTGGCCCATTTCCTAGCTTTACAAATGATTTCAGGTGTCTTGCATTGCAAAAAGCCATGTCACTGTAAAGAGTAGTTGTATGAAATAATTTTGTTACAAATTATTGGCAAAAAATTATATCCGTTTTTTTTTCAGCCATTTTAATTGACTGAGAGACAGATGGCTTGAAATAATTTTGTAACAAAAAATCAGCAAAAAATTATATCCGTTTTTTTCTTTTACCATGTGAGCCCAGTACCCACGGTACTAATTTTATTTTCAACGTTCAAGGAACGCTCCAGCAACGTTTAGGTGGTGTGACCGGGCCTTTAACTAAATGTGATTAATTAACTACTAATTGTATCAGAATTTATTCATAAATGTAATGAGAGTTACAAACACATAAAATAGTGTGATATATTGCATAAACAATGGATGAGTATCGTAGTCACCATGACCATTCATATGTTTAACCATTATAAATATTTATTTATTCATTTATTTATTATGAAATATTGTGTGTGTTGTTATACTATTCTCTGTTGTGTTGATATATTGTTTGCTTTGTATACAATTAACCCATTATGGGTATGGATGTGTATTGTAATAAAGTTAATAAAACTAAATCTGTCATCGTGAGATATCACAGCCTTCTCTTAGTTTCCTTCTAGAACGATTCTTGTGCATTACAGAGATGGTCTGAGTATCAGAATGTAAATCTGTGAGGTAAATCTTAAGTGTGGCAAAATTCTCATTTAGCCAATTCTGCCCAATTTTGGCCTTTTTTGCTAATTTTGGCATTTGCCCTGACTTCTCCAATATGATCAAAACTGATTACTTGTATCTAAATATTATGTATTGCATTTATTTTTATATACAAATCCAAATTAAAAATTCATTTTACAAATTAATTAGTAGTATATTAAACTGGTGATAACTTGGTATTATTGCAGCAAAGGATGCCACAAAAACAAAGCAGAACGCTGACAAGGGTCCAAAGACCTTCATTACTCTGAGACATGTTGGGAAAGATGTTCTGCGAAGTGACATTGCCAAGATCTTAGGGTAAGTTTGAATATTTTTAATGTTAAGGGCGTAGGGTATAGTATTCATGAAATACTGCAGGAAAAAATGTGCCAAGCAAAAGTACTCATTTATCTGACAAATAATTTCTTAATCATTCAATTTATGATTCAAGAAGAGGCTATAGTTCTGTGACATATTTATGATCATATTGTCCCAGAGAGAGTGTTGGACTGATTTGAACTGAATTTCCATAAATCCCAAATTATCCTGTATTTGCTACTTAACCAAAATCAAAATAAATAGTATAACATAATATACTGTATGTATGTAATGCATGGCTTAAAGTCTTCAGGAATTTCAGGAAAAAATGACCAAAATTTGACTCCATTGAGATCACTACAAATCTGGATTTATTTCTAGGGGGGGGGAGTAGGGGGTCAAGCAAGGGTTTCAAAATTAAGGTCATATTTATTTAATTCTCTCCTATGCAAATATGTTTTCCTCCAAATTTGAAATAATATGTAATGTGTCTACATTACTCTAAAAAGCACTCAATCAAATCTCATTTTTCCAAAATTTCTTGGAGGTAGGACCTGCCAAAACCCATTGCTTGCTTGGCCGTCTTTCGTCATTCAGTCTTCAGGAAATTTTTAATTTGTTGCCTTAAGCCATGGTAATGTATGTTATAATGAATCAGTGATGATCATTGATAGTGATAATAATGTTATGACTTTTCAGGAAAGATATTCCAGTCAGTCAGTATGAATTTGAGGAGGCAGAAAATAAAGCAGTTGTACACTTTGATACACACAAAAATGCTGTTAAAGCTTTTAACAAACTCAACAAAAAGACAATAAAAGGTAATGTTACTTTCAAGCAGTCATGGATTGGCACTTTGTTATTATAAAGAGAGCAGCATATGATATATTTTTCACCTAAATATTTCATCTATAATTGTGAAACATTTAACGTTTTTTTTATTACTAGTAGCTTTATTCATTTATTGATTTGTTTACTTGTATATCAAATTCAAAATAAAAAATCATTGTTTAAAAATCAGCTTTTTCAAATTCTCAGCTACGTAAAATGGCTTTTAACATAAGAAAAGATGATTTCTTTAAGATTCTTAATATAGGTTGTTTCAGTAATCTGTTATTATATTTCAATGCTGAAGAGATTGCATTTCAAGTCATCATACAAATAAATATGCTTCATTGTATCGTTGGATACTCTGTAATTTAGTTAACACACAGTAATATACTTTGTAATTTAGCTAATGCAGATTGATAAGGATGTGCTTCTGCATTCATGATTTTCAAGTTTTTTAAATATAAGTTAGTGATTATAGTCTATTATGTTCTTTGTCACTAGAAATGATTGCATCGTAATTCAGACCCCACAAATAATGTACTTTGTTCTTAAAGGTCACTCAGTAGAAGCAGGCGTGGGACATGGGAAACCTACAGTGGCTGATAAACGATCAAGACTTATCATTAGGAACTTATCTTTCAAGGTAAATTTAATTTTCCATTTTTTCGTTCAAGGTAGAGCCAACCTTCATTTTTCTTACCTGGTTAAGCCATTTTCCATTTTCTCTTTCAAGGTAAAGCCATTTCTGATTATCTTTCAAGGTAAAGCCATTTACCATTTTTCTTTCAATGTAAAGCCATTTACCATTTTTCTTTCAATGTAAAACCATTTACATTTTTCTTTCAAGGTAAAACCATTTCCATTTCTCTCAAGATAAAGACATTCTCTGTTGTGTAAACACATAAATAGACAATGACTTATAGGAGTTATTTATCAATATTGAATTTATATCAAGCATCCCTTTATCTGTATGTAAACATTGTTTGAAATACTGTATGGTTTAAAGCATGGTACAAGTGGAAACATAACAATCAATAAACACAGCAATCAATTTCCATGTAAATTAAAAATATAGATTCAAACTTTTTATTTAATTAGATTGTGATTTATTTTTGATTGAATTTTTAGTGTAAAGAGGATGACTTGAAAGAAGAATTTACCAAACATGGCACTGTGACAGAAGTGAAAATCCCCTCAAGGCCTAACGGGAAACATCCAGGATTTGGGTTTATTCAGTTCCAAGATGTTAAGAAGGCGGCAAAGGCTATTGAGGCACTGAATACAAAGGCTATCAAAGGTATGGATAAAAATGTCAAAATCTGTTCGACTTAATTTTGTTATACTCATTATTTATCAGATGAAACAATTAAAGAAATAAAAATATTTGGAAAAATATTTTAGGGCAAACTTATACATGTGATAATTTAAGAAATGGTCACTGGTTGACAAAGAGTCTTGATTAAAGTCTCTTTCTGGTTGACAAATGATCTCGAATAGAGTTCCTAGAGTAGTTATTTTTAAAAAGTAGTGAACATGAAATAATATGTTGAATATTGAATTGAATGCACCAAATCCCAAAAATCAAACATGTTAATAATTTCAGGGAGACCAGTTGCTGTTGATTGGGCAATACCCAGAGAAAAATATATTGCAGTTCAAGAAAAACAGAATGAAAAAACAGATGACTCTAATAAAAATGATTCAGATGATAACGACTCTGATAATGAAATGGAATCAGACTCTCCTAGTGACTCAGATAATGATAATGATATAAGGACTAAAACTAAAAAATCACATAAGATATCAAATCTTAAAAGAAAACATAAAGACTCCGATTCAAATGAGGATTCAGATACAGAGGTCGAGGAAGATTCAGAGGATGATGATAATTCAGAGGAAAGTGACCAATCAGATGATGACAAAGATTCAGACCTTGAAGGTTCAGATGAAGGCTCTGAAAGTGATATGGAAGAGTCAGATGAAGATGAAGGTATGTTATGATAATATTGAGGTTAAGTGTAATGGAATTTAAAGGGGCAACAAGGACTAAAAACAAGTTGAAGGTAAGTTCAATAAGGAGAAGAGTAATGTTATGTATGTTTGTAAAATGTTTTGTGCTTGATAACCAATTCGAACATGACTGTATTCACGCCTTCTATAAACTGTAAACAAAGTCAATGCTTCAGCTGGGTTATATTCGAGATCAATAACCCAGGTAATACGTGTAATGTGTGACGTCATAACGGTGGGTCGTAGTAATGGCGGACCATGATGAATATTCGAAACAATTTGGTGAGTTTTCATGTTCGAATCGTAATATAGACCTCAGAGCAGGGTTACTAGTTTCGAATAACACCCCGCTGGTCTCGGCACAAATGCTTTCGAACCCCTCACTTCCTTCGGTCGTTCGGGGTACAGAAAAAGTTTGTGCCGAGACCAGCGGGGTGTTATTCGAAACTAGAAACCCTGCTCTTTGGTCTATATTTCTTAATTAATTGATGAATTGCAATTGTTTATATGATTGATTACAAAATCTAAAGTATGCTATACACTATAAATTGATAAAAAGGCATCATTTTGTCATAAACTATTGTTCAAAAATGAATGTAGACCATGCAGATACATGTTACTGTAAAATGAACTTTTCTTTGATTATATGTTCATTCACTTTTCTAGTTGAGACACCAACACATCCTAAGAAAACAGATGTAGATGATGGAAGGACACTCTTTATCAGAAATATAAGTTTTGAGACACCTGTGGAGAAACTAGAAGAAATGTTATCACAATTTGGTGAAATAGAATTTTGCCGTTTGGTTATTGACCCAAATACTGATCATCCAAGAGGTTGGTTTTAATGAATTTAAAATATTTTCAAAAAGATATAAATAAAACTTGAAATACTAATATATGAAAATATCCCAAATATGCGACTGTTATTATATTGATTATTAATTTCAAAATGTCTTGAGGATTTATTTGATGTTCAGCATTGTGCACAACAGCCCTATGCCATTGATCTTATTTACTATTTTAAATCTCACTTCAGGTTCTGGGTTTGTAAAGTTTAAAACTAAAGATGCTATGGAGCAGTGCCTTCAGCAGGCAGAGGAAGAAGACATGGTATGTACATCTACAAATTGTGACTTAAACAATCGAAATATTTGTTATGGAAGTTGGATTTTGAAAAGTCCTATAGTTGAGCAACTATTGAATCGCTTAACCATACAGAAGCACACGTGGTCAAAAATTGTAAATGCCTTCTATCTCTTCAACTCAGTCAATTGAAAAATTGTATACCTCAACTATAAACCTTATAGCAGTCAACAGTACATTCAAGGTTTACAATCTCGGTGTACAATTTCAGCCAAGAGAAATATACAATTTCATGTGTTTAATCAGAGGTACAAGGTGCAACAAACTTGTCACATAGGCATGACAAGGAAGGATTTGTGACAGATATTGAAATATCCATGTGTTGTAGATATGTTGGCTGATTAGGCAAAATGCAGTACAAAAAAAACAGCTACAGCTATTTGATTAATAAATATTAAATATTTTTAGGATGGTGGTATTACTATTGATGGTCGCAAGTTAAACATGATTGTTGCAGTCTCCAGGGACAAAGCCCAAGCAATAAAAGCTAGCAAGAAAGAAAAGGAACCTAAAGACAATAGGAACTTGTACTTAGCACGTGAAGGAAGTATGTAATCCAGTAGCAGTTGATTTGTTCTTCAAAATCTAAAGTCATTTATAAATAAGTTGACTGAAAAAGATTGATTTATTCCTGCAATGTTTTTGAGTTGCTTGACAAGGATAAGACATTCAGTTGTAATTAAATTTGAAATCCTAAATATGAATTTGTGGATGTATCCATGTTGTTAACATATGGTCACCATTAAAGTCCCCGTCTAAAGTTTGAAAATATTTTTTATCATTCATTTACTATTTGTCAGGACTTAAAAAGTGATTTTAGAGATTTTTGAACAAAAAAAAAATTTTCAAAAAAAGTTGTGAGCATTTCATTTCTCAAATATTCAAATTTCCCGCCATTTTTCAAAAAAAGTTGAAATTTCTTAATCATCAAATATTTCTTAATGCATTTCAAAAAAGATTATCTTTTTAACACCAATGCAAAGGTTGAACAAAGGACACACTATTTCAATAATAAAATGCCATATTTAATGGGCCACTTCAATGTTTTAACATATCAAAAATATTTTGAAACATTAGTGATGTCACTAAGGTACCAAAAACTTTTTGAAAAAAATTTTTTTTTCGATGTCAATCTTTTCTAAATATGTTAGACTTTCATAAAAACCAATGTTGATTGTCTAACCAGGTTAAAAGGAAAAATGAATTATGTTTTAGATATCATTGTACAATTGGTTTCTATGAGAACTAAAATTTTGAAATGCATTTTTCTCAGAACCATTTTCATGCACTGATAAGTTCATTTCTCACTTATTTATGAACAGATTTTCTTAATTTTTTCGGCAAAAACATGGGAGGATGAATGCTATGCATTGGTATGAATTGTGGCTAATTAGAAGATATGAGTGACCTCTAAAAGTTGGTTTTAAATAAATTCACAAATTTTGGAACAAAAAGTCTATCAAAAACCACTTTTTGAAATTTAAAAAAAAAGTTTCACATATCACACTTTGATAACATTGGGTAAGACTACAATATAAGCCAAAGTGGTTTAAACTTTATATGGGGCCTTTAAGGATTTTCCTATTCCAGAGATGAGAATGAGAGCATTAGACTGACACTTTTGTATGAAAAATAATTTAACAACAATCTTGATAAAGAATACAATGGGTGATCCCAAATAATGCATACTTTGATTTTGGAATATCTTTCTCAATTATGGTGGATTCTTTGCGAAGTTTTATGACTTGATTATTCAAAGCAAGAAAAAGAGAGATGTACAAGAATTCTGGTCAGCATATTTTGGGGGTAACACTGGAGTTTATATATTTTTATTGTATTGCAGTGATCAGACCAGGTACACAGGGGGCTGAGGGTCTTGATAAAACAGATCTTGACAAAAGAATGAAGGTAAAGTATATACTCATAAATGATATTTTGATGGAACTCTCATTGAGATCGCTTTTGTATTTCAAACATACCCCAAGGACAACTCAAGTGAATCCATTTTTCTGAGAATCCCTCATAATAATAGTAATACATATTTTATACATGTAATTTTGTATTGTTTTGAAGCTGAATTTTTAACAGATTTATTATGTGTTTTGATTTGATCTGACTTTTGATGCATAAAGGTTGATGCAGTGAAGAGACAAAAGTTAAAGAACCCTCAGATATTTATCTCAAAGACCAGACTGTGTGTACGCAACCTCCCTACATCAACTGGTGACACTGATTTAAGGCAGATCTATTTGAAGGCAACTGGGGATAACAAGGCAAAGATCTCAGAGGTGAGAAAATGTTAATTTTACCTGGGAAGGGATGTACATTAAGAGTAGGTAATTCATAATACATTTTTAATACAGTTTTTATGTCACCACCAAAAGTGGTGACATATTGTTATGGTCTCCGTTTTTTTATGTCACCACCAAAAGTGGTGTTAAAATAGCGGAACTGCAACGATACATCGAAGAATGGAAACTTAAGATTGCCAATATGCCAAAACTAAGGACTTATAGGACATTTAAAACAACATTTGAAACAGAAGACTATGTCAAGATCTGTTTACCAAGGACATTCAGATCATTGCTTGCAAAAGCAAGATCAGGCACATTACCATTAATGCTGGAGACTGGAAGATATAGATCCACCCCAGTTGACCAGAGACTTTGCTTACATTGTAAGAACGATAATATATCCATTATTGAGGACGAGTTCCACTTTTTACTAGTATGCCCATCATATAAAAATCTACGAGAAGACTTATTTTTGTCTGTTAAACGTATTTTACAAAAACAAGAACTTATTATTGATGATGAACTTTTGAAACTGTTATTACATGACTTTAGATTAGTGCGCCATACTGGAAAATTCCTGAATGCTGCTCTTATCAAAAGAGCAAGCTTCGTTTAAATAATCTTATTATAATATTGTTTTCAAATATATTGTACAATGTGCCCCATAAGCCTAAAATAGGCTGGGTATTCTATACGAGGCACTTAAATAAATAAATATACATACATATTATTATGGTCTCCGTTTTTTTGCGACGGTGGTTGGAGGTTGGCGTTCGGCGTCCGGCGTCTGTAACAATTTCTTACAACTTCCTATAACTTAACAAATACTGTTTAGACTGACTTCAATTTTTTTCTAAATCATCTACATGTTCTCAGAAGTTCAAATCTGACTTTAGATTTGACATTTGACCTTCAATGACCTTCTCAAGGTCAAAAAGGTCTTTTTTCAACTTGCTTCACATTGACTAAATTTTTTTTTCAAAATCATCTTCATGTTCTCAGAAATTCAAATCTGACTTTAGATTTGACTTAAGATTTGACATTTGACTTTCAAATCTGACTTTAGATTTGACATTTGACCTTCAATGACCTTCTCAAGGTCAAAAAAGGTCAAAAAGGTCTTTTTTTCAACTTGCTTCAAATTGACTTAAATTTTTTTTCAAAATCATCTACATGTTCTCAGAAATTCAAATCTGACTTTAGATTTGACATTTGACCTTCAATGACCTTCTCAAGGTCAAAAAAGGTCAAAAAGGTATTTTTTCATCTTGCTTCAAATTGACTAAATTTTTTTTTCAAAATCATCTACATGTTCTCAGAAATTCAAATATGACTTTAGATTTGACTTTAGATTTGACATTTGACCTTCAATGACCTTCTCAAGGTCAAAAAAGGTCAAAAAGGTCTTTTTTCAACTTGCTTCAAATTGACTAATTTTTTTTTCAAAATCATCTACATGTTCTCAGAAATTCAAATTTGACTTTAGATTTGACATTTGACCTTTAATGACCTTCTCAAGGTCAAAAAAGGTCAAAAAGGTCTGTTTTCAACTTGCTTCAAATTGACCAAATTTTTTTTTCAAAATCATCTACATCTTTTCAGAAGTTCAAATTTGACTTTACAAGTTCTCAGAAGTTCAAATCTGACTTTAGATTTGACCTTTGACCTTCAATGACCTTCTCAAGGTCAAAAAGGTCTTTTTTCAACTTGCTTCAAATTGACTAATTTTTTTTCAAAATCATCTACATGTTCTCAGAAGTTCAAATCTGACTTTAGATTTGACATTTGACCTTCAATGACCTTTTCAAGGTCAAAAAGGTCTTTTTTCAACTTGCTTCAAATTTACTTAATTTTTTTTTCAAAATCATCTACATGTTCTCAGAAGTTCAAATCTGACTTTACATTTGACATTTGACCTTCAATGACCTTCTCAATGTCAAAAAAGTCAAAGAGGTATTTTTTCAACTTGCTTCAAATTGACGAATTTTTTTTTCAAAATCATCTACATGTTCTAAGAAGTTCAAATCAAACCTTCTTAAGGTCAAAAGGTATTTTCCAACTTGCTTTAAATTGACCAAATTGTTTTAGGTGGTGACATTTTGTCATGTTAATGCCTTGTTTGATGTGCTATACTGTTGTCGTGTTGTGCTGCCGGGTGGTTGGGCAGAAATGTAGGCTGGTGCCACATAAATTTTATCATCGGAATTCCAGATAAACTGCTTATCTATTCACCTTGAAACTTCTAGAGATGCAAGAGTAGACTATGCTAAGGTCTGGTTAGGTTAAAGGCATGTTGGGTAAAATACTTGGTGGCCATGTTGAGCTTTTTGATAAAAAGTGCAATATTTATCCCTGTGTGTCTTCATCTGTTTTAATTGTTCAGTTCAGTTAAACCATTGTAGACATCAATAAGAAATGTAGATTGGCAGTTAAGCTCTATTATATCATTTACTCATCTTTGCATACTCTGTCTTCGTTGTATTCAGATCAACTGGAGCCCAGTGAACAAAGATGTCATTTACTGGAATGATATATAAACTGTATATTCAACAACTGCACATATAGCTTCTCAGGTTTTACCAACCATGCTCTGGCACTTTCTATTTCAGTGTAGGATAATGCGGGACCTTACAAGAGTGAATGAGAAAGGGGTTGCCAAGTCAAGGGGATATGCATTCATTGAGTTCACAGAACACAAACATGCCCTAGCAGCACTCAGACAGACCAACAATAACCCAGCCATATTTGGGGAAAAGAAGGTACGAGTTATAAAGCTATTTATTGATTGTATTGATGGCAGTTGGTGTTTGGCAGTTGGTGTTTGGTGGTTGTTATCCAGTGGCTGATGTCTGTAACATTTTGCATGTTAATGCCTTGTATATAGTGTAACATGTCAATATTGCGTCATCCCAAAACATAATTTACTACAGGTCAGATTTACCCCCCTTCTCTCCTTAGAATTTAAATTGAACAATTACCGATTTTTTAAAAATCAAACCTGGCTTTGTTTAAATTATCGATGTAAGCTATAAAAAAGCAATGGCTGTGTTTTCCTGTTTTCCACTTTCATCGTTCAGGATGATTTGCAGATGACCTGATGAGAATTTTAAGTCCATTGGCCGAAGATAAAAATTGTAAGGTATATGACTAATGAAATAACCATGAATTACCATTTATCAAAAAACAATCTTTCAGAGAACCATCGTGGAGTTTTCCCTATGCCATTGTGTGCATGCTATATTTGTAGGTTTATGATTCATGAAATAAATGAATTACCATTTATCAAAAAAAAATTTCAGAGACCCATCGTGGAGTTTTCCCTTGAGAACACTGCAGCTTTGAATGCCAAGAAGAAACGAATGGAGAGAATTGAGGTAGGTAACATCATTACACAATTATTAAGTTTTTAAAGGGAAAGAAGTACATATATTGACAAATTCACAATAATACTGACAGTATAAATAGATGTCAGATATTGCTTATTATACATTTAATCCACAATTCCTCTTGGCCATTTACTATGTATCACCTTGAATTACTGTTTATAAGATATCACAATTTGACAAGCTTTAACATTTGAATACACTTTATATTTTGGAGAACATTTTATATCTCTGGTTTGTGTATTAGAAGTTCATATTTCATTACAGACTAAGAATGCGACTGCAAAGCGAGGTAAAAATCAGCCACGCCCAAAACAAGTCAAGAAACAAAAACAGGACACAATAGAAGATCCAGAATCTGAAGAAATGAAGTTACAAAAGAAAAAGGGTCCCAAAGGTCTGCCTTCCCATTGGGGTCCTAAAATTAGACATAATCCTAGAGGTCCCGTAAAGTCCGGTGAAAAACCAAAAGATCGTCTTAGTCGCAAGCAACTGAAGAAACAGAGAAAATTAAATGCAGAAACTAATCCAGTTCCTGTTAAAATTCACACCCCAACTACGGAAAAGAAGGTAATTATAAGCACTTCATTTTTTATGTTACCACCAGAACATTAGAAACAAGTATGGAGTAGACCTGCATTGATCTCTATTGTAGTTAGTTTTATGCCAGCTATTGATATATTTATGACGGTATGACCCATCAAGCACAAATATTCAAGAGTTTTTTCAACAATCTCCATGTTGCAGGATTTTTTAGTATTTTTGGGATTAAGCTGAAGTGAAAATACCAAGACTCAGCAACTAGTCTAAAATACTACATGCGTTCTCTTTTAGAGGCTCAAGGTTAAATTCTTTGAAAAGGGTAAGGTGAAAGAAACTCAGTGAGTTTTGTAAACAGGACTGTGATGAATGATATAGCTAACTGGTATGGTTATCTAACACACTATAGCATGTAGACAGCTGTCATATTTATAAGTCTAACAATCTACATTTTGAAATGTTTACAATTGTGTGCTGATCTCATATCCTAGTGTGCCTTGTTCAGTTGTGAGCAAAATGTTCTGGGTCTTGACTTCAATTGCAAAATTGAATGAAGAAGAGGGGAATTAATGAGGAATATATTAAAGAGGCATGTAGGTAATATTCCAAATTGTGCACAAACCAATGAAAATCATGTATTTCATTCACATTTTGAGAGGAAATGTGTGAATTTAGCCTCACTAGGGATGTTTTCTGTTTGGGTACTTGGTGAGTAATTCTGGGGGTTATGATATTACATGTGTTGTTATTACATCTCTACTTCTACACCTTATGTCAGGACGTCTTCCAGAGAAAAGCATGTCAAGGTGGCCATGTTATAAAATGGAAAATAGAGTGAAATAGAGTGGAATCTGTGGGAATAGAAGGGAAAGCTATATAGTTAATATTCTAAATTGTACAGATATGCCAGAAAACAAGCTAGTTCATTCAAACATAAGAGAGAAAACACAGGAATAAACAAGGAGTGAATAGAGAGGAATTCAAGAGAGGAACATTATTTGGTAATTTGCCATTTACCTTTCATTGCTTTATACACTGTCTGGATTGAGTCAACCCTATGAGGCTTGTATTACTGGTATACATGTAGATAGACACAGGTAACTAGTTAACCTGTTAGGTACTTCACCAACTGATTTATTTGTTGACATTTAGGATGGGGGTGGGTTAGGGCTTCTATAAGACTGGCTACATTGTCTATATGAGGTATCTATGGCTTAATGTAACCTATGATTAGCAGCAGCAACCTCATCCCTTTTCTTTAACTGAATTATATTTATATGGGGAAATGAAATGCCGGAAGGCGATTTGCCCCAACCCTGTCTATTCATTGTATATTTGTTTGTATTCATGAAATAAACCATTAAAAAATTTAACTTGGCGCCCCCTAAAATCTATTAACAGGCTTTATTTCAGCTGTGCATGCATTTGAAGTTCGATCACATCAAAAAAGAGGGTTACGACGTAAAGAGTTAGTTTTTGAGGTAGTTTTTGGCTGTTTGAAATGACTTAAAACTCCATGTTCAAAAATGGTGCGATTTTACCCCCTTCACAATCTCTGGCAGATAAATCAGAATATGATAAGCCAGTACTTTTCCTGTGACTAGCCCCAATGCCCCATAGACCTATAATAGGACATACAGTCCATTAGCTCAGTTTGACTGTCAAAATTCAATCATTTAGCCTTTAGTGTTTAATATTAAGTGTGCCAGAATAATTATTCAAGTTATGAACTGATACCTACTTCAAAGTATCTCCACATACTTTCCTGTATTATATAAATTCCAACTATAATTTATCTGAATTAATTCCCTACTTGTTAATCCTGGAATTTTCAACAGTTCCCCATTGAGAATGAGATTTCAATCTCTTGTGGATTCATCTTTGGGGCAAATACAGTAAAACCTGTCATAATGAACACCTCACATCAAGGAGAAGTCAACATCTAAAGCAAAATGAATTTTTGGGCCTTTTGAATAATTTTGTATTGGATCATAATATGTTTTTGATGAATTTTGTGCAGAAGCGAAGTATGATTGACATTATCATTGCATATTCGTTCATTTTACCTGCTTATATGCAGCTTTTGAGTTAAAAAATAAATTGTGTGAAAATCTTGAAATTCATTATAAAAACAACTTACTCCTAGATGTTGACCAAATTAGGCTTGACAGGTAAATGTCATCCTGTGGTTAAGAATTCCAATGATTGTCTGATTATTTTGCCTGAAGACGGGAATTTTAATGAAAATCCTGAACAAAGTGAACACTATCTTATTAGTAACTTCCTTGTAATGTTACTCTGTAGGGCATGCCTTATTGTCTTGATTTAAGAATTAAAGGTGAATTCCAAGAATTAATTCATTGTGTTGACCACTGGCATCGGTGCAGGTATTTGAGTTATCCTGAATCCTGCTACACTTTTGTATATAAGGATAAAGATACTGTATTTTTGGCTCACACAAATTAAAACTGCTATTCAGATTGAGTCAGATCCACATTCATTTTATGCTCCATAATGCCTATTTGACCTATCATCGCCATTTCCCAAGTTCGCCCAGTTTCCGAGAAATTGCTGATTTTGACGTCAAAAAGTCAAATTTTCTGAAATTACACTTTTTGGTGTTTACTTTATAAAAGTGGGTCCTTTATTATATCCTTGGTAATAGAGACATGTCAATGTAGGATTTTTCAGTATTTTTGTTATTTAGCTGAAGTAAAAATATCAAGACTCATCAGCTTGTCTAAAATACAACTGGGGGAGGGGTATTTTCTTTTCATGACAACTCTGCTATTTGTTCTGATGCCTTTGGTCTTGGCTTTTAAATGTTAAAGTAATCAGTTAAAGTATCCCATGCCATCTATATTGCTGGGACATCTGCATTTAAAGTTAGCATAATATAGCAAGAATAAGATCAAAAAGATACTTAAGAGACCTGCATTTGTACAAACCCAAGAGCTCTAACAGATTTTGCAGGTACCTTGATTAATAAACCTTTTCTGTAGAAAGAAACCCTAGAACCACTCAAGGCTGTGCATATTGCTTACTCAAAAAAAACTATTCTAAATCTGCATACAACCTGCAGATGTCTGCAGATGTCTGCATGTTATTAAGTACAGTACAGTATGGTAGTTTTATTAGAATGATTTAAAGTAACCTTGAGTTAAAAGTATAAGGTGGTTTATTTTAGAAATATCAATAATTCTGGGTTCCATAGGTGGAGGGAATTGGATCAAAATTATTCAAATTGGGAGTGACACTTTCTTATTATTAGACTCCAGATGAAATCTGGAGTCTATTGTTTTCGTCAGTTTTCTTATTCTTCTTATTATTCTTTTTCTAAACCAGTTTTCTCAATAACCATAAGGTTTTCAGTAAAGTCAGTCATTTGGTCAATTTAGGTTCAGAATCTAGTTCCTCGGAAATTGGGTCAAATTTTTATCTAGGTCAAAGGTCAAGAACTAGGTCAAATCCAGTACTTTGTCACTTTTTTCGATTTTCTCGGTCGTCCTTCAATATTTTTGATCCGGTTTTTTTTCATTGTGTTCCTCATAAAAAAGTAGGAAATCTAGGGTCGATTTAGTTTTTTGATATCTCAAACCGCTTTCGAGATATCAGTGTCCGAAAACGAGGTCCAAAAAAAAGTTCTCCAAATCAAATGTCTAGGATATTAGTCTTATGGGATATTATCTCAGGATTCCGAATCTGAAAACCAAATTCGGATCGGACATCCGGTTCGGAAGTTATGGCGCTTTGAAAGCTCAAAAATCGCTAAATTTGGTGCCCATGTTAAGTCAATGGGAAAAAAGATTTTTTTGAAGTGAAAAATACGAAATATAGACTGAGTTCAGCTAAATATAATGAAAGCTTTTAAAAGAATAGGACCTCAAAAGCCATCTAGCTTCAAAATTTGGACACCAAAATGCCTAGGTCAAAATCTAGGTCAAATTCAAAGTTTTTCCTTACTTTTGCTATTCTGACACTACAGATTAATTATATTCTTCGAAATTTTGTATACATGTAGCCAAGAGTGCGCTAATAGTGTTAGCCTTTTGCCGTCAGAAAGTATTTTGCCCCATTTTTGAGATATGGTGTCCGAAAAGTAGGTCAAAATAAAAAATTCTCCAAATTTAACGTGTGAGTTATGAACTAAGTAAAGAATTTTCTCAGGAATCCGAATCTGCAAACCGAATTTTGATCCGACTTCCAGTTCAGAAGTTATGACATTTTGAAAGCTCAAAAATCGCTAAATTTGGTGCCCCATATTATGTCAATGGGAAAAAAGATTTTTTTGAAGTGTAAAATACGAGATATAGACTAAGTACAGCTTAAAATAATGAAAGCCTATTAAAGAAGGGAACCTCGAAGGCTACCTAATTTCAAAATTTGGACACCAAAATCCCTAGGTCAAAATCTAGGTCAAATTCATAGTTTATCCTTATTTTTGCGATTCTTACACTACACTTTAATTATATTCCTCGAAATTGTGTATACATGTAGCCAAGAATGTGCTTATAGCGTTAGCCTTTTGCCGTCAGAAAGTATTTTGACCCACTTTTGAGATACGGTGTCCGAAAAGTAGGTCAAAATAAAAAGTTCTCAAAATTTAACGTTTGAGTTATGAATTAAGAACAGAATTTTCTCAGAAATCCGAATCTGCAAACAAAATTTCGATTTGATTTCTGGTTCCGAAGTTATGGCGTGTCCGAAAAGTAGGTCAAAATAAAAATTCGCCAAATTTAACGTATGAGTTATGAATTAGGGGTAGAATTTTGTCAGGAATCCGAATCTGCAAATCAAATCTCGATCCGACTTCCGGTTCGGAAGTTATGGCGTTTTGAAATTTCAAGAAAAATCGATCTGATGGTATCCTGATAGAAAGTCAAGAGAAGAAAATATTGAAAAATGCATCCATCCTTCCTTTCTGATCCTATCCTATCCTTCCTATCTACCCTTGCTTCGTATCCTCTCCTTCCTATCCTTCTTATACTATCCCTTCTTCCTATTCTATTCTATCCTTCTTTCCTATTCTA